ATTGTGAACCACCTTGCGCTAGTATGTGAGGGCAAAGTAGATTAATTATAACAAGAGAGTACAAGAATATATAATAATGTAGGAAATATCAAGGGATACAGTTATAACTGCTTTTGCTGTTGCTGTTGCGGTTCGATACAGTACGACTCGGGCAACTGCTCTGTAACGAGTCAGTTGTATGTCCTTAACTGTCGCGCTGTACTTGTCGGGTCAAGGGTCGCTGACCTTTGACTTTCGCGTAACCTCCAGCAACCTCTTCAACCCCCGAGGGTTGACTCGCGGGTGCTTCGGTGTAGTTTGCCTCGCTTCTGATGCGGTGTTTTCGACACGACTGAAGCGCTTAAGTTTTATTGTTTCCAACATGGAGAACTACTTTTGTTTCAGCGAAATCACCACACTAGGATAGCAATTTTGTGATGTAAATATATCTCCTTCACCTTATGGACAGTATGGACAGTATTTAGCATACATTGCACTGATGCAACAACACTGGACTCGAAACAACTGCCACCACAAAGGAATAGAAGCTCGCATAACAGACTCACAAGCAAACCACAAAACGAGTTACACACACCACTGCCCGACACCAGAAAAAATGGAAACAATCAACACTGTAGATCCAAACTGCATCCCCCACCAAGTCAGTCCACAATTTTCCATTCGACCATTACAACCTCCTACCAGTCCACAATTCCACTTCCCCCCTCACCACCATTTTACTCCCCCTCTTCATGTCAACACCACTCCAGAAGACTGGAAAGTCGTCCCTGTCATCTTCGCTGTCCAAGCCATACTCATGGTTGATCTCTGAATCCTCTCCACCACTCCCAAAATCCCCCTCCTCCCTGTCCGCCTCTTCCCCTTCCGCCGCCGCATCTCCTCCCTCCTCCCCTTCTGCCTCCTCTCCCTCATCAACCGCCACTCCCCCTCTCTCCCCCCCATCCTCCTCGCTTATCCTTGCAGGAACCCTCCTGTCTCGCCGGGAGAGCAAAGGGCACTCACTGACATAGTATTCACGCAGCGTCGGGATTCTCCGGATAGAAGACGGCAGCCGAACCAGCTTGTTGCACGCAATCACCCGCAGCACCACTAGTTGAGGCAGCGTAGAGAACGACTCTGGCAAGCTGCGGACGTGCTTCAGCCCCAGGAGCACCAACTCCTGGAGGGAAGACAGCTTCCAGAAATCTTCTGGGAATGTTGAGATGCCAAGCTTGGCGAGGCTACAGGATTGTAACTTGGCCAGATTCGCTAATGACTCTGGAAGTTGCATCACCTTGTAGCAGTCAATAATTTCCAGCCTCTCAAGCATCTTCAGCAGCCCAATAGACTCGGGCAGCTGCCGTATTGTACATAGCCGAACCAGCAATAACACCCGCAGCCTTGAAAGCCCTCCCAAGGTTTCCGGCAGTGCCTCCATCCGCATGGCTGAATCAATCCGGAGCCTTTCAGGCGCGAGAGTTGAGAGATGGAGTCAGGGAGTGACACCAGGTCATGCATCTCCAGGAGCTTCAGCTGCGTTAGGGAGGAGAGCTGGCCAAGGGATGGACCGATGGAATGGAAAGAGAGAGCTTTTATCCTGAGATTCTCAAGGGATGGAAGCAGTGCCCTGCTGGTGCTGCTGCTGCTGGCAGTGCTGTTGGAGAGCATTGAAGAACCCCTGGCAGTGCGTCTGAGCACTATCTCATCCCCTAGAAGTGCACCAACTTCACTGCATCCCCGCACTTCCAGCACCCGCAGCCGTGGCAGCCTAACAAGCTCAGCAGGGAGTTCTTTCAAGCCGTCAATCAGTGAGATCCTGACCACCTCGAGCGACTCCAGCCGTCCGATCCCCTCAGGCAGGACCGTTACTTTAGGGCAACGTATCACTTCAAGGCTGGTGAGTGAAAAGACGCCCGAGAAGGACGCAGGAAGCGCAGATAAGCGAGGCATCCCTCGAAGCACCAGCTCCTTGAGGCTTTTCAAGCAACAGAAGCCGTCTAGTAGGTTGCCTCTGAATCGACTAGCTTCCATGATCTTGAGGGTTTCGAGAGATGTCAGGGCGGAGAAGGATGGAGGGAGGTGGGTGAGGGATGAGCAGTGTTCCAGATGCAGATAGCGCAGGCGTTTCATACCGTTTCCCGTTTCATCTGGCAGCACTATGAGGTCCCAACAAGCGGTAATTTCCAGGTGTTCGAGAGAAGAGAGCTGGGAAAGGGAGTCCGGGAGCTGCTGCAGCTTCTCACACTCCACTATTCTCAGCTCCCGGAGAGCTTTCAGCTGCCCGAGGGTTTCAGGCAGGCGTGTAAGCTGGCGAAGGCTGTTAAGGCGCAGCTTTTAAAGAGCAATCAGCTGCCCGAAATCCTCGGGCAAAGACGGAACCTTCCAAAGATTGTCGAAGGAAAGCTCTTGGAGCGTAGTAATCTGAGCGACGGGGTCAGGAAGGCTTGTGAGTTTCCTCAGATCCAGCAGAAGTGTCTGTAGCTTTGATAACTGCCCAATATCGTCAGGTAGTATTGAAAGTTGTGGCATTTCAAGAGCGAGGCTGGTGAGTGACGGCAGGTGGAAAAGAGACTCGGACAGAGACGTGATATCGCTGCACTTCTTGATAGCTAGAGTCTTGAGTCGCCACATATGCTCGAGAGCCTCAATTAGCTCGCGCAATCCCGTCGCATCTTCCCGTATGAGGGTCTCGAGCGCACGCAGTCGAGAAAAGACTACGGGTGAGGGGTGAACAACGTTGCACTGCCGAAATTTCAGGACGGTGAGGGAAGAAAGCTTGGTGAAAGAGGCCGGCAGCTGCAACCTAAAGCAGTGGCGCAGCGATAGCAGGTTCAGGCTGGCAAGTTGACCGATAGATTCTGGAAGCGACGCTAGGCAGCAGCAACTGTGCAACGAGAGCGATGTTAAGGAAACCAGATTGCCGAAATCTTGGGGCAAAGCTTCGAGCTTATTAGTGTTCACCATGAGGCTCCTGAGTGACTGAAGCGAGGTCAGTGTGTCGGGAAACCGCGTGACGGTTGCTATGAGGTTCAGGTTCTTGAGCAACGTGAGTCGGTCAATCGATGGAGGAATGGCAGCATGCTCCTCACACTCCACATAGAGATCTTCCAACCGCGTACACCCCTCAAACAGAAACTTCAAGCCTTTCTCACTTATAGCTGTGCGACTGTACTCACTTCCCATCGTTCCATCACCAAGCTCGACTAGATGAGGACACACGTCAGCGAGATGAGAGAAAAAAAAAGTCAGAGGCTGAGGTGAGGCTGCCGTGAGAAAGAAAGAGTTTCTTTAGGTTAGGGAACGACGATAGGAGTTGAAGGAGGAGACGCGGTTCCAGATGGAGGTGGTAAGGCAATTTGAGCTCATGTTGCACGCGGTACGCAATGCGATGCCATTGCTTGCTAACACGTGCGTGCTCCAGCTGGCCATCAGGTCTAACAAGAAAACTCAGTATCTGAGAAAGCACCTCCTCAGGTAACCGTTGGATAGCCGTCCCAATTGGCATCGTGAAACGAGGGAATAACAAGAGATAAATGGCTTTTCCTGTAAGCTAACACGGCTAACAAGCTAGACAAGTCATACCTCAAGAAGCTTTTTTTTTTTTTTTTTTTGGATATAAGTACACTACCAGCATACATACATCCGCAGTCGTAACTGTTGCTAGGAGGGCATGGAGAGGCTACAAGTACCCAAGTAACCAGAGCCCCCCTTATCCTTTTACGGAGGTTGGAATGCTACACCGCCATCTTCCCAGATCGCCTTAAAGCCCACTCTCCACGTCATCGAGGCCTCTGTCTCGTAGAGCCTGCGCATAGCGCCTGCTTCGTCAGCATTCAAGTGGCTCCAGTCACCCGTCCTTTTCGAAGCATTCCTGCCAGCCACTTTCTTCCGCGCTCTGCTGTAGATCTTCACGTGCCTCGTGAAGCCAACTGCTATGCGTCTCAATGCTCTCTTTGGTTGGAATCGGCTCCCTCGGAAAACCGCGTTGCACCTCTCCAACCAAACTTGGTGCGCTGTAATGGACATGATTGCCGCCTCAGGGAAGCCAGTCGACGTGCCACTCCTTTGGAAGAGCATGTCCCCGAGAGATCGCGTGCCATTGAACCGCTTTCCTCATCACCTCCACCACAGGTTGGATCGCCGGGCAGCTGAAAAGGCAGTGATCCTGCGATTCCACTCCACCACAGTGCGCGCATTTCGCCCTCGCGCCCAAGAAGGGGAGTCGTTCTCCTACTTGGAGATTGTTACTGTGCACCCTCAGTATCACTTCCCGTGCCCTGCATGGGGTTGCCAGTGAGTCACGGACCGTGATAGCCTTCCCGCAGTCGATCTTCCTCCCCAACCCCTCTTCCCACTTCAGCTGCTGTTTCGGTTGCGCCACCGAGGGTTTCATCGCCTTCCTCAGCTTCTTTAGATCAGCCCGCTCGCCTTTCTCACAGATTGTGGAGTAGAGCAGTCGCGTTCTTGGAGCGCCGAGTAGGCCACAGGCCCTCCCATCTATGACTGCCATGGGTGAAGCGTGTCGAAAATCCACCATTACCACACTAGCATATTCCACCTCGCCTATGTTCCCTTTCTTGTCCACCGTCACTCTCCGACCGTAAAGTTCGCCGTTGCTCACATACTGCAGCTGGTAGTAAAAGAACTCTCCTGGCCGGTAAGACGCAGAGCGGACCAGCCTCGTTTCCCTAAAAAGTTCCTCTGCCGACAGTTGGTTGAGTACCAGATCCTTCCATCCCTGTGGTGTCGCGCCCCACGCCTTCAGGGCCCATTTCCTCTGCTCCACACCTCCCAGTTCCCTCTCCAGAACCTCATCGCTCTTACGAGATCTGCTGCCATCTCCTCCTTTTGCCACCAAGTCCCCCAGTCGGATGCCCTTCAGGCAGAGCGAGCCTGCCTGGTTTCCGAAAGGTGATCTGCCTCTGAAGAAAATACTACGATTGAAAAGTAATTGCTCCTCCTCCGCGTCCCACCTGTGAGCCGGATCACCTATGGTCACCAGTTTTGAGTCCCACAACGCTTTAATAGTGGCTTTCCATCTCGTGCCTCCCCCCAGCCAGGACCTCAGGACCGAAGGATGCGCGTAAATCGTGGCCAAGCCGAGGGGAAAGGCCGCCGCCCTCTCCCATAACCAGTTCCGAAGTGGCTCCTGCTCCGCCAGGGCCTTCCCCAGTCCTTGGATCACCATGCTGTCAATCCGGTGCTTCATATCAATCACACCCAGGCCCCCCTCTTTCCGACCTCTGCACGACAGTTCGTAGCTCCATAGCGTGAAGTGTCTGTCGAGGAGCGCCTTCCCTCCCGAGATGAAATTATGGCACAACCTCTTCACTTTGGTCCAGACCTCGTACGGTGGGGCATAAATCTGCGCCTGGAAGAGCAGGATCGGCATCGCGTAGCTGTTTATGATTGTAACCCATGCTGAGGTTTTGAGGTGTTTAGTCTCCCAGCAGCTCAGCACCGCGCTAACCTTTTCGAAAGCCTTGTCCCATGCAGGTCCCGGCGAGCCTCCAGAGGTGATCCAGATTCCGAGCAACCTTTCAGACGCGTTTTTCTCCGCCCACTTAAAAGACGACGTTATCGGCTGCAGCCTCCTTAGATTTTTTCCCAGCGGCATCAGTGTTGTCTTATCACGGTTCACCTTCAACCCTGAGATCTCCGCGAACTCCCCCAGCAGTTTCTCAGCAACCACCACCTGTTCCTTGCCCTTCAGGACCAGTGTCGTGTCGTCTGCGTATCCAATGTAGTCTAAACTCCCCTTCACACCCCTCTTCCTGACCCCCAGTTTCCTCCGTTCTATTTCTTGGCAGAGTGGCTCAACCGCGCAAAGGAAGAGATACGGGGCGAGCGGGCAGCCCTGACGAACCCCTTTGGCCATCACCACCCGTTCCCCTATCCAGCCGTTCAACAGCACCCTGGTTGCCGCTCCATCATGAAGGCCCTTCACCCATCTTGTGAACTTCTCCGGGAAGCCCATGTTGCCCAGCGTCGTGAAGAGGTACTCCCGTGATACCGAATCGTAAGCTTTCTGAAAATCAACCAACAGCAGCAGCCAATCCTCGTCCTCCTGCTCCGCAGCGTCAATCGCATCTGCTACCAGAGAGACAGCGTCAGCGAGACTCCTCCCCGGAAGAAAGCCGAACTGGTTGCTGGAGATTACTCTCGGTAAGACCACCTTGATTCTATTCGCCAACACCTTCGCCAGCAATTTGTAGAAGAAGCTCAGTAATGTAATCGGTCGGTAATTTCCCAAATCGTCCATGTCTCTTTTTTTATGTAGAAGGATCGTAACCGCCGTCGTGAAAGATTCCGAAAGCACACCCGCTGACTCGAAATTCCTGACTTCCCTCATCACCGCCGGGCCCAACAGCTCCCAATTTCCTTCGAAAATTTCTTTCGGCAATCCATCCTGCCCCGGGGCCTTCCCCGCCGGTAAGCCTTTAAGCGCCGCCTTCACCTCCTGCTCTGACCATTCGCTGTCCAGCTGTAAGCGATCACTCTCCTGCAGCGTCTTTCCCTCTTCAATCGGCCACGGCTCCACTGGAGAGGACAGCGGCGACAGCGAGTAGGCCTCTCGGAAATGCTCCGAGGCCGCTTGCAGCACCTCGCTTGCTCCCTTCCTCAACACCCCTTTGAAAGTGAGTTCCGCTATTTCGGTTTTCGCCTTTCTGGACTTGACCAAGCCAGACAGGAAGCCTGATGGAGTCTCACCCGCCAGCTCTTGCAGCAATCCCGTCGGAACCTGCAGCCGCTCCTTGTTTCTGTCCTGGTAAAGCTTGAGAGCCGCTTCGTTTTTTATCAGATCCTCGTACAGAGCTTGCGATGAAGGGTCTGACATCACCTTCCATCTGAGCTCTTCCACCTTCAGCTCCAAGTGCACCATGGTCGCCTTAACCCTTTTCCTCTCCTCTGCTACGTGTGCTCTCATGCTTACACGCAGATTCGTCACCAGTCTCTCCAGGCCCTGGTCCGGACAATTCGCCTGTGAGTCCAATACCGCCGATATGATGTTCCTGACGCCATCGCCCCCAGCATGAGGTGCCTGAAGCCTCCACAGCCCTGGACCATGGTCATCTGCCGATGCAGCCTTGAGCGACACCGACACCGCAAACCAGTGATCTGATAATCCGTATGGGACCATTCTATGCTTCGCCTCCGTTACACAGTTGAGAAGAGAATGTGAAACTAAAGCCCTGTCAATCCGTGTGCCTGTTTTTGCAGATCTCGAGAAGAAGGTGTACTCCTTCCTGGTCGGGTCGAGGCTCCGGAAAGCATCTTGCAGATCCCAGCGCGAGCAAATCTGCAGGAGTCTCTGGTTTTCCGCCGGCGTTCCCAGCTTTGAGGATTTGTCAAGTTCAGGATCCGCAACGATGTTCAGGTCGCCAAGAAGTATGGTATACGGAGAGGCACCCAAGCTCTGCACAAAGGGCGTCAGTACATCACGAAAGAAGACCCCCCTAGCGGGTGCTTGTGCAAGTAAGTATACAGCCACCACCCTGCAGGTCAGATCGCGCCATGCAATCGTCAGACTTATGAGACGGCCAGACTCGTGCTTAACCACATCTGTGAACCGCATGCCTGGCAGGAAGCCCAAGACCGCCACCCCCCCGGCTCTCTGTGACGGGCCAACCACCGCCTGAGCTTCCGACCTGACTTGCGTCCAGAAATTATGATCCTGTGATACTCGTGTGTCGGTGAGTACAACTATGTGTGCTGCCTTCCTGATCCACTTTCCGCATCTCTCCTGTTTCCCGCAGCTACCGAGCCCATTGATGTTGAGCTCGAGAAAAGTTAAGCTGTTGCGTTTATCCATTAACCACTTCCTTTGAGCCCCACAGCATCCACGGGCGATTGATCTTTATTGCGACAATGCATCCTGCTACAGCGAAGGAGAGCATGGCACCTACTACACAACTTGCACCAAACAACCACAACGTCATCTCATCCGCTAAGCCGCTGGTCACTTCTTTGCCGGCGTGGCCATGAACTTCTTTTTGAAAGCAGCAATCTTCTGAGAGTACTTGCTGGCACGCGTTGCAGCACCTTCTTTCTTCAGACCCCCCTTGTGCCTGGCAGAAGCGACATGAGCCGCCGCCTGCTCGAAACGATTCCCTTGAGCCTTCTCGCATACAGTCTGTACGCACACCCACTCCTCCCGCGCACCCTCTGTAGAGGTGAGTATGACTGCGGGGTCCTTCAGAATGCGTGTCAGAGACACTGTGGCTTTCAGGGAAGCCGCTACGGGAGGAGTTGAGGAGACAGTCATCAGTACGATTCGAGAGGCATGATATGAGCGGAGTTGAAAGCGAAGGTAACGAAAGCGAAAGATGAGGATGAGAGGTCATCCTGCTTATACCGTTCATGTCATGGACCTTTTTGACCGTCAGGTTCCAGTTGGTGAAATTCTCCTGTCTCGAGGTGACATAGTGATCGTGATAGCGGGACAGGTGCTGACCGCTGCAAAGCTCGCAGGTAAGCGATGGGTAGTGAAGCATGTAACGCCTGCCAGTCGACGGGTCTTTCACAAAGTACCTCCAACGGTACTCGTCATCAGCGTGAGGGATAAACAGGCCGCGGATACGATCGGTGTCCAACCCAGTGACCGGATCGACGGTACGGTGAAAGCCGAAACCACTGGCGAAAGCACTCCGACCGCGCTTAACCAGCTTCGACACCACCAGCAGGTGACGTATCAGCTCAGCAGTGATATCCGCGGGGACTCCTTTGACAACAACCTCTTTCGCCGTCGGGTTCAGCAGACGCTCACGGAGGAAACGTGCGTCTTCGGGATGCTGCCAGGTAAAGTCGACGATGTCGCCGTTCGCGCATTCATGTCTGATGACCTGGCCCCAAACAAAATTTGCGTCGCGGACGTGGTTGAAGGTAACTTGAAGGCGACCATAACGCGTGCCGGAGAAATAGGTCGTAGTAAGCTCCTGATAAGTCGTTGTCTGCAGCACATCTGGCGACAGCTGATCCTTCCAATCATCCAGCAAGGCAGCCACAGTTACAGCGGTCCGCTTGACTTCGGGTTTCCTGTTAAACGGCACCAGCAGGGTTAGTGAGAATCTTTTCAAAGCGATAATACTGCCAAGCGAAGCTGGTTCCAAGTGTTCGTCGGAGTCGTCGCTCAGGTAACCATCGCCGTCATCGTCAGGAGCCTGATCAGACGAGGCTTCCTCATCCTCCTGCGCGTCTGCATCCGCATCAGCCTCTCCTTCAGCAGCCACTTCTTCTTCCTCATTAGCAGCGGTATCAGCAACCCCAGCAGCAACGTCGCCATCTTGTCCGACGGTGAGATCAGCCTTGGTCTGTAAGTCCAGCAAGTCTTCGAAGGGACCAAGCACCACCGGTGACGAAGAGGAGGATGGCGTTCGCCCTTTATCAGCAGCATCCTTCACAGGAACAGCAGGTACGTTAGACATATCAGCCTCCTTGTCAGTGCCAACCGCCTTCTTGCTGGTCTTGTTGCTGCGCCCTTTCCCCATGGTGCGATGATGAGAGAAGCTTGACAGCCCGTTTAAGGCTGAGAGACAAGCCGGACTGAGCACTTCTGACGAGAAAACTGTTTGTTTGTACTTGTTATGCTTGAAGCTGAAACGTTGCAGGTCCAGGCCCGAGGGGGAAGCCAGAACCTTAGGGAACACCAGAGAGCCGAGTTGGTTAAGAACCACGGATATTGGTGAACCATAGAAAATGTCAGCCTTGAAAGTAGCGCGAGTTGATGACAATGCCAAGCGCAAAGCGCGATGATATCCATTGGAAAGCTTGGAAACTTGATAGTAGCCATGTGTAAAAGATAGCCTTGATGATGCTTGAGACACTGTCGACAGCCTGGAACTCGTGTAAATGGTGTTTAGGTTCCCGTAATGAACGCTAAAAATACACCATTGTGTAGAGCTTAAAGCCGCGCGTCGTCCGAGTGTCTCAATGTCAGTTTCAGGCTGGAAATTGAAGCACATTGACGTTGTTAAAACTCTCCGCCATGGCCATGGCTGCATTGTCATTGTCAGAAAACCTGTCTCAACATTCTCATCAAGAAGCTAAAGCAGACAGACCACAAGCAGCATCATTCTTGTGCTGTCAAGAGGATATTCCCGAGGGGGGGTACTGTTTTCCGATTTCCACCACAGCAGAAACCTTGAGTTTGTCATTAACACCGCATTGCACCGCTAGGGTTATCAAAACATTCCCGACAATTTATCCGCCGCAAGGAAGATTTGCGAAATACGGACGGCGACACACGGCACCGTTTGGCGAACTGCCTTCCCCGCTTTGCGAGATTCGTGAACCATCTTGTTGCGTGGATGTGTGTGATCATGGGGGGCGTACACGAGACCAGACCATACCCGTTTGTGGGTACGAACACACCGCTAGTTCACTTTGGTTTTGTAGAACGCAAGTATATTCATTCAAGCAACTAGCACCAGCACATCACATCTTCGCCAGCAGCTGAGCAGTTCTGGGCAGCACCAGAGTTCTACTCTGGACTGGGCATTCCAAGGAGACATGGTGACCGTGTGCCAATGCCTTCCGGACCAATTGCGCCGCTTCAGGCATCTGTGTTGGTTGATCAGCAGCTCCGTTGCTCCATCTACGCATGTTGCTGTTTTGGTAGTCTTATTAATATGTCCTTAGGTTGAGACGTGGACTAACAATAGTTTCACCTTTTGTGGTTGCAGTTAACAGTGGGGATTGTGTTGGAACTGTGTAGCTGCCTGTTGACGTGCGCAATGGTAGTATATGTTATTAATTCCAGCAGCCGCTCCAAATGAATGCACACAACACAGACTTTCAGGTGAAGGCACCGAGGGGGGATGGCTTTCAACTAGGCGTGCGCAAAAGCTTTACTAACTTCTGTCATACAAATTTTCTCTGGAACAAGAAGTGGGAAAACATTTACAAGTCCACCAATAGGTGGAGACCTAAAGCTACAATATAAGATCTCCGCGAAAATCATGTCCCAGAAGCAATTCGCGGAAAATAAATGTGCTAGCGGCTTCTTCTGGCGAGCTAATTACGCAAGGAATCCTAACTTCTCGCCGTTCTTCTTTGCCAGCCTGATCAAACCCTGACGCTGTTGAGCAGGGGCTCCGACGGACTTGCAGAACTCCGTGATTACCTGAACGAGATGACGAAGGGGCACGTTAGAACACAATTGAATCAACCGCAATGGCATCATGAGCTTTTCAAGGGGCAATACTCACTTGTGAGTGGAGAGCGATGCCTTTCCCTCGAAGCTGGTTGAACTGCTTTTGGCCGATTACATTCTTCGCGACGACTACGATAGGGGCAAACACGCCCTTGCCCTCATGCGGGTTCTTCATCGTTACTACTCCTCTCGAGGGTGCAGCCAGGGTTACCCTGTTAACAGTGCTAAGGAGCTCGCTCTTTCCATGACCTGCTAGTTCCTTGCTGGGCGCAGAAACAGCCTTGATGGTTGGCAGAGAAACGGTTACGAGGGCCATAACGGATGCTGCTGGAGAGTTTAGAACACTGAAGTTTATGATCAGAGATCAGTTTGAACAAGACGGCCCAAAGGAAGACTGCTGAAGAAGCTGCAGAACTAATGTGGGATATTCGGTGAAGAAAGCTTGATCACGATAATGTGGAAGAGCTCATGAATTTGTAAGAAGGCAGATACAAAGCTCGAACCGGGGAATGCAGGTGACGTTGGTTGATTGGTGGTATACGCAGTTAGCCCAGTTCCACACCCTGAGGCCTTCGAACTTAGACGGGCTTCCCTGGGCCACGTGGCGTACATTTTGTGGTCGGACGCATGTTAGCGGGTCGTCGTGGCCCGTTTCCCCACCATCTTTGCCCTTTTCTGAATGTCACCGCTTGTTCGTCTCCTCCCCGCGCCCAGAATCCTGGAAAAAAAGATCCAGCGGAGCTACCAAGTACCGAGTGTTGGTCGGTTCACATCACGTTCTCTCGAGGACTCGCACACTAGTGACACGTGGTTGCTGAAATTGCTGGAACCGTCGAATCACCTGGCCAAGAATCAATCAAGCTCATTCGTTTCCCGAACCGACAGGTTCAGGTCGACGTCACCGCCTCCACTGGGTGACATGGAAGAAAAGAAGAGAAGCTCCTTCCTTGTGTCTGTTTGGCCGGACTTGGAGGGGTTGACGTCAGATCTCCGGGGAGCCTCCAACCACCTGCACAATCGAACACTGGTGAGGCTACCGTACGTACGTACGTACGTACGTCTAGTTTCAGCAACCTTTTCGGTTCGGTTGGGTTCGCTGCTCTGCCTTGCTTCCAACTGCCATTCTCACAGAACTGGCCCGCCAGAACTGACTGACGTCTATCTTGTACACGCTTGGCTTGGAAATTCCTCTCTCCGTCACAGGCTGCCTCACAACCAGAGAGCATGTTCCGCATGGTTGACAGATACTGAGCTGTAGTGGTCAACAGGATAGGCGGTAATTAATCTCGTTGACTCGGGAGCTCGTAGTAGGCGATGAACACCCTACGTCAAGTAGGAAGCTCGGAAAGGCGTTATGGCGCTGCGATTACGAGAAAATACAATGTTGACTCACACAGAACGGGGGGGTGTTTACGTGAGACGAAGATAAACAGCAGTCCCGTTTTTTCTTGCCACGGAAAAACGCGACGCACTGATAATTTGAAACGGAGAGCATGCGCAAGTCTAGGAGTTCGGAGATTACGCGATGACGGTTTCCAAGCACGCGGTACCGAGCGGTTTCATCGCACACCTTGCGGTACACAAGCGAGTTTAGCGCCCTGGAACGCGTTTCCGCACGAGGGTAGCAATGACTCCAGTCAATCAGGGGAAGCCCCAGCTAACGACGCGCCGTCGTGCCTGTTCCTGGGTCCACTGGAGAGCGCCACGAGAGAACAGCTCGAGCAGTTTTATGCGCAGGTATGCACAAGTGTGGAATGGCCTATATTGAGACGGCTAGTCCTTTAGTCCTTCTTCGTTTCTTAAAGGGACACTTCATATTGACATGGTTCTACAAAGCTCCTCTCGCTGGTAACACATTTTAGAGAGGCCATCGCTCTCGTTTCGCTCAGATCATTCCCCAATCCTGTGGCTTTTCTCGTCTGCCTTCTCAGGCTCGGGATGCGTACTACAGTGGGAAACCCTTGGTATCAGACGACATTTTTGATCTGGTCGAGGTACTCTCACGCATTTCTCTTGCAAACTGGGTCGTTAATCCCCCTCCCCTCCGTTGTGCTGTGGTGAATATTGTCCGTGTAAAGTTTGTTAGAGAGGACTCTTGATCTTGGATTTTAACTCGCGTCAGCTCTTTCTTGCTTTTTTTTTTTTCATGCAGCGCCGGTTGCGGTGGTTCCACTCAGCTTTGGTCAAGAAATATCCACGTTGCAGCATACGAGCGCTCTATTGCTACTCTGATGCCGAGGTACGGTACGCCTGGTCCCATTCAGAAAAAGGCTCTATCACAGCATTCGCGCGCTCCCTACCACCACTTCAGTTTGACAGAAGGTTGATTCAATGGTCGTTCCCGTTTTGTCTCCAGCTCTTTTGAATGTTGTCGCCTGGCTGTTGGCTGGAATCTTCTTTGTTTGCTTTCAGAAGGATATATCTCGATGGCAGTGCTGACATTTGTGGTAGTCCGTTCGGATTGCAGCAAGACATTGCCGTTATGCTATTCCCATTCTGCACTTTCACACCTTCCACGCTCTCAATTCAGGCGGACCCTTCTCAGATGGCAGCGCTGTCAACCATGTGGTCGGTAATCCTAGCAGTGGGAGCAGCGCTGACAGCAATGCCGCTGGTGTTTCTGGTGGTGGTGATGGGCGCGAGTAGCGTGGATAGGGTGGAAAACCCTATCCTCTCGAGCCCGCTGTGGCAGCTGGATGGAGCCATGGCAGCTGGCATCTGCTTCCTCCTCGGGGCAGTTCTTGCGTCCGCTGCAGGTTGACCATGGCTCTCCTTTGTTTGGTGTGTGTTTGGTGTGTGAGCGTGTTTCGTCTTCCCACAGTTTTTTTGTTTATTGCATCTGGCTTCACATTTCTCACGCCACTGGTATGGTTTAGAGCGATCTTTTGAGAGGCTCCTTTTCACCCTGTACTTCCAGTTTTACCATGAAGTCCAGTCTGCTTATTTCTAACCATGGATCTCATCTATGCATCCCCTGCTTACCCACCCAACAGCACGCCCACTGCAGCGCATAAGCCAGGGCAAGATGGTGGCACTACAGGGAAACTGTCCACACTGTGGAGAGGAGGTTTACTCGTTCGTTACACTGGAAGGGGGGAGCAGGCATCGACACAAGGCTGAATGTCATGTCTGCGGCCAGCCTCTGGTCTTTCATGCATTCGTGGAGGTGAATCTCTTTCGCCGTCTCTGCTTTGATTCATTGCGTTGGTTGACGAATTGAGAGATTGTTGGCAACTCTGGGTCGCTTCCTGACAGATGCATTCCATTCCCCTTTTACATGCAGGCATCTCCAAGCAATCCCAAGCATTCATGGGCATACGGTAGAATATACGTTGTGGCTAGAGCAAAGGATTTGGAGCCTCCTGCAGAAGCAAACCCTTAGGATCAGTGGCTTCAGTAAGATATCAGGACTGCTGGGGTGGTGTGTAAAAATGCTATGTGGTTGTGCGTTTGTGTATAGTCAGGTTTGAAGCCAGCACTGGCATCGTGGCATCGGAGGAGTGTTCTCTAATGTTATCAACAAAACTACCGTTGAAGGGACACGTTTGCTGTAATTTGTTCTGTATTTTGTTATTTTACCCGTAGTCCTGAGCTGAATACTGGGAAAAGATACCACCTAGATGGCGTGCTGCCGACCAAGATGCGCAGTGTTATTTCCACGCATATGATGTCAAACTATGCATATTGTGTTTGTGTAGGCTGCTAGTGGGGTAGCCCATATGGGGTACAACCCAATGTTAGGGTTAGCTTATGTACCCAACTCTTGATCAATGCATTCATTCCTGCTGTCAGATTCTAACATGGTTTCAGAGCACTAAGGTCCGTAGGACCGCTTTTTTTTTCGGGCCCACCTACCACTGCGGTTACCGCGCTACCCCACGTACCTGCCTGCCTTGCCTTGCCTTGTGACGTGCTGCACTACGCGAGCCGTCCAGCAGCCCTAGCGCTGCCTCCTGCTGCCCTAGGCCAGCGCGCTGCCCCTAAAGGCCCGTAAGGCCCGCGCGCCGCCCCTACACGCCCTCCAGGCCTGCGCAGCCCGCACCGAGCCGCGCGCAGCCCGTTGCTACCGCGCGCTGCCCCCACTGAGCCCGTGCAGCCCGCACAGAGCCGCGCGCAGCCCCCTGCAGCCGCGCGCAGCCCGCACAGAGCCGCGCGCAGCCCGCTGCAGCCGCGCGCAGCCCGCACCGAGCCGCGCGCAGCCCGCTGCAGCCGCGCGCAGCCCGCGCCGAGCCCACGCAGCCCGCGTAGCGCCGCGCACGGGCCTACTCCTGCCTCGCGAGGCCCGCGCGCCGCCCGCTGCAGCCCGCGCGCGGCCCGCAGCAGCCCGCGCCGAGCCGCGCGCGGCTCGCCACTACCTAGCGCGGCCGCGCGCGGCCTGCAGCAGCCCAGCGCGCTGTCAGCGCAGCCCGCGCCGAGCCGCGCGCGTCCCTCTGCCTCGGCCCCGACCTGCCGCTGATACGGCCCCGCTCTGCAGCTGCCACGGCCCCGACCTGCCGCTGAAGCGGTCCCGCCTGCAGCTGCTTCGGCCCTACTCTGCACCGGGTGTTGCGGCCCCGACGTCGCCGCTGTCGTGCGCCTACTCCGCCGCCGCCCGTTGAGCGCCGGCCCTGCTCGCCCGGCGAGCGCCTGCTCTTCCAGCCTTTGGTGAGCGCCTGCCTGCCTGCCTGCCGGCCTGCCTGTCTGCTTGCCTGCCTGCCTGCCTACCGGCCTGACTGCCTGCCTGCCGGCCTGCCTGTCTGCTTGCCTGCCTGCTTGCCTGCCTGCCTGCCTGCCTACCTGCCTGCCGGCCTGCCTGTCTGCCTGCCTGCCAGCCTGCCGGCCTGCCTGTCTGCTTGCCTGCCTGCCGGCCTGCCTGCCTGCCTGCCTGCCTGCCTGCCAGCCTGCCGGCCTGCCTGTCTGCCTGCCTGCCAGCCTGCCGGCCTGCCTGTCTGCTTGCCTGCCTGCCGGCCTGCCTGCCTACCTGCCTGCCTGTCGGCCTGCCGCGCCTGCCCTGCCCGCGCTACTGCTGCTGCTACTGCTACTGGCCGGTGGCCAGATGCAGCCCCAGCGACGTTCACGTGAGTCTCTCACGCCCCAGCAGCTTAGTGAGTGGTATACTAGCTGGGGTTGTCGCGGTAGCAGTCGTAGCTGTCCCCCTGGAGCTGGTCCGTTGGGAGCGACTGGCAGTGGCCAGCTGCAGCTGCAGCGGCGTCCGCGCGAGACACTTACGTCCCGGCAGCTCCACGAGTGGTACGCTCAGTGTAGCAGGTCTACGCGTACAGTTCGCTGCCAGTACGTCCTTCGCACAGGTGATAGGACTGGTCAGCCTTGCGGGACGCTTGGTCACACACAGTCCCGCTGCTTCGCCCGTCTGAGCGACGACTGGCGTACAGTGTTTGGCGACGAGGCTGAGCTCCCCGACTGGCTGGAGCTGCTTGGACAGAGGGTAGATATCTTTGCTCCTGACTATGATGCTATTCTCACTGCCATGTATGCATTGCCTACTAGTGTTGACCGTGCCTGTTACCTGTGCGTCCCGCCTGACCCTGGTATAGCACCTGCTGCTCCCGGTACTGGTGAGGCTGCTGCCCTAGGTGCTCGTGTGTCTCCTCCTCTGGGTGCTGGTGAGGCTGCTGCTCTAGGTGCCGGTACGTTTCCTGCTCCAGGTGCTGGTGAGTCTGCTCTCTCTAGTTCTGCGCCTACTGCGGCCTTGTACACCTTCACGCTTGACTCAGGTGCCTCCCGCTCCTTCTTTCGCGACTGCACCACACTCACGCCGCTTAGTCGGCCGGTTGCAGTCTCCCTGGCGGACCCCTCTGGGGGTCCAGTCCTTGCCCACTACTCCACGGTTCTGCCGTGTCCGGCCGCCCCGTCTGGCTTGCTGTCAGGTCTTTACCTCCCCTCGTTCTCTACGAACTTGGTGAGTGGAGCTGACCTCCAGGATCAGGGGGTGCACCAGTTCACTCCTGCGAGTCAGCGGGTGACTCACTGTACGTGTGCTCGGACCGGCCGACACCTGGCCACGTTTTCCCGTGCGCCTGGCTCGAGTCTGTACACCCTGACCACTGCGTCCGCTCAGGTAGCTGCGTCTGCGTCTGCGTCCGGTCAGCCGACGGCCCCCTGCGAGTGTCGCGCTTTGTCGCACCAGACCCTCCTGTGGCACCACCGCCTTGGTCACCCCTCGGTGCAGCGCCTTCGTGGCATGCACTCTCGCTTCCTGGTTTCTGGTCTGCCCAGGTCTTTGCCTGCCCTGCCTCCCTCGCTTGCGCCGCCCTGCATTCCTTGCGTCGAGGGGCGGCAGCGCGCCGCTCCTCACTCCTCCTCGTTCCCTCCCACAGAGGCTCCCCTGCAGACTCTCCACCTGGACGTGTGGGGCCCAGCCCGCGTCCGTGGACAGGGCCACGAGCGGTACTTCCTGCTGGTTGTTGACGACTACACGCGTTACACCACGGTCTTTCCCCTGCGCAGCAAGGGGGAGGTCCCTGCTGTTTTGATCCCTTGGATCCGCGCTGCCCGTCTCCAGCTCCGCGAGCGGTTCGGGACGGAGTTTCCCGTCCTGCGTCTGCACTCTGACAGAGGTGGTGAGTTCTCCTCCGACCTCTTGGCAGCCTTCTGTGCGGAGCACGGCATCACCCAGTCGTTCACGCTTCCGGACTCTCCGCAGCAGAATGGGGTTGCTGAGCGCCGCATTGGCTTAGTCATGGAGGTCGCTCGTACCTCCATGATCCATGCGGCTGCCCCCCATTTTCTGTGGCCGTTTGCGGTCCGGTACGCCACGCATCAGCTCAACCTCTGGCCCCGTGTCTCCCTGCCGGAGACCTCGCCCACACTGCTGTGGACGGGGAAGGTTGGCGATGCGTCGCGTTTCCGGGTCTGGGGTGCTCGTGCCTTTGTCCGCGATACCACCGCGGACAAGCTCTCCGCCCGTGCAGTTCCCTGTGTCTTCCTTGGCTTTGTCCCTGACGCGCCTGGTTGGCAGTTTTACCACCCCACCTCGCGCCGTGTCTTTGCGTCTCAGGACGTCACGTTCGACGAGTCGGTTCCCTTTTACCGTCTCTTCCCCTACCGCACTGCCCCTCTCCCTCCCCCGCCGCTCTTCCTCGCTCCAGGTGCTCCCCAGGTCGACCCTCTCCCCGCTCCAGGTCCTGCTCCCTCAGGTGTGTCTCAGGTAGACCCTCCTCCCTTCCCTGCGCCGGTTGAGGTCACTGGTGACTCAGGTCCTGCTGGGGGTGGTCCTGCTCGGGGTGCTACTTCTGGGGGTGCTGAGTCTGGGGGTGCTGAGCCTGGGGGTGCGGAGCCTGGGGGTGCGGAGCTTGAGGGTGTCGAGCCTGGAGGTGCTGAGCCTGAGTGTGAGGGGTCTGGAGGTGCTGGAGCTGGTGGTTCTGGGGCTGCTGAGGGTGCTAGCGCTGGAGGTTCTGGAGCTGCTGGAGGTCCTGGTGCTGGTGGCGCTGGAGCTGCTGAGGGTGCTGGCGCTGAGGGTTCAGAGTCTGCTGTTGCGCGGTCTCCTTGGAGTAGCCGCCTTCGTCCACGTGTGCCACTCACCTCGCAGCAGCTGCAGGACCGGTACGGTCGCCGTCAGGGTCGCGCTGCTGGAGCCCGGGGCTCTACTGCTGGAGGTACTTCTGCTGCCGTCCCTGGCGCTAGGAGTGGTGCTGGTACTGTTTCTACTGGAGGTGCTGGAGTCGCTGGTCCCGGAGGTGCTCGTACTGGAGGTACTGGAGCTGCTGGGGCTGGGGGTGCTGCGTCTGGAGGTGCTGCTGCTGGAGACACCGAGGCTGGAGACCCTGGGACTGGAGGTGCTGGTTCTGGGGGTGCTGCTGCTGGAGACGTGGAGGCTGGAGACCCTGGGACTGGAGGTGCTGGTTCTGGGGGTGCTGCTGCTGGAGACGTGGAGGCTGGAGACCCTGGGACTGGAGGTACTGGTTCTGGGGTTGATGCTGCTGGAGGCACTGGGGTTGGAGACCCTGGGCCTGGAGGTGTCGGTTCTGCTGCTGGAGCTTCTGGAGCTGCTGGAGGTGCTGGAGCTGCTGGGGGTACTGGAGCTGCTGGAGCTGCCGGTTCTGGTGCAGCTGCGCCGCCACGACTGTTCTTCGCTCCGCCGTCTCCGTCGTCTCTGCCGCCGCCTGACTCTGTTCTTCGTCAGGTTCTTACTCTCCCGTCGTCTACTGGTCTTCCGTTACAGCCTGGCTCACCGCTGCCTGCTCCTTCTCCTTACACTGAGCAGACGGGTAGTCTTGCTGAGCGTCGTGAGCCTGCGTCGCGTCCTGTCTCGCCTGTTCGTCCTAGTCGTACCGGTCGTCGTGTTCCGCGTCCGCGTTCGCCGCCTGTCCCCACCGCACACCTTGTCGTCCGTCGTCCTTCCTCTGTTCCGCAGTCTGTTTCTCTGCCGTCTCCTCCTGCGTCTTCCTTGCCTCACGTTCCGGACCCTGAGTCTGACCGGTTTCGTGCTGAGCACCCTACTGTCACGCGTCTGCTCGCCACTGTTGTCACTGACCCCTCGTTTGAGTCTGCTGCTGCGACAGCTTTGGTTGCCGAGCTTGTTGACTTTGCGGCTGCCTGTCGTCTAGACTACGCTGCTAGTCTTGTCGCTGAGTCTGAGTCTGTCTGTCCTCCGTCCGTCGGGGGTGAGTGTGCTCTTAGCACGGACGTCCTTGAGGACAGGCACGAGGACCTTGAGTGTCTTGCAGCCGCTGCGCCTCATCTCGTGACCATGCTGCTTGCCCCTGAGGGAGACCCGGATGCACTAGACATCCCCACCCCGCGCTCGTACGCTGAGGCGGTCGCGGGTCCCTACTCCTCTCAGTGGCAGGCAGCCATGGACGCAGAGATGGCATCCTGGAAGTCCACAGGCACTTACGTCGACGAGGTTCCCCCTCCTGGGGCGAACATCGTCAGTGGCATGTGGATTTTCAGGGTGAAGCGGCCGCCTGGTTCTCCGCCTGTCTTCAAGGCACGTTACGTTGCTCGAGGCTTCAGTCAGCGAGAGGGGGTTGACTTCTTCCAGACCTTCTCCCCCACCCCGAAGATGACCACTCTTCGGGTACTGCTGCACGTTGCCGCCCAGCGTGACTACGAGCTTCACTCGCTTGACTTCAGCACAGCTTTCTTGCAGGGCAGCCTGCACGAGGAGATCTGGCTGCGCCGCCCACCTGGCTTCACTGGGTCGTTCCCTCCTGGTACCCAGTGGAGCCTCCGCCGGCCAGTCTACGGTCTCCGTCAGGCGCCTCGTGAGTGGCACGACACACTGAGGACTACGCTTGCGGCTCTCGGGTTTGCGCCCTCCACAGCTGACCCGTCACTGTTTCTGCGCACCGACACTTCGCTGCCGCCGTTCTACATCCTCGTGTACGTCGACGACTTGGTCTTTGCCACTGCTGACACTGAGGCTCTCGCCCTGGTGAAGTCCGAGCTGCAGAAGAGACACACGTGCACAGATCTGGGTGAGCTGCGCAGCTACCTTGGCTTGCAGATCACCCGGGACAGAGCACGTCACTCTGACTCAGTCACACATGGTGCAGCAGGTCCTTCAGCGCTTCGGCTTCACCTGGTCCTCGGCACAGTCCACTCCTCTGGCTACAGGTCACTCGCTCTCAGCTCCACCTTCGGACGAGTCCGTAGAGCCGAGTGGTCCTTACCCAGAGCTAGTAGGCTGCCTCATGTACCTGATGACTTGCACTCGTCCTGACCTTGCGTACCCTCTTGGCCTTTTGGCCCGCTACGTGGCTCCTGGTCGGCACTGAAAGGTGCACTGGGATGCTGCGAAGAGGGTACTGCGCTACTTGTGCAGTACATCGGGCATGGGGCTCGTACTTGGAGGACGGCGAGAGGTGGTCCTCACTGGGCACTCAGACGCGTCTTGGGTTGACGACCAGGCTACACAGCGGTCGTCACAGGGTTACACTTTCAGCCTCGGCTCTGGTTCTGTTTCGTGGCGTTCTACTCGCTCGTCTTCTGTTCTCAGCTCCAGTTGTGAGGCTGAGATCTACGCCACCGCCATGGCTGCTCAGGAGCTGCGCTGGCTCACCTACCTGCTGACCGACCTGGGAGAGCGGCCTCGTTCTCCTCCAGTTCTGTACGTTGACAACAAGGCAGCCATTGCCTTGTGTGAGGAGCACAGACTGGAGCACAGAACGAAGCACATCGCTCTGCGTTACTTCCTGGCTCGAGAGTTGCAGCAGCGTGGTCAGCTTCGTCTTGCACACGTGGCCACTCGGGCCAACACTGCTGATATATTCACCAAGGCACTTCCGTCTGGTGATCATCAGCGCTTTTGTACCTTGTTGGGCCTTGTGCCTACGTTTCCACACTTGCTGTAGACTCTGTCTGTACTGTGATCTTTATATATATATATACCTGCATGCTTGCTCTTGTTAGGTAGTGATCACTGTACTTTGTTTGTTGCATATATACCTCTGCATGTGGACTGGCCTTGTGGCCCTTTGCTTGTGCTCAGTCTGTGTGGTGACGTTGTGATCCACCCTGAGCTTGGTTTGTTTCTCTTGACTGGTCTTGTGACCCCTTGTTCTCCCCCACTTTGCCTATGGGGGTGTGTCAAACTATGCATATTGTGTTTGTGTAGGCTGCTAGTGGGGTAGCCCATATGGGGTACAACCCAATGTTAGGGTTAGCTTATGTACCCAACTCTTGATCAATGCATTCATTCCTGCTGTCAGATTCTAACATATGATACTGCACATTCACAGCGAGCTTATTTAGCTTCTGTATCTGTACCGACAAACGGCGACAAAAGGGTACAATCAATTCATTGTCGCTCCACGTCCACATTTCAAACGCGAATGGAGGGCGCACGACAGACATACCCGCCGTCCGATTCTCGGGAATCATTTGTTCGTGGAATTTTTGGCGGGAAAGGTTTGGATAAACAAGCGATGCCGCTGGCAAGCTCAGGACGCGTCACATGTCCAACACCGGGGTATGATCGGCTTCAAACACCGAGTTTGTGTGCATCGCGTATGAAAAAGGGGAATCGATCTGCCGGAGCAGTGTTGGCTGCTTCCCCGAGCCAAGTGTGACACGTTCGGTTTAGCAAGTGGTGTGCTCCATGCCAACTGTACACCAAAGCGGCCAGCGCATGAGTCGTACTTCGCTGGCATGTCGCACAACACTCGCTAGGCTTCGTCCTTACGCAGGTGTAGCCCAACGACTGTTTGTGATGTCGTCCGGTTACCACATCGAAAGTGGCCGACGGTATGCGACGGCGTTCGATCGTGGCTGGAACTGGTGGCGCGACATCGATTCCCGCGCTGTCAATCGCACGATCGATGTGCCTGCTTGAGCCATCCGATCTGGGGTTTTATGTGTGTGCACGAATTTCGTGACATGCTTAACGACAACGGGATACATGTCTTTCACGAAATGGCGAAGGCACTGTAGATGCTGCACACCGATATTTCACGGGATCGGTGTTGGACATGTGACGCGTCCTCAAGGGCCTTCTTGCAAAGGGATTGCACTGCCTCGACTGGTCCTCCTCACCACACTTTCTTTTGGTCTCTCTAATCTAGCTTCATCTATCATCTCACTAGTCTAGCTTGTTTGCCGTGTAAACTTATAGGAAAGACGGACTTTAACAGCCATTAGTCTCTTGTTATTCATACGTTTCAAAATGCCAGTCGGGTCACCTATCCAACGCCTACCGCAGGAGCTTCTATCTCAGGTCCTGCATTTTCTGGTTCGACCTGATGGTCAGCTGGAGCACGCACGTGTCAGCAAGCAATGGCAGCACATTGCGTACCATTTGCAAAATGAGCTTCACTTGCCGTACAACCTCCGCATGGATCCGCATCAGCTCCTTCAACTCCTGTCCTCGTTCCCTAATCTAAAAAACCTAGTCCTTTCCCATGGCAGCCTCAACACAGCCTTCAATGCATTATTCTCTCGCCTCACTGACGTGTGTCCTCATCTGACCGAGCTGCGAGTCGAATCGATGGGACGTGAGTACAGATACGAAGGTGTAAGCGAGAAGAGCCTGGAGTTTTTGTTCAAGAAGAGTACTCTACTGGAAGATCTCCATTTGGACTGTCCGAATAATGCTGCCATTCCTCCGTCGATCGACCGACTCACATTGCTTAGGAACTTGAACCTCAGGACCAGCGTCACGCGACTTCCCGACACGTTCACCTCCTTGCAGTCTCTCAGAAGCCTCGTGCTGCACACTTACAGACTGGCGGCTTTGCCCGCTGATTTCGGCAAGCTGGTTTCCTTAACGTCGCTTAAGGTGCACAGTTGCTCGCTGGCGTCGCTTCCAGAATCTATCGGGCAACTTGCCAGCCTGAACCTGTTATCCTTGAATGACTGCTCAACGATGCAGCTGCCAACCTCTCTCACCAAGCTTTCTTCTCTCGCCGTCCTGGAGATTCGACGTTGCAAGTTCCTTCTCCCGCCACCCGTCAACTTCCCTCGACTGTGGCGGCTCGAAACCCTCATTCTGGAAGGAGTGACGGGATTGCGCGGCCTTATCGAGGCTCTTGAACATCTGTGGCGGCTCAAGACTCTCGTGATCAAGTGCTGTAGCGATATCACGTCTCCGCCGGAGTCTCTCTTCCGCCTGCCGTCGCTCACCAGCCTCACCCTTTACATGTCACAACTGGCAGTACTCCCTGACGACATCGGGAGCTTGTCAAAGCTACAGACACTCGTGCTGGAGTTGACGGACCTCGCAACTCTTCCTGATTCTATCTGCCTGGTTACAACGCTCCAGGAGATTTCCTTAGATAATCTTTTGAAGCTGCCGTCTCTGCCCAAGGACTTTGGGCAGCTGATCGCTCTTGAAAAACTGCGCCTTTACTGCCTCGGGCAGCTCACAGAGTTACCTGAATCCTTCGGGCAGTTGACAGCTCTCCGGGAGCTGAAATTGCTGGATTGTAGGCAGCTGCAGCATCTTCCGGACTCTCTAACCCAGTTATCTTCTCTCGAGCACCTGGAGATTAAGACCTGTCCGTGTCTCGCGGTGCTGCCAGATGAAATGGGGAACGGCATGCGGCGGTTGCGCTATCTGCATCTGCAACACTGCTCATCTCTCACCCACCTCCCTCCATCCTCCTCCGCCCTGACGTCCCTCGAAACCCTCAAGATCATGGCAGCTGTTCGCTTCAAAGGCAACCTACTAGACGGTTTCTGCTGCTTGACACGCCCTAAGGAGTTGGTGATCCAGGATATGCCACGCCTGTCTGCCCTTCCTGCCTCCTTCTCTGGTGTTTTTTCGCTCACCAGCTTGGAACTTATCAACTGCCCTAAAGTAACGATCCTGCCTGAGGGGATCGGACGGTTGGAGGCGCTCGAGATGGTCATGATCGCACGGATGGACGGCTTGAAGCATCTCCCTGCGTCGCTTGTCAGGTTGCCGCGACTGCGAATGTTGGAGGTGCGGGTATGTGATAAGATTAGCGCGCTGCTGGGAGATGAAATCGTGGTCAAACGCGCTGCCAGGGGTGCTTCGGCCATCTCCAACAGCACTGCCAGCAGCAGCACCGCCACCAGCAGGGCACTGCTTCCATCCCTTCGAAGTCTCAAGCTGAAATCTCTTCCGTTCCACACCATTGGTCCGTCCCTTGGCCAGCTCTCCTCTCTAACGAAGCTGAAGCTCATGGAGATGGACAGTCTGGTATCGCTCCCTGATTCCATCTCTCAGCTCTCGTGCCTGAAAAGACTCCGGATTGATTTTGCCTCGAGGATTGAGGCACTGCCAGCAACCTTGGGAGGGCTTTCACGGCTGCGAGTCTTGCAGTTTTGCTTCTTAGATATACAGCAGCTGCCCGAGTCGTTCGGGCAGCTGAAGATGCTTGAGACGCTGGAGATTATTTACTGCTGCAAGATAAAGAAACTTTCAGGATCCTTCGGAAATCTTTCCAAGTTACAATCCTGTACCCTCACCAAGCTTGCGATCTCAACGTTTCCTGAGAATTTCTGGAAGCTGTCCTCCCTCCAAGAGTTGGTGCTTCTGGGACTGAAGCACGTCCGCAGCTTGCCAGAGTCGTTCTCTAAGCTGCCTCAACTACAGGTGCTGTTGGTGACTGCATGCAAGAAACTGGCCCGGCTGCCGTCTTCTCTCCGAAGAATGCCGACGCTGCGGGAGTTGGATGTGAGTGAGTGCCCTTTGCTCTCATGGTGAGACCGGAGGGGGATTCGTGCAGGGATTGTCGAGGAGGACGGGGAGGAGGAAGAGGGAGTGATGGCTGATGAGGAAGAGGAGGATGGGGGGGAGGACGCAGAGGGTGGGCAGGGGGGAAATGCGATGGTGGAAGGGCGAGAGGCGGGCAGGGAGGCAGCGGAGGAGGCAGAGAATAGTGATGGTGAGGATTGGGAAATTTGTCATGAGTATGGTGTGGACAGTGACATTGACTATGACGATGTGGGGGGCTGGGGAGCGAGTGATGATGAGGAATAGCATGGTGGAATTGGTGAGGTGGAAAAGGTGTTGAGGGAGATGTGAAGGACTGGAAGAACAAGGGGAAGACGGTTGCTATGGTTGGATGGGAGGTTGTGTTTCTAGGTTGGATTGGGATTGGGATGGGATTGGATCATGGGATTGCTCATTGTGTTGGGTTACAAAAGGTGTGCCTTTGTGGCGATTTCAGGGTGGCCCATGTATCCCAACTAATGCAGGCTTCCCCCAAGGACTCATGGGCATATGGTAGAATTAATGTCGTAGCTAAAGCCAGGGATTTGGAGCCTTATGCTGAAGCATACCCTTTGGTGTAGTTGTTTCACAGACAGGCTATTTCAGTTATCAGGACTTTGTGATACATGTGTTTTTGTCGAGGTGTGTTCATTGTGTATACTCAGGGCATGTCCAGTTCGTTCATTTCAGGTTTTTTAGGGCCAACACACGTCTCGAGGTTCAAGAATGATCACTGTACCTAACAACGAATGTATTGTGAGTTGTGTCCAACCTACATGTAATTTCAGGAGTGCGGACACATTCCCCGCCACACGAATCAACAGTGCTCGGACCGCGTTCGAAACGAGGTAACATTCTTCCTCGTCAATCATAGCTTGAGAATTTTTGGGCAGGCGCAGGGGGCGTTGGCGAGTGTAGCGAGCCACTGGCGAAATCGTGCAAGCGATACATGGGGCACTCACTGTAGTGGCCAGGACGCGGTGCTGTACCCTTGTTCTCGTCCCCGCTGATTCCAGTAACGTGAGTCAGACGACTCGAGGTACGTGCAGGGGGCGTGCCGTCTTGTGAACGACAGCTGATTGTGTCCGCAGGACACGTTCATTACAGTGTTACAACAAAAAATGTGGTAACTGAACGGGTTTACGAACAGTAAATGTACGAGCTGGACACCCCCTCAGTCGAAAGCCAGCAATGGCATTGTCGCGTCGCAGCATTGCACTTCTGCACTGCATTGGCGTACCAACTTTCTTGCGCTGCCCAGTTTTAAGGGCGTGTTGCATTGTATATATTTCTCGTCCGGATGGCTTGCCGTTCGAACAACTGTGTGGTTACGAAACTCGTTCAGTCTCGGCAGTAAGGTCGTCAGGGTCTAAACGACGCTGTATGCTTCGTTTTGCTTACTTATGACATCGCATTGGTCGCAACACGACCGGGCGACGTCGCAATCTTCGCACGCGTCCGGACCACCGTCCGGACTTTCAGCGATTTCGAAAAATGTAACACGGCTTAAAGCCAGGGTCTCAAGTACTACGAGTGTTTTGCAGTTGCTGTTGAAAGTTGGGCTGTGATTGGTTGGCGAGGTGAAAGGTTTGAAGTGGGGAGAAGCGAGGGGTGCGAAGCGAACGCAAATCGTTGGGTGTATCCGAACCTTCTAGGCTTGGAAATTTGGTTCGGAACCAAACCTAAAATGCCCCCAACTCATCGAAAGTCTCAAGTACCCAAAAGTGTTGTGCAATCGCTTCTGGGGCACTGACGGGGTGTGTTGCACGCTGATTTTCCAACCCAACCAGAAAGAACTTCGTCTGCAATAACTAGGTAACCTAGCTTCAACTGCAAAGCAGTTGACAGCTCCTTAGCTTACTTGAGACCCTGGCTTTAACCAAGATTGCTTGGCATGATGCGCTTGTATTCTGTTTAGGACGTGTCTCAAACAAGCAAGTCCACGCGGGTCCGATGCGGACCCCATGGACCAGCTCGAGAACCAGCGCGTGAGCCAGCAACGGACTGGACCAGGGTTCGGGCTTGAGTTCTCGTTATAGCGTTCGAATGACACTAAAACGGTGCCTTCGATTTGGTCGCTGGACCAGTCCGCCCCTGGTCCGTAAACAAGAATCTCACGAACATCTCTTTGCGAATTCTCTAACTCTCGTGCTTTTCGCACAAGATTATTCGGAAAGCTTCAAACGGGCACATGAAAAAGGGTAACTCAATTTCAGTACATAATTGTTTCGTCGTCACTACTGAAATTCGCAGCGACTGTAGCAACACATCAAGCAGACCAGTCCGCTTCTGGTCCACGGCTGGTCTGCCAGAAGGGTCCGTCGGACCGGACTTCGGACCAAGGTGCAAATTTAAGAGGGTGTCTCAATGTGACTGGTCTGCGCGGACCTGGTCCGTAGCTCAAATTTGCTCCCTGGTCCGAAGTCTGGTCCGACGGACCCTTTTGGCAGACCAGCCGTGGACCAGAAGCGGACTGGTCTGCTTGATGTGTTGCTACAGTCGCTGCGAATTTCAGCAGTGACGACGAAACAATTATTTACTGAAATTGAGTTACCCTTTTTCATGTTCCCGTTTGAAGCTTCCCAAACAATCTTGTGCGAAAAGCACGAGAGTTAGAGAATTCGCAAAGAGATGTTCGTGAGATTACTGTTTACGGACCAGGGGCGGACTGGTCCGGCGACCAGATCGAAGGCACCGTTTTAGTGCCATTCGAACGCTATAACGGGAACTCAAGCCCGAACCCTGGTCCAGTCCGTTGCTGGCTCACGCGCTGGTTCTCGAGCTGGTCCGTCGGGTCCGCGTCGGACCCGCGTGCACTTGCTCGTTTGAGACACGTCCTAAGCTACGGACCAGGTCCGCGCGGACCAGTCACATTGAGACACCCTCTTATTGGGCCAATTCTTCGGTCCCACTATCGGGTTCGGTTTGGTCGCTCTCTCCATACGTGCTCAACGACACGAACGGAGGGCGCACGAATCTCGCAGAAGCAGGAAGGAAGTTCGCATAACCGCGGCGTACGTCGCCATCCGATTTTTGAAATCATCAGCTCGTGGAATAATTTGGCGGGAACGTATGATAAAACTAGTGGTGCAGTGCGGTGTCTGACAAGCCCAAGTTTCCCTTCCTGAAAGAATGCCTCGACTCGGATGCGTCTGATCCTTCAGACCAGCTAGCCTGACGGCACTTCCTACTAGTCTCACTGGTCCAGCTTGTTTGCAGTGTTAGCTTATAAAAAAGGCGTATCATCTAGATGAAAAGCCATTAGTATCTTGTTAGTCCCTCGTTTTAAAGATGCCAGTCGGATCGCCTATCCAACGGCTACAGGAGGAGCTGCTTTCTCAGGTCCTTAATTTTCTGGTTGGACCTGATGGCCAGCTGGAGCATGCACGTGTCAGCAAGCAATGGCAGCACATTGCTTACCGCTTGCAAAATGAACTTCACTTGCGCTACGATCTCCGTATGGATCCGCATCAGCTTCTTCGATCTCTGTCACTCTTCCCTAACCTCAGAAAGCTAGTCCTTTTTTCTGGCAGCCTCACCTCACACTCGGATTCTTTCTTCTCTCGCCTCGCTGACGTGTGTCCTCATCTGACCGAGCTGCGTGCTGAATCGATGGGACGTGACTAAATACGGACAGGCATAAGTGAGAAGAGCCTGGAGTTTCTTTTCGAGAGGTGTACTCTGCTAAAAGATCTCCATTTGGAGTGTTCTGAGCGTGCTGCCATTCCGCCGTCGATCAACCGACTCACGATGCTCAGAAGCTTACATCTCAAGGCCAGCGTCTCGCGACTTCCCGACACATTTACTTCATTGCAGTCTCTTAGAAGCCTCGAGCTGCACTCTTACGAGCTGGCGGCTTTGCCTGGAGACTTCGGCAACTTGGTTTCCTTAACGTCGCTCAAGTTGCAGTGGTGTTGCTCCCTAGCGTCGCTTCCCCAATCCTTCGACCAACTCGCCAGTCTGAGCCTTCTATCCTTGAGTAACTGCTCGACGCTGCAGCTGCCGGCCTCTCTCACCAAGCTTTCTTCTCTCGCCGTCCTGGAGATTCGCCAGTGCGAGTTCCTTCACCCGCCACCCGTCGATTTTCATAGACTGCAGGCGCTCGAAACCCTCATATTGGATGAAGTGACGGGACTGCGCGGCTTAATCGAGGCTCTTGAGCATCTGTGGCGGATCAAGACTCTAACGGTCAAGCGCTGCAGCGACATCCCGTCTCTGCCCGAGTCTCTTTTCCGCCTGCCTTCACTCACCTGCCTCACCCTCGACATGCCGCAGCTTTCAGTTCTGCCGGACGAGTTTGGGCGGTTGTCAACGCTGCAGACACTCGTTCTAGATCTGAGGAAACTCACAACCCTTCCTGACTCCATAATTTCACTTACCACGCTCCAAGAGCTTGCCTTGGAAAATCTCTGGAGCCTGCCGTCTCTGCCTGGGGACTTCGGGCAGCTGATTGCTCTTGAAAAGCTGCGCCTGAACAACTTTCGCCAGCTCAGACGCCTGCCTGAATTTTTTGGGCGGATGGCTGCCCTCCGGGAGCTGAAAATTGTGGAGTGTAGGCAGCTGCAGCAACTCCCGGACTCCCTCTCCCTGCTATCTTCTCTCAAGCACCTGGAGATCAAGAAGTGCCCGGCCCTGACGAAGCTGCCAGATAAAATGGGGAACGGATTGCAGCGTCTGCAGCATCTGCATCTGGAGCAATGCTCTTCTCTCACCCACCTCCCTCCATCCCTCTCCTTGCTGACTTCCCTTGAGACCCTCAAGATCATTGAAGCTAAATGCTTCGAAGGCACCCTACTGGACGGCTTCTGCTGCTTGAAAAGCCTCAAGGAGTTGGTGCTTGAAGACATGCCTCGCCTAACCTCCCTTCCTGCCTCCTTCTCGGGCGTTTATTCACTGACCAGCCTTGAAGTGATCAACTGCCCTAGAGTAAGGGCCCTACCTAAGGGGATCGGACGGCTGACGGCGCTCGAGGTGGTCAAGATCGCAGTGATGGATCGCTTGAGGCATCTTCCCGCTTCGCTTGTTAAGCTGCCGCGACTGCGGGTGTTGGAGGTGCGGGTATGTGATAAGGTCGACGCATTGTTTGGCGATGAGTCGGTGGTCAAACGCACCAACAGCATCGCCGGCAGCAGCAGCAGCAGCAGGGTACTGCTTCCATCTGTTCAAAGTCTCAAGATAAAGTGTCTTCCATTCCGTACCCTTGGACCATCCCTTGGCCAGCTTTCCTCTCTCACGAAGCTGAAGGTCATGGAGATGGACAGCCTTGTTTCTCTCCCTGACTCCATCTCTCAGCTCTCATGCCTGAGAAGGCTTCGGATTGATTCGGTCATTCAGTTGGAGTCGCTGCCTGACGCCCTTGGAGGGCTTTCACGGCTGCGTGTCTTGCAGCTGATTGACCTCTCTGAAGTAAGGCAGCTGCCCGAGTCTCTCGGACAGCTGAAGATGCTCGAGAAGCTGGAGATTATTGACTGCTACAAGCTGATGCAGCTTCCAGAAACATTCGCGAATCTGTCTAAGTTACGTTCCTGTATGCTTATCAAGCTTGGCCTCTTGACTTTTCCTGAAAATTTCTGGAAGCTGTCTTCCCTCCAAGAGTTGGTGCTTCTGGGGCTGAAGCATGTCTGCAGCTTGCCAGAGTCGTTCGCTAAGCTGCCTAAGCTACAGGTGCTGCTGGTTACTGCGTGCAAGAAGCTGGCTCAGGTGTCGTCTTCTCTCCGGAGAATGCCGACGCTGCGTGAGTACCGTATCAGCGAGTGCCCTTTACTCCCACAACAAGACACGATGGGGGTTCTTGCAAGGGGAGGCGGGGAGGATGGGGAGGAGGGAGAGGGAGCGGTTAATGAGGGAGAGGCGGAAGGGGAGGGTGGGGAGGGAGGAGAAGCGATGGTGGAAGGGCATGAGACGGACAGGGAGGCAGCGGAGGAGGCAGTGGATGCGGAGGGAAGAGATGAGGTGGTGGAAGGGCGAGAGGCAAACAGGGAGGCAGTGGAGGAGGCAGAGAGTGAGGAGGGAGGAGATGAGATGCTGGAAGGGCGAGAGGCGGACAGGGAGGTAGCAGAGGAGGAGGGAGAGGGTGAGGAGGGAGGAGATGAGGTGCTGGAAGGGCAAGAGGTGGACTGGGAGGAAGCAGAGAGTGGTGGTGAGGATTGGGATGTCTGTCATGATTATGGCATGGACAGTGACGATGACAGGGACGACGATGCAGGCTGGGGGGCGAGTAGTGACGAAGACGAGTAGACACATGGTGGAACTGGTGAGGGGGAGGAGGAAGGAGAATGTGAAGGTCCGGAAGGAGAATGTGGTGGAAGGAGGTTGTCATGGTCGGATGGGAGGTTGTGAATCGTGATTGGGAAGTTGTGGGTTTCTTTGTTTGTCTTGGTTTGGGTGCAATTTGTGTGACTCGTTATGGTCCTAGTTTGCTTGTGAGCGAGTGGGTTGCTGCACTCACCAGAACAGAGGTGCCCTTTATGGGATGTGTAGTTCAGTGCAGATTGGGTCAATATAGTATAGGTGCAAATATTACATCAGCTTGAGGCGTAGCTTTTAAGGGTTGTAGGAACGCCTCCTTTTCTCAGCCTTGGGAGGCAGCATCTGGACTGGAGCAAAACCTCACAAGAGAGGCAGATGATGAACAGGACTGGACACTCGCAGCGGTGCCTGGCTATCGTTGAGACGTGAAAGAACGGCCATATTGTGGCGTTCAATAATTGTTTTTGTGGCTATTGTTTATTATTGTTTTTTCACCCTTCATACGCACGTACGGTACCGGCAAAATACAGTACATTAAAATACAGAATTCTATAATTTTCAGAGACCATGCATTTTGACCCATACATTTTCATCTGTGCTTCTCAACACTCCTTGTGTTTTTGGAAATTAACAAAAATATTGTTGCAAAACAGAATTCACATCGATGAGTGGTGATTTCGCACCCACAAACGGGTACGCTGCCATCACATTCTTGGCGGTAACTACACATGACCACATCCGCCACCACAGCGTACCCAATTGACACTCGCGGGGGCACGGTTTTTTTTTTTTTTTTTTTTTTTTTTTTTTTTTTTTTTTTTTTAATAATGAAAAGTATACACCAGTGAGCAAGCATATACCCCATAACGGTCGTAACTGCGCGTGAGGAACAGAGGGTGAGCTACTGTTCCATATGAGACAGTCTAAGGGCGGGAGATGCTTGCCCTCCGCCTGGACCACAGTGCGGCAAACGCACTTATCCACTTCCAGCTTTTGCCAGCCGATTTGATCTTCCCCAACATGTTCTGCTCCTCAGCAAAATTCCTCGTGTCGCTTGTGGTGAATCGCGCCAAACTTGCGGGTCTAGATGCGTGCATGCTGCCTGAATGCAAACTCTGTCTTGTGGAGGACTCGTGCGAAACTTCTGGCCTCGGAATACTGCTTCGCACCTTTCAACCCACAGCTGATGAAATGCGATGGATGTGAGTGTCAGCTCCGGGAATGCTGAGCTGGACCTTGTTTTCCGGAACAACAGGTCACCGAGCGTGGCTGTGGGACGGTTGGGATTTAGCATGCGCAGAGCATGCCTGAGAGCGAGGTAACTGTCTGGATCCGAGGGCAGAGGAGGAGACAGTGGTCCAGTGTCTCCTCCCCCCGGCAGTAGGGGCAGGATTGTTGCCCGCTGAGGAATGCAAGGCGCTCCCCCACTTGCAAGACCTGATGGAGATTACCCCCCCACCCTCCAGAATGTTCAGCGGGGAGATAGAGGCAGTCGAGCAGGGGGGGACCGAAGGAAAACCTAGCAGTTGTAACCACGCCGCTGGCATGGTGATCAGCGCCTTCACCGCAAGCCTCGTCGGGCCACTACCGCCAAGCTGTCGCGAGAGCTCCCTCTGCTGCTTCAGCATCAGCTCCCCTCCGTTATCCTCCAGCAGCTCTCCGACGCGAACTTCCCAGAGATTCGCGCTATCTTTCTGTCCACCGACAGGAGTTTGGAGAAGGGATGCTTTGTTGAACACCAGCCTTTCTCTTAGAACCGCTTCTCTGCTATCCGCCGCTGGCCGGACGCAGAACGGGGATTTGATGAAGCTGTCGCCATTTGTTTCCATCTCATGCTTCTTCCCTTCCAATGCTTCAGCAGGAGTGCATGAGAGGAGAAAGTGTCGACACCCACAGGGAGATCTGCCGCCTGCGCCATGATTGCTTTCTTCATGGGGTTCCGTTCCGTAAGATACAGGCCCACTCTCCTGGCCGCAAGATAGGTAATCATGATCTCCGGGTCCTTTACACCGATGCCACCAGCCTCCCTTGGAGTGTATAACAGAGATTTGCTCCAGAGGATGAATCCCTTCACCGTCGCAACTCGGTTGCCTGATGTGAAGCTCTGTATCAATCTGATGACCTCCTCCCATATCTCCGCCGGGGGAGGGTAAATTTGGGCTTGGAATGCCAGTAATGGAGAGATGTAATTGTTGATGTCTGTAGCTCTCGCTCTCGTCGTGAGATATTTCAGCTGCCACTTTGTTAACTTCCCCATAATGTGTTCCCACGCCTTTTCCCAGGTCGGCAGGCCGCTTCCGGACGGTGTCACCCAAACCCCCAGCAACATCTCTACTTCATCCGCTCTGGCCCACTTGAAGCAGCTGGAGCCGTCACCCTTCGCACCCAGGTTTGCACCCAGAAGGAGTAAAACTGACTTCGCTTTGTTAGTCGCCAAGCCCGACGCTTTCTCAAACTTGTCCAGTACTTTCTCCGCCTTGACTATCTGTTCCTCTCCTTGCAGGGCCAGCGTCGTATCATCGGCGTACCCAAGATAGTTGAAACGCAGACCCTGCTTGGACAGGCCGAGTTCCTGTCTCTCCACCTCCCTCGCCAGCGGCTCTACCGCGCAGAGAAAAATGTAAGGAGCCAACGGACAACCTTGCCGCACTCCCGACGCCCCATCCACACCTTTGCCCTGCCAACCATTAACCAGCAGCTTCGTTGATGTATTGTTATGCAGACCTTTGATCCAACCAACGAAGCGCTCTGGAAAACCCATCTGGTACTGTACTTCAAACACGAAGTCCCTCGACACCGAGTCGAAGGCTTTCTGGAAGTCCACCAAGAGGAGGATCAAGTCCTCATTGCCGTTCTTCACGGCATCGATCACGTCAGCCACCAAAGCCACTGCATCCGAGAGGCGCCACCCCGGGATGAAGCCGTATTGCTCCGGGAAGATAACCATATGAAGAACCGACTTCATCCTGTCGGCAACCACCCTCGCCAGGACCTTATAGGTGAAGTTAAGCAGAGTGATCGGTCTGTAATTGTTGAGCTCGTCTTTCTCCCCCTTCTTATGCAGCAAGATAGTGACCGCTTCTTTGGTCTCTGTTGGCAGGGTGGTTGTTGCCTCGAAGCTCTTCACCAGGGCCATGAAGCTCTCCCCCAACAAGTCCCAGTGAGCTTCGAAGAGCTCCTTAGGCAACCCGTCTCCCCCCCGGCGACTTATTTTTTGCCATCGCCGCGAACGCCTTCTTGACCTCTTGCTCAGTCCAGTCCGCCGACAAGACCTCTGCCACTTCACCATCCAGCCGCTGAAGTGAGGAGAGATCCCAATCCGCGAAGTCAGTGCGGCGGTCCTTGCCAAAAATGTTCCGGAAAAACGCAGAGGCTGCATCAAAGATTTGCTGTGAGCCAGTCACCCGACTTGCACCGACTTTAAGCTCTTTGATCTGGGTGCGAGCCTTCCGCGCCCGAACCTTCACCGACAGATGCTTCGAGGCTAGCTCTCCCGTGAGTTCCGCCGTAAGCCCAGCCTGAAGATACAGTCGTTCGGTACGTGAGGTGTTGTACTCTTTTAGCTTCGTCTCTTTTGCCTCTGTTGTAAAGGCGTGTCCTCTACCTTGCAGGAACTGGGATCTGCACTAAACGATAGAGCACTCTGCTGGCTTTCTAACGAGTCGTCAAACACACGATTCGCCCAAGTAACGAGGGAGTTGTAGGCTTTTATGTGCTTGCTAGTGCTCTTAGAACAAAGGATAGGAGCTCTCTGGATTTTGTAGTCGAATGTATCACTTACAAAGTGATTCTCAATTTCAGTATGAAACATGCAATACAAAGCAACTAGTTTTATAGCATGCAATCAACATCGAACCGCGTTCGTAACATCGCATCGCTACACTTCGCGAATGTTCTCGTAACATTTCGAAGGGGTGAAATTCGACACTCGAATTTCACTCATTCGAATGTTCCTTCAAGTCCTGAACTTTCTGGTGCTGCCATGTGGCACCGAATTGATTGGTCTTCCGAAGTCAAACTTCTGCTCCACGCAAAGTTGCAGCTCACTCGAAGGTGAGCTTCATTCGGTGGTTGGGGGCAAACCTCCCCCCCCACGCAACCTCCAACAGCCTCCAGCAATGCTCTCGTGACCGTGCAATCTGGGTTCCGCATCATCTCCTGCTTCAGCAGCGCCACAGTGTTAGTCAGATGCTGCAGTGTTTTCTTTACCCGCTTGCTCTCCTTTTGCGTAAGTTCTGAGCCCTGCTCCCAGCCTTTTCAGGAGCAACTCGAAGCTGCAGCTGTCGTTCACAGGGGTGCGCTGCACTGTTGCCTCAATGATCTTCCGAACACCCGGCCGATGGATCATCGAGGCGTGTAAGCGCCTTAGACCGGGACCTCTGCAATGCTCCTCATTGAGGCAAAGAGCGATCGAGATCACGTAACCGTGGTCTGAGATGGGTTCGTCTGGCATGATGTTTGCAGAGTAAGAGAGGTAAGGAATGAGGGATTGAGAGACTAAGGCTCGATCAATACGGGTGCTAACTCGTGGCTTTTTTTGAAGAAGGTATACTCTCTGCAGCCCGGGTGCAATATTCTAAAAGCGTCTGACAGTTGGAATGCTGCGCAGCGGTGAAAAAGGCGTTCGTTTTCTAAGGCTTTATCGTAACCTCTAGAGTTGTCTAACAACGGATTCTCTATTATATTCAGGTCGCCGATCAGCAGGAGGTGGTCCGAAGGTGAGATAATATCTAAGAGAGGGCCGAGCGTGTCTCTGAAGAATGCGGTTCTGGCTGGAGTGGTGGATGGAAAAACGGCGAGGAGAATCAAGTCGAGACCGAGACCTCTAACTGTGGTTTGGATGATTCTACCGGAAGGGTGAGCTATTGAGTTGTGAAAGGTGATAGCGGGGTTACGGCTGAGGACTGCTACTCCGCCAGCGCTGGTCCTAGGAGCGATGGCTGTGAACGACGTGGCTGAGAGGGACGACCAGTAAGGATGGACTGGGTCAAGTCTCGTGTCAACTAAAACAGCTATGTCTGAGCCTGACATGAACCATGTTCTAACTCTAGTCTGCTTGGTATCGTTGCTGCCTAAACCATTGACGTTCAGGCTGGAGAGGTTGAGATGATTTTTTATATTCATGGGTACACCGGCTTGCAGCCCCTTATCATCCACAAGCTGGTAAACGAAACAATACAGGCGACGCTAACTCCTAAGCACCAACAAGCAGCTGCATCCAGGTAACACTCGAACTCCGTCACAGGCCGTAGTCTTTGCGGATGATGTCTAGGTTCAGCTTGTCGAGAGATGCCTTCGTTGCCGAACTCCCCTTCGACAGCTCTAATAGGTGAGCAGCTGTCGAGATGTGATCTGCAGCAGCCATGAGGCTCTTCCCCTTCGCCTTCCCGCAGCCCGTTTGCGTGCAGATCCAATCTTCCCTGCTGCTGCTGGTGGAGACGAGAGCAATAGCAGGGTCTCGGAGGATTGGAAGAAAGACCGAGGACGCTTTCAGCGACGCAGCTGCGGATGAGCAGAGACAGGTTAGTGCGTGAGTGAGAAAAACGGAGCGGAAAGCGAGCAGAGGAGTATCTGATGCCGTTACCATTGAGTCTGTGCACTTTGCCCAGAGTGAGGTTCCATTTACTAACATTATTCTGACGCTCAGTGAAAAAAACATCATGATACTTATCACAATGCTTGCCGCAACAGAGCAAGCAGGATAAGGCCGGATAATGGATCAAGAGCTTCTTCGCGCGATCAGCGGGGTCTGCGATCGAGTGAATCCAGCGACGGTTGCGGTTCTCTGGGTGAGCGTACACTAGGCCCATCACGACGCCTGTATCAGCGCCAGTGACCGGGTGCAGCACAGGATGTAGACAGGTGCAGCGCAGAAAAGCCGACCTCCGGGTACTCGTGAGCGGGTAAGTAGCCATACGATCGTGGATCATGATCAGTTCGACGACAGCAGATACATCCTTGATCATGAATACGATCGCATGTGGGTTTAGCGCCTTCTCGCGAGCGAAATTCGGGTCTTCGGTATGTTTCCAGTGAAGCGTAATGAGTTGAGACTGAATCTTGAGAGGCTGATAAATGACTTCCTTCTTCCTCACCTCACCCATTCCGCATCAGATTCCTTGACGAAAAAAACTTGCAGGCGACAGAAGCGCGTCTTGGCGATATAAGCAGTATGAAGTTCCTGGAAATTTGTCGTCCACGCGGCGTCAGCTGACAATTCTGAATACCACTCGTGTTTTATCAGTGCCATGACAGCATCATGTCAGAATGTGATGTTTGTCTAGCCTGCAGTGAGGTACTCTATAGCGAGTACAGCCCGAATTAGGGTTTGCTATATGTACTCAACTGCCTGCTAGTGAAAACCCCTCTTTCCTGTTTCTCATTCCTGCCTAGCTATTCTGACATGCTATCAGAGCAGGTCGACCCTCCTGGGTCGATCCTGTGGGTGGTCCCGCCCGATGCTTCCGCTGGTGTCCTGCCAGGGCGTACGATGTTTGCTGTATGTCGTGCGCTCAGGCAGCGCGGCGAGCGCGCGGCGGTTTTCTGCCCCGTCGCCGGTCGCGTCGCCCCCCGGGACCCTCTCGCGACGCCCTGGGGAGCCGCGCGCGGCCCCCCGCAGCCTCGTCGCGACGCCATGGGGAGCCGCACGCGGCCCCGGTTGCTTCGTCGCGACGCCCTGGGGAGCCGCTCGCGACCCCCCCGCTGCCTCGTCGCGGCGCCCTGGGGAGCCACGCGCGGCCCCCAACCGCGCGTGGCCCCCGCTGCCCCGTCGAGGCGCCCTGGGGAGCCGCGCCCCCCCCCCACCCCCGCTGCTGCCCGCGCTGCTGCCTGTGTTAGGGTTTGGGGGTGGCGAGTATGGGGGTGACGGGTGTGTGCGGCCTCCTCCTCCGTCTCCCACTGCTGCAGCTGCCGCTGAGGGGGGTGGATGTGTGGGAGCTATCGGAGTGGTACTAGGGGGGTGGCGTGTGAGCAGTGCTAGAGGTACAGCAGGGAGTGTGTGAAAGGGGTGTGGGACAGTTGGGGGAGGTTGACCGGAGGTAGCCGTTGTGACGTCAGCAGCGCCAGTAGTCCGGGGGTTGAGTACTCCGGTAGCCCAGCGAGCCTGCTGCTGCCAGTCGCCCGTGGGTCCGTTGCTCCTGCAGCTTAGTGCGGAGCCAGTTACTCCTGTAGTCCGGAGGTTGAGTGCTCCAGTAGCCACTAAGCGCCGTTCCTGTTGCCCGTGTGTCTGCGGCTTCACCCGTCGCCTTCTATCTCCACTCCTCTCACAGTCTCTCCTCCTCCTCACTTGCCCTCTGTAACTGCCTCTAGCTTAGCTTGTATTTGTGAACCTGCTCTATGACTGCTTGCTGTGTTGATTGTACCCCACTTTGACTATGGGGGTGTGTCAGAATGTGATGTTTGTCTAGCCTGCAGTGGTTTACTCTATAGCGAGTACAGCCCGAATTAGGGTTTGCTATATGTACTCAACTGCCTGCTAGTGAAAACCCCTCTTTCCTGTTTCTCATTCCTGCCTAGCTATTCTGACACATCAATCACACAGGAAATTTCTTTATGCAGCATGAACGGAATCAGCAGAATGGCGACAAAGCGCAAAGCGGATCCTGTAGGAATGATGACCATTCTGCTGATTCCGTTCATGTTGATAATGACGGCTTGACCGAATTCCTTGATGGCTTCAATGAAGCACTCGAATGGTCATTCGATCTGGTCAAGGAATTATCGCAAGTGCTGATAATGACGGCTACATCGATGAAGACCCTGACGACGAAATGAGCACGAACGAGTTAAATAATGTCCTGGCCTTGTCAGGATCCAGTATCTCGAGAAGATAATGATGCATTTTCGAGGTCGATGCCTTGAAAGTGTCATGCTTAATAATAGGAGAGCTGTAGAGATCGTTGTTGCCTGAAACAATGTTAACGTAACCATGACGCGAGCTGTTAATGGTAGAACCAGGCAATGCCAGACGAACCCCGTGCAGTGTCGCCTGATAACTGGAGAAACCGAGGTCAGCAGAAATGACTAGAGTCCCATTGTTAAGGTTACAGACGATGCGTGTAACAGCAGCAAAGTTAAGCGTAAGGCATCTTAGCGAGGATGTTGACCATTGTTGACTCGGCGAAATCCATGGCCGCCGTAAGGCGGAGTAGGCGGAGAGCATTTTTTTGAGCATTTTTGAGCATTTTTTAACCTGAAGGTGAATCTGATGGAAGTCAGGTGTCGCAGGGGCACGGTGGGTGATCCTCACACAAAGGAGATAGAGCTTTCGTCGCTGTCCTTTTCCCAACACTGTACGGTGTTACGTGGCGGGAATGGTTGGAGACGAACGAGAGCGGTTGAGTACGGTGCCACTAACAAGCTCGAGGGTTTCTTGTTGAGGGGGATGTACTCACTGATACTCCTCACAGACAAGTTTTCAGTAGATACTTAAGGGGTGTTATATGTGCGCAAGAACTACGCTGGGCCATGCTAGGCCGCTGCGGCCCAGGGGCATTTGCGCGGACCAGCATGGACCAGCAAACGGCCCAGGTGTGGACCCGACTTGCACCCGCCCACGGACCAGCATGTACAGTGCGAGGCGCACGTGCGAAAACGACGCTCGACACGCAGGACCATTTCCAGAGCGACCCAAGGTGATGGGAATCGTATGCGAAAACTGCGTTTTGATTGTTTCGTCAAGAGTATCTGCTGTGTGCGACATCTTGTTCTAGCGTGACCAGGTACACTTTTATTTTCGTCAACACTTCGTTTTCGAAGCTGCAATGCACTGTGCGAAGCTGGTCCGCCGCAAATGGTCCCCGGTAAAACGCGGGACCACTTTTGAAAGTGGTCCCTCTAAAATGGTGCCCCCTTGCATTCGCTGGTCCATTTCCTTGTAAATGGACCAGCGCGCAATGTAACACCCCCTTACTCCCTAGCTCTTTCAGCCTCACAGCAGCCTTGCTTATAGGCGACTAGGAGTCACGCTACCTAATTAGTTGCGGAATCAACCAGCTGAACAGCTGTTCGCCTCCTCCTCTCACAATGCCAGTCGGATCGCCGATCCAGCAGTTACCTGAGGAGCTTCTTTCTCGAATCCTACGTTTTCTGGTCCGCCCTGACGGTCGGTTGGAGCACGCACCTGTCAGCAAGCAATGGCAGCACATTGCTTACCGCTTGCAACAGGATCTCCACTTGCCCGACAACCTCCGCATGGATCCGCATCAGCTCCTTCAACTTCTGTCGCTGTTCCCTAACCTCAAAAAGTTAGTCCTTTCCTCTGGCAGCCTCACCTCAGCCTTGAATTTTTTCTTCTCTCGCCTCGCTGACGTGTGCCCTCATCTGACCGAGCTGCGCGTCGAATCTATGGCACGTGAAGACATACCCGGAGGTGTAAGCGAGAAGAGCCTGGAGTTTCTGTTCGACAAGTGCACGCGGCTGGAAGATCTCTATCTGGAATGTTCGCGGCAAGCTACCATTCCTCCGTCAATCAACCGACTCGCCTTGCTCAGGAACTTGCACCTCGAAGCAAAGGTCACGCGTCTTCCCGACATGTTTACGTCGTTGCAGTCTCTCAGAAGCCTCGTGCTGCAAACTTACAGTCTCGCGAAGTTGCCTGAAGCTTTCGGCAATCTGATGTTCTTGACGTCGCTCAAGTTGCTCGGTTGCTGTTCCCTGGCGTCGCTTCCCGAATCCTTTGGCCAACTTGCCAGTCTGAGCGTTCTATGCTTGAATCACTGCTCGGCGCTGGAGCTGCCGGCCTCTCTCACCAAGCTTTCTTCTCTTGCCGTCTTGGAGATTCGGCAGTGCAACTTTCATCTGCCGTCACCTGTCATTTTCCCTCGACTGCGGGCGCTCGAATCCCTCAGCCTGGAGGAAGTGACGGGATTGCGCGAGCTAATCGAGGCTCTTGAGCATATGTGGCGGCTCAAGACTCTAGCTATCAAGCACTGCAACGATATCACGTCTCCGCCGGAGTCTCTTTTCCGCCTGCCGTCACTCACCAGCCTCACCCTTGGCATGCCACAGCTTTCAGTTCTGCCTGACGAGTTTGGGCGGTTGTCAAAGCTACAGACGCTCGTGCTAGAGTTGGGGGAGCTCACATCCCTTCCTGATTCCATCTGCCTGGTTACCACGCTCCAAGAGCTCGCCTTAGATAATCTGTACTCTGCCCGAGGACTTTGGGCAGCTGAATGCTCTTGAAAAGCTGCGCCTGAACAGCTTTCGCCAGCTCACACGCCTGCCTGAATCTTTCGGGCAGTTGACAGTTCTCCGGGAGCTGAAAAATAGTGGAGTGTAGGCAGCTGCAGCATCTTCCGGACTCCCTATCCCAGCTATCTTCTCTCGAGCGCCTGGATATTAAGAGTTGTCCGCGTCTCACGGTGCTGCCAGATGAAATGGGGAATTGTATGCAGCGTCTGCGTTATCTGCATCTCAAGCACTGCTCATCTCTGACCCACCTCCCTCCATCTTTCTCCGCACTGACTTCCCTCGAAACCTTCAAGATCGAGGAAGCTAAGTGCTTGGAAGGGACCCTTCTAGACGGTTTTGGCTGCTTGAAAAGCCTCAAGGAGCTGGTGCTTGAAGACATGCCTCGCCTATCCGCCCTTCCTGCCTCCTTCTCGGGTGTCTATTCACTGTCCAGCCTTGTAGTGATAAATTGCCCTAGAGTAACGGTCCTTCCTAAGGGGATCGGACGGCTGGAGGCTCTCGAGGTGGTCAAGCTCGCACTGATGGATCGCTTGAAGCGTCTCCCTGCTGAGCTTGTCAGGCTGCCCCGGCTGCGGGTGTTGGAGGTGCGGGTATGTGATAAGGTTGGCGCGCTGCTGGGAGATGAGATCGTGGTCAAACGCACTGCCAGGGGTTCTTCTATGATCTACAACACCACCGCCAGCAGCAGCACCAGCAGGGCACTGCTTCCATCCATTCGAAGCCTCAAGATGAGATCTCTTCCTTTCCATGCTGTTCCGTCCCTTGGCCAGCTCTCCTCTCTAACGAAGCTGAAGATTCTAGAGATGGACTGCCTTGTATCTCTCCCCGAAGCCATCTGTCAACTCTCGCGCCTGAAAAGGCTTCGGATCGATTCGGCCAGCCAGCTGGAGGCGCTGCCTGACGCCTTTGGAGAGCTGGCAGGGCTGCGTGTCTTGCAGCTGATTCACCTCTATGCAGTACGGCATCTACCCGAGTCGTTTGGGCAGCTGAAGATGCTCGAGACGTTGGAGATTATTGACTGCTACAAGTTGATGCAACTTCCAGGATCCTTTAGAAATCTGTCAAAGTTACGTTCCTGTACCCTGATCAAGCTTGGGATCTCAACATTCCCAAGAAATTTCTGGAAGCTGTCTTCCCTCCAGGAGTTGGTGCTCCTGGGGCTGAAGCACGTCCGCAGCTTGCCAGAGTCGTTCTCTAAGCTACCTCAACTGTAGGTGCTGCATGTGATTGTGTGCAAGAATCTGTCTCGCCTGCCGTCTTCGCTCCGGAGAATGCCGACGCTGCGTGAGTACGGTATCAGCGAGTGCCCTTTGCTCTCACGGCAAGACACGTTGCGGGTTCCTGCAGGGTTGGCGAGGAGGATGGGGAGGAAGGAGGGGGAGTGGCGGTTGATGTGGGAGAGGAGGAAGGGGAGGGTGAGGAGGGAGGAGATGAGATGGTGGAAGGACAAGAGGCGGACAGGGAGGAAGCAGAGGAGGAAGCAGAGGGTGAGGAGGGAGATGAGATCGTGGGAGGGCAAGAGGCGGACAGGGAGGCAGAGGAGGCAGAGGGTGAGGAGGGAGGAGATGAGATGGTGGAAGGGCAAGAGGTGGGCAGCGAAGCAGAGGAGGAAGCAGAGGGTGAGGAGGCAGATGGTGAGGAGGGAGAAGATGAGATGGTGGGAGAGCAAGAGGCAGGCAGCGAAGCAGAGGAGGAGGCAGAGAGTGGTGGTGAGGATTGGGATATCTGCCATGAGTATGGCATGGACAGCGACGATGACAGGGATGATGAGGGAGGAGGCTGGGGGGCGAGTAGTGACGAGGACGAGTAGTGACATGATGGAACCAGTGAGGAGGTGGAAGGAGAATGTGAAGGACTGGAAGAACAAGGTGGAAGAAGGTTGTCATGTTTGGATGGGAAGTTGTGTTTATAGGGTAGAAACATTGTGGGAAGTTGTGTTTTTAGGGTAGAAACATTCTTCGGGTTAGTTGTTTCAGTTGCAATCTGGACTCAGATGCCAGGACATGACTTTTTAGATGGTGTAAATGTTTCTTGTGGTTTCTGCGAGTGTAGTCAGTCAAAAGCCGGCAATGGCACACTGCTCCACGGCAATGTGATTCGGCAAGCTTGTCAGCCAAGAAGACAGGCATATCATCGCTGTAGCCTTCCATTGATTCCCTTCACTGCCTAGTCTTTGCTCAAGGGAATGGAATTATAGTATGTGCCCAATAGCTGCTAGCCAAGATGACCCTGTATGGATTACTTATGCCAATGTTTTGGAGTGTCTTAAAACTGATAACTGACCCAAACGGGTACAGGCTGGTGGCTACTTCCGATTCCACGCGCACATATCCACACGAAGGGAGTTGCAACGAAGCTCGCTGAGTCAGGAAGGGAGTTCGCCAAATCGCGCCTTGAGTCGCCTCGTCTTCTGTTTTTCGAGATCGTCTGTTCGTGAAGTAATTTGGCGGGAACGATCTCACAAAACGGGCGGTGCAATGCGGTGAGGGTGACAAGACAAGCCCAGCGGTCTCCTTGTTGAGATCTGAATGTGACGACGAGATGACTGATCCTCCTCAAACAGCTCTCCTCTCCTTGTAGTCTGTCCACTCAGGCTTCTTCCAGTCTGTCTAGTATAGTTGGTGTTAGATTACAGCAATGCCAAGCTAAATTAGATGAACGGCCAATAGTCTCTTGTCAGTTCCTCGTTTCAAAATGTCAGTAGGATCGCCAATCCAACGGCTACCTGAGGAGCTGATGTCTCAGATTCTGCGTTTTCAGGTTCGACCTGATGGCCAGCTGGAGCATGTGCTTGTTAGCAAGCAATGGCGTCGCATTGCGAACAGCTTGCAACATGAGCTTCACTTGCCCTACGACCTCTATGTGGATCCGAATCGGCTCGTTCAGGTTCTTTCGTCGTTCACTAACCTGAAAAGGCTAGTCCTTTCCTATGGCAGCCTCACCCCTTCCTTCGACTCATTATTCTCTCGCCTCGCTGACGTGTGTCCTCATTTGAGTGAGCTTCGAGTTGAAGCTATGATACGTGCATACTACAGAGTGGCAGGTGCAAGTGAGAAGAGCTTAACGTATTTGTTCGAGAGGTGTACTCGGCTGAAAGATCTCCATTTGGAGTGTTCGGAACCTCCGTATGACTGTTCAGAGGAGCATGCTGCCATTCCTCTGTCGATCGACCGACTCAAGTTGCTCAGGAACTTACATCTCAAGGCCAGCATGACGCAACTTCCCGACACGTTTACCTCGTTGCAGTCTCTCCGAAGCCTCGTGCTGCAAGCTTTCAGTTTAACGGCTTTGCCTTCAGATTTCGGCAATCTGGTTTCTTTAACGTCGCTCAAGCTGCTCAGCCGCTCCCTATCGCTCCCTGACTCTTTCGAACAACTTACCAGGCTCAACTTTCTATCCCTTAGTCACTGCTCGACGTTGCAGCTGCCGGCCTCTCTCGCCGAGCTTCCTTCTCTCGCCCTCCTAGAGATCCGATATTGCACTCTCCCGTCACATGATAATTTCCCTCAACTGTGGAGGCTCGAAATCCTCATTCTGGAAGGTGTGACGGAATTGGGCGGGCTACTCGAGGCTCTTGAGCATATGGTGCGGCTCAAGACTCTAGCTATCACACAATGCAGCGATATCACGTCTTTGCCTGAGTCTCTTTTCCGCCTGCCTTCACTCTCCAGCCTCACTCTTGAAATTTCACAGCTACCAGTTCTGCCTGACGATTTTGAGCGGTTGTCAAAGCTAGAGATGCTCACGCTAGAGTTAAGGAACCTCATAACTCTTCCTGATTCCATCGCTATGGTTACTACGCTCAAGGAGCTTTCCTTAGATCATCTTTGGGTGCCGTCTCTGCCCGAGGACTTCGGGCAGCTGATTGCTCTTGAAAAGCTGCACCTGAAAAGCTGCACCTGAAAAGCCTTCGCCATCTCACACACCTGCCTGAATCCCTCGGCCAGTTGAAAGTTCTCCTGGAACTGATAATAGATGATTGTTGGCAGTTGCGGCAAATTCCGGACACCCTATCCCAGCTATCTTCTCTCGAGCACTTGGAGATCAGATTTTGTCAGTTCGTCACGATGCTGCCAGATGAATTGGGGAACAGTATGCAGCATTTGCGCTATCTGCATCTGGAACACTGCTTGTCTCTCACCCACCTCCCTCCATCCCTCTCCGCCCTGACGTCCCTGCAAACCCTAAAAATCATGGTGTCTGGACGCTTCAGAGGCACCCTGCTAGACGGCTTCTGCTGTTTGAAAAGCCTCAAGGAGCTGGTGATTCGTGACATCCCACGCCTCTCTGCCCTTCCTGCCTCCTTCTCAGGCGTCTTTTCACTCACCAGCCTTGAAGTGATAGGATGCCCTAAGGTAACGGCCCTTCCTGTGGGAATCGGACTGCTGGAGGCGCTCGAAGTGGTGAAGATCGCACGGATGGATGGCTTGAAACATCTCCCTGCTGAGCTTGTTAGGCTGCCGCGTGTGCGGGTGTTGGAGTTGCGGGGATGCGGTGGGCTTGGCGCGCTTCTGGGGGATGAGATCGTGCTTCAACACACTGCTAGCAGTTCTTGGGTGACCTCGAACAGCACTGCCAGCAGCAGCACCAACAGGGCTCTGCTTCCATCCCTCCGATCACTCAGGTTAAAAGCTCTCTCTTTTTGTTTCATGGGTCCGTCCCTTGGCCAGCTCTCCTCTCTCACGAAGCTGAAGCTCTCAGAGATGCATAGCCTGGTATCACTCCCTGACTCCATCTCTCAACTCTCGCGCCTAAAAAAACTCCGAATCGATTCCGCCTTGAGAATGGAGGCTCTGCCGGAAACCTTGGGGGGGCTTTCGTGGCTGCGGGTCTTGCAGCTGGTTCGGCTCTCCACAATACGGCAGCTGCCCGAGTCTATTGGGCAGCTGAAGATGCTTGAGGTCCTGGAGATCATTGACTGCTACAAGCTGATGCAACTTCCAGGTTCCGTTGCGAGTCTGCATAAGTTACGCTCCTGTACCCTTATCAAGCTTGGGATTTCAGCGTTTCCAAGAAATTTCTGGGAGCTGTCGTCCCTCCAAGGGTTGGTGTTCCTGGGGCTGAAGCACGTCCGCAGCTTGCCGCAGTCGTTCTCTAAGCTGCCTAAGCTGCGGTTGCTGCATGTGATTGCGTGCAAGAAGCTGGCTCGGCTGCCATCTTCCTTCCGGAGAATGCCGACGCTGCGTGAGTACCGTATCAGCGGATGCCCTTTGCTCTTACGGGAAGACATGATAAGGGTTCCTCGAAGGGTTGGCGAGGAGGATGGGGAGGAGGGAGAAAGAGTGGCGGTTGATGAGGGAGAGGAGGAAGGAGGGGAGAAGGCAGTGAGGGAGGAGGGAGAAGATGCAGCGGTGGAATGGGAAGACGCAGGCTGGGAGGAGGAGGAGGAGGTGGAGGAGGAGGAGGATGCAGAGAGTGGTGGAGAGGACGCGGAGATTGACCACGAGTATGGCAGGGACAGTGACTTTGACCGGGACGAAGTAACAGGCTGGAAGGCAGGTGATGATGACGAGGAGGAAGAATGACATGGTGAGACTGGTGAGCAGGAGAGGGGAATGAGAATGTGGAGAGGACTAGAAGAACAAGGGAAAGAAGGCAGTAAGGCTTATTGGGATCGGGAAGTAGTGGGCTTTTTGTTTGTCTTGGCGTGGACGAGTCTGTTTTGGTTGCTATCTGCGTGTGAGCGAGTGTGTTGCTACATGTGCCAGAGGCGTCCCTTGTGGTATGTTTATGCAGATTGATGTGAGTAGGTGCAATGTTTTCCAGCATGGTGCTTCACGTCATGTGTGTGAGGTGGATATTGCAAAGCATCGGTGCCAGGCTGTTGGTATGAAGCTGGAAGACGGTTGTAAAAGTGCAATTGCATTTTGAAACTGTAGAGGTTTAGTGTTCTGGTACATGCGCACACAAGAAATTGAAATACTTTACCCCTTTGTACTTCACCACTCTCCATGTGTATTTCGTTAAGAAACTCAATTGTTACAAATATCTTGTTTCTGACCAGTGGTGGATTCGCACTCACAAACGAGTACGCTGCCATCACTTTTCTTGGCGGGAACAGAACACAGCCGCACCCAGTCGCCTGCGCACCCATTTCAAGATCGCGAAAGGCACAGTTGGTGAACTTCGCAAAGTCGAGATACACATTCGTCGTTGTGTGCCTGTACTGTATCCCCGGTCCTTCGCTCAAGTATGATGTAACGTGGGAGTGTCTGGCGGGAAAACTTCGAGATAATCGAGCGGTTGAGTGCGGTGCCACTTTCAGGTCCAAGGGTCTTCGAGGTGAGAGAAATGAACTCTCTCATTCCTGGTAAATTGTTTCTACTGATCCTCCCAAGACCCCATCAGTCTCACTGACCTAGCTAGAGAATGATTAGAAGCCACGTAACCTAGTTAGTAGCAGACCTAACGCGGTGAAGAGCGGCATTTCTTATTTTCTCCTCCTTTTACAATGCCAGTCGGATCGCCGATCCAGCGGTTACCTGACGAGCTTCTGTCCCGGATTCTACGTTTTCTGGTTCGACCTGATGGCCAGTTGGAGCACGCACTTGTTAGCAAGCAATGGCATCGCATCGCGCACCGCGTGCAATACGAGCTTCGCGTGCCTGATTTCCTCCGTATGGACCCGCGTCGCCTCGTTCAACTTCTGTCGTCGTTCCCTAACCTCGAAAAGCTCATCCTTTCCTATTGCAGCCTCACCTTCGTCCCTGATTTCTTATTCTCTCACCTCGCTAGCACGTCTCACCATCTCACCCAGCTTCGTGTCGAACCGATGTCACGCGGAGGTGTATCTGAGAAGAGCCTCGTTACGCTGTTCGAGGGGTGTACGCGACTGGAAGATCTTGGTGTGTATTGTTCGGAGGGTGTTGCTGTTCCCATGTCGATCGACCGACTCACACGACTCAGAAGCTTAACCCTCAGGGCATTCGTTACCCGTCTACCCGACACTCTTACCTCGTTACAGCTTCTCAGAAGCCTCGTGCTGCAAACTGTTAGGCTCGAAGCTTTGCCTGAAGATTTTGGCAGCCTGGTTTCCTTGACATCTCTGGAGCTGCACGATTGCCGCTTGGCGTCACTTCCGGACTCTTTTGGGCAGCTTACCGCTCTGAACCGGTTTTCCTTGAGTCACTGCTCAACGTTGCAGCTACCGGCCTGTTTCACCGAGCTTTCTTCTCTTGCCGTTCTGGAGCTCCGACATTGCAGGATTCTTCCTCCGTCCCAGGATTTCAATTTCAACTTCGGTCAACTGGAGGCACTTGAAACCGTCGTTCTGGTTGGAGTGAGGGGAATGCGCGACCTGATAGCTGATTTGGAGCATTTTCAGCGACTGAAGACTCTGACTACCAAGGACTGCAGTGATATCACGATTCTGCCCGCGTCTCTTCCCCGCCTGCCGCTCACCACACTCAACCTTCACATGGACGAACTCTCATTGCTGCCCGAAGATTTTGGGCGGTTGTCAGAGCTTCGGACACTGTTGCTGGGCTTAAGGAATCTCACGGCGTTACCTGATTCCATCGGCCTGCTTACTAGACTTCAAGATCTTTCCTTAGAACATCTTCAAGATATGAGATACCTGCCCCAGGAGTTCGGTCAGCTGGTTTCTTTGAAGAAGCTGTGCCTGAAAGACATTCTGCAGCTCACACACCTGCCCGAAACATTCGGGCAGTTGATATCTCTGCAGGAGCTGAAATTGCTGGAGTGTATGCAGCTGCAGCAGCTCCCAAAGTCCCTATCCCAGCTATCTTCTCTTGAGCACCTGGAGATTAGTACTTGTCCGCGCCTCACCGTGCTACCAGACGACATGGGGAAGGGTTTGCAGTCCTTGCGCCATTTATTCCTACTGGACTGCACCGCTCTCATCCACCTCCCACCATCCTTCTCTGGCCTAACGTCGCTCGAAAGTCTCCAGATTGAAAACGCGAAACGCTTCAGGGGCGCGCTGCTAGACGGCTTTGGCTGCTTGAAGAGCCTCAAGGAGCTGTCGCTCGATTCCATGCCCCGCCTATCCGCCCTTCCTGCTTCCTTCTCGGGCGTTTCTTCCCTCACCAGCCTGGAAGTGGGGAATTGCCCCAAAGTGACGGTCCTGCCAGAGGGAATCGGACGGCTGGAGGCGCTGGAGGAGATCAGAATCTTTGGGATGGACGGCCTGATATGTCTCCCGCCGTCGCTTCTTGAACTGCCTCGTCTGCGGGCGTTGGACGTGCGGGGGTGTGGTTCCCTGAGTGGGGTGCTAGGGGATGAAAAGGTGCTTAGACAAACTGCCAGGGGCTTGGTTACCAGCACCGGCAGCAGGAGCAGCAGCCGCCCTTTGCTTCCTTCCATTCAAAGCCTCAAGATGAAAGAGCTCAATGTCGAGTTGTTTGGTCCGTCCCTTGGTCGTCTGTCTTCCTTGATGCAGCTGAAGCTCCTTGAAATGTACAAGCTTGAGTCTCTCCCCAACGGCATCTCCCAACTCTCGCAGCTGCAACGGCTCAAGATTGATTCGGCCTACTATCTGAACGCACTACCTGAGACCCTTGGGGGGCTGGCAGGGCTGCGTGTCCTGCAGCTGGTTTACCTCTCGACAATGCGCCATCTGCCCGAGTCTCTCGGGCAACTGAAAATGCTCGAGACGCTGGAGATTATCGATTGCTACAAGCTGATGCAGCTTCCAAAGTCGTTTGTGGATCTATCCAACCTACGATCCTGCTCTCTAATCAAGCTTGGAATCCCAACAATTCCAGATGACGTCTGGAAGCTGTCTTCCCTCTAGAAGTTGCTGATCCTGGGACTGAAGCATGTACGAAGCTTGCCAGATTCGTTCACTCGGCTGCCTAAGCTTGAGCGCCTGGAGGTGTGCATATGCAAGAAGCTGACTCGGCTGCCCCCCTCTCTCCGGAATATGCCGACGCTGCGTGAGTGCGACATCACTGAATGCCCTCTGCTTTCCCGCCGGGACACGAGAGGGCTTCCTGCAAGGAGAGAGGAGGGAGAGGAGGGTGAGGAGGAGGAAGGGGGAGGGGATGCGGAAGAGGATGAGGGGGAGGAGGGAGGCGATGCGGCGGTGGAAAGGGAAGAGGTGGGTGGGGAGGAGGCACCAGAGGATGAGGAGAGTGGTGGCGAGGATGATGATATTGAGCATGAGTATGCCATGGACAGTGACTATGACAGGGATAACGGCGGAGGCTTGGGGGAGAGTGATGATGATTATGATGAATCGGATGCAAAGCTAGTGTGGCGGGTCGGTTGTTGCGGATTGGGAAAGCGTTAATGAAATCAGGTTGTAATTGTTTATGGGGAGTTGATGTGTTTTTTTCAAGCATGTAGTGCTCCTTATCAGGTGTGTGCACTCAGCAACATGCACTCAGCAATGTGCTGTGCACTCATCGGCAACTTTTTGTGCCTTTGGTACAACACAACAGAGGGACCAAGAAGCCCCTACTGTACACAGGGACCAAGAAGCCCCTACTGGTATGAAACATGTTCTTGTACACAACGAAGCATGACTGTCCCATATGCCAATGAAGTGAGAAGCACCAGAAACAAGTTTCGCACCGCTAGCACACAAGAGACCATCTGTTAATATTCCTTGCTCAGAAAGACATTGAAGCATTTTTTTTAACTCGCTATAAATACGGTACGCCTGAATGCCACCCGACACGAAATCTGTACACGAGATCACACGGGACCGAGTTCGTCCTTGTGTGACTTTTCGTCTGGTCGTGTGTGGAGGGATCTGGTGGGAATGGTTAGGAGAAAACGAACGGTTGAGTACGGTGCTACTAACAAGTCCAGTAATCACTTGTTGGGAGCATTCTATTCACTGATGCTTCTGATGTCTGTCTTGCTTTACCTCGCAAATCCAGTTGAGTCAGGTTTCCAGATCTTAGTAGCAGACTTAGCGGGGCGAGCATCCATTCGATACTTCAATTCTCGTCCTTTCACAATGTCAGGCGGATCGCCGATCCAGCGGTTACCTGAGGAGCTTCTTTCTCGGATCCTTCGTTTTCTGGTTCGACCTGATGGCCTGCCGGAGCACGCGCTTGTCAGCAAGCAATACGAGCAATACGTGCTTGGCATCGGATCGCGTACCGCGTGCAATACGAGCTCCGTTTGCCCGATGACCTCCGTATGGATCCGCGTCGCCTCGTTCAGATTCTGTCGTCGTTCCCTAACCTCGAGAAGCTCCTTCTTCCTTCAGGCAGCCTCCCCTCCCTCTCTAATGTTTTATTCTCTCACCTCGCTAAAGCGTGTCACCATTTGACCCAGCTACATGTTGAATCAACGTCGCGTGGATCTCGCTACGGAGGTGTATCCGAGAAGAACCTCGTTACGCTGTTCGAGGGGTGTACGCGGCTGGAAGAACTTGAGTTTCATTGTACAGAGCATGCTGCCATTCCCACATCGATCGATCGACTTACACGGCTCAGAAGCTTAACCCTCGGGGGACGCGTTGCGAGCCTTCCCGGCTCTCTTACCTCCTTACAATCTCTCAAGACCCTCGTGCTGAACACTCATATGATTGAAGCACTTCCTCCGGATTTCGGCAATCTGGTTTCCTTGACGTCGCTGGAGCTGCACACTTTCCGCTTGGCGTCACTTCCGGACTCTTTGGGACAGCTTACAGCTCTGAACCGCCTTTCCTTGCGTAACTCCACTTTCGTCACGTTGCAGCTGCCGTCCTCCTTCGCCGAACTCTCGTCTCTCGCCGTCCTGGAGGTGCGAAGATGCATGATTCTTCCGCCGTCGCCGGTCGATTTCAGTCAACTGAGGGCACTTGAAACCATCATTCTGGATGAAGTGGGGGGAATGCGCGACTTGGTTGCGGATCTGGAGCATTTTCAGCGAGTGAAGACTCTGGTTATCAACTACGTTGATATCACGACTCTACCCGTGTCTCTTCCCCGCCTGCCTGCACTCACCAAGCTCACCCTTGACATTGACGAACTCTCATTGCTGCCCGAAGATTTCGAGCAGTTGTCAATGCTTCGGACACTCGTCCTAGAGCTAAGGACTCTCACAGCCTTACCTGATTCCTTCGCCTTGATCACTACACTGCAAGAGCTTTCCCTAAAGTTTTTTCAACATCTGAGATATCTTCCCCAGGAGTTTGGGCAGCTGGTTTGTTTGGAGAAGCTGTATCTGAAGAGCCTTGACCAGCTCAAATGTCTTCCTGAATCTTTTGGGGAGTTGACAGCTCTCCGGGAGCTGAAAATACTGGAGTGTTGGCACTTGCAGCAACTCCCGGACTCCTTATGCCAGCTGTCTTCTCTCGAGCACCTGGAGATTAAGAGTTGTCCGCGACTCACGATGTTACCAGATGACATGGGGAGCGGTTTGCAGTCCTTACGCCATCTGCTTCTACTGGAGTGCACCGCTCTCACCCACCTCCCCCCAACTTGTTCTGACCTGACGTATCTCGAAACCCTCAAGATTGAACGCGCGAAATACTTCATGGGAGCTCTACTAGACGGCTTCGGCTACTTGAAACGCCTCAAAGAACTGTCGCTCGATGCTATGCCGCGCCTATCCGCCCTTCCTGCCTCCTTCTTTGGCGTTTCTTCCCTCACGAGACTGGAAGTCGGAAACTGCCCTAAAGTGACGGTCCTGCCTGAGGGAATCGGACGGCTGGAGGCGCTCGAGGAGGTCAGGATCTTTAAAATGGGCGGCCTGATATGTCTCCCTCCAGCTCTTCTTGAGCTGCCTCGTCTGCGGGCATTGGAGGTGCGGGGGTGTGGTCGGTTAAGTGCGGTGCTAGGCGATGAGAAGGTGCTTCGACGTACTGCCAGGGGCCCTGTGACCAGCACCGGAAGCAGCAGCAGCAGCCGCGTTTTGCTTCCTTCTATCCAAATCCTCAAAATTAAGGAGTTGAATGTTGAGTCCATCGGTCCATCCCTTGGTCACCTATCCTCTCTGACGCAGCTGAAGCTCCTTGAGATAGGCACACTTGGCTCTCTCCCTGATTCCATCTCTCAACTCTCGCAGCTGCAACGGCTCAAGGTTGATTCGGCCTACAATATGAAAGCACTGCCCGAGACCCTTGGGGGCCTTGCAAGACTGCGTGTCTTGCAGCTGGTTTATCTCACCACAATGCGGCAGCTGCCCGAGTCTTTCGGGCAGCTGAAAAAGCTCGAGACGCTGGAGATTGTTGACTGCTTCAAGCTGATGCAGCTTCCAGACTCCTTCGTGAATTTATCCAACCTACAGTCCTGCTCTCTTATCAAGCTCGGAATCTCAACCATTCCGGATGATATCTGGAAGCTGTCTTCGCTTGAGAAGTTGCTGTTGCTGGGACTGAAGCAGTTACAAAGCTTGCCGAATTCATTCACCCAGCTGCCTAAGCTTGAGGAGCTGGAGGTGTGCATGTGCAAGAAGCTGACTCGGCTGCCGCCTTCTCTCCAAAGAATGCCGACCCTGCGTGAGTGCAACATTTCTGGATGCCCTCTGCTCTCTCGGAGAAACACGAGAGGGGTTCTCGCAACGAGAGAGGAGGGAGAGGAGGAAGAGGGAGGGGAAGGGGGGGAAGGGGAGGGAGGGGATGCGGATGAAGAAGAGGGAGAGGAAGGAGGCGATGCGGTTGTGGAGAGGGAAGATGCCGACGAGTTTTCATCAGAGGAAGAGGAGAGTGGTGGTGACGATGATGATGTAGAGCATGAGTATGCCATGGACAGTGACCATGACAGGTCCTTAGGCAGAGGCTGGCGGGATAGTGATGATGACTAGATACATGTTAGAAATTGTATTTCTTTATATAACTGCATATTAGTATAGCTAGTGTAGTATGTATTCTCTTGTTGGTGGTATACCCCTCCTGACCACCTTCCCTAACCCTATATCATGTATCTCTCTCACTAGTCCAAGCCCTCCTTTGGCCAAACTTCTCTCCATCCAAACCCTAAGTTCCTAGCTCTCTAAGTTCCTAGTCCCTACCTTCTTAACATGGTACAGAGCAGGTTCTTTCCCAGAACCTTCCTTTTTTTTTTTAAGAATTATGGGCCCGCCCGTACAACAGCGCGAAATGCGCTATTTTTTCTCGTCGCGCCCGTTGCGCCCGTCGCCCGTCACCCGTCGCTGCCTTGCCCGTCACGCCCGTCGCTGCGTTGCCCGTCGTGCCCGTCGCTGCCCCGATTCCCGTCCCCCGCGGCCCCCCGTTTCGACGCCCCGCGGCCCCCCGTTCCGTCGCCAGCGCCCGCGCCAGCCCGGACCGCAGGCGCCGCCGCCAGCGTGGCCCGTCAGCGCGGACGCCACCACCGCGGCCAGCCGCCACCGCCAGCGCCAGCAGCAGCTACCGCCAGCGCCAGCAGCAGCCAGCCGCCCCACCGCGGCCAGCCGCCCGCGCCAGCGCCAGCAGCAGCTACCGCCAGCGCCAGCCGCCCGCGCCAGCGCCAGCAGCAGCTACCGCCAGCGCCAGCAGCAGCTACCGCCAGCGCCAGCAGCAGCTACCGCCGCCCTGCCCCCTCCCGCCCGCCCTCCCTTCCACTGCTTCCGTCGTGGGGGGGGGAGGAGGAGGGGGAGATGTGGGGGTGGCGGGTGTGAGGTTGTGAGGAGCCAGCACCTCCTCCCTCCCTTCCCTCTTCCTCTCTCCCTGCAGCACTTGTTGCTGTAGGGGGGGGGAGAGAGAGGGTAAGGGGGGATGAGAGAGGGTAAGGGGGGATGAGAGAGGTTAAGGGGGGATGAGAGAGGTTGGGGGAAGAATGAGAGAGAGAGAGAGAGAGAGAGAGAGAGAGAGAGAGAGAGAGAGAGAGAGAGAGAGAGAGAGAGAGAGAGAGAGAGAGAGAGAGAGAGAGAGAGAGAGAGAGAAAGGGTGTCTTCTTTCCTGTTTTTTACTTTCGTAATGTTTTCTCGTGGTTCGTTCCTTTTCTCCGTCGTTTCTGGGCGTGGTCACCCAGAGTCGCGCACACCGGGCATCCACTGCGGGGGTTAAACCGCAGGCGGGCATTCCATCGTGTGTTGTATCGGTGGGCCCAGCTGCGGCACGGTGACGACTGCACTTAGGGTAGAGCGCCTCTCATTGGCTATGCTTGTATGCAGTTAAGGGGGGATGTTAGAAATTGTATTTCTTTATATAACTGCATATTAGTATAGCTAGTGTAGTATGTATTCTCTTGTTGGTGGTATACCCCTCCTGACCACCTTCCCTAACCCTATATCATGTATCTCTCTCACTAGTCCAAGCCCTCCTTTGGCCAAACTTCTCTCCATCCAAACCCTAAGTTCCTAGCTCTCTAAGTTCCTAGTCCCTACCTTCTTAACAATACATCAGATGGTAAAATTGGTGCAGTGTTGTGTGCTGGAAATTTAGGATAAGCACGTGTGGAAGTGCTACGCTGAGTAGGTGATGTGGTGTGTGAAGTACCGTAGGTATGGTAGCGCTCCATAGCAGATATGTACTTGGCAAATTGTCCATGTATCTCTCAGCTGCATGCAATGTGCTGTGATCATTTTAGTCATGCCTCGTGCGGGGCTGTAGGGAATTTTCCCCGAGCATCATATTGAAGGTACCATGCAGTGCTGTTCAATCAGGGCTCCTGGTATTCCTTGCACACCATAAAAGACATACACAGCATACCCTTCAACACCAGATGCATAAGTTGAACACAAGAACTCTACATGAGATCATACAAGCGGGATCCAGCCACCACCATCACTACTCGCTCGCACTACCCCACGACTTCTCCGGTTCAGGCGGGAACTTGGTACTCAGAAACTCTTTCTTCCGATGCATGAAATGCACCGCCAGGAATTGAACCGGCTCCGTCTGCGCCTCCTCCTCCCACCCGCGGTAAAACCCATAATGCATCGTGCTCGGACACTTGTCCCCCGTCTTAAACTTGAAGAACGGCCGGCCGGGGGTGAGCGAGAAGTTGTTGTCGAAGACGCAGAGGCCGGGGTCGGACCAGGAGGAGTTGAGGCAGCGCCGCGGCTGGCAGAGGGACTGCACGCGGAAGCGCGGTTGAATGCCACGCTTGCGCAGGGCCTTGGCGGTTTCAGGCTTCACGCCCGACACACATGGGGGCTCCACCCACTGACATGAGGGGGGTGGGGGTTGCGATGGGGGTGAGGTTGGGAAGGGTTACGAGCGGTTCGAAGCAGGGGTGGCTGGCAGATGGACTGCACTCGGAACGGGGTTGGTAACATCCACAAATGAGGACGAAGATGCACCAACCCATAATGGTGACGTCCACACACGATGGCAGCAGCACCAGGGCCCGAGTCTCCTTTCAATCACCTCTGTTTACCACTCATACACTACTCCTCACTGCTCTCTAGTCCTCGCCACTGCACTCCACCGCAATCAACAGCACTCCACTGCTCACCTGCAGCCAGCAGCCAGCGAAGGTGTACCACCCCATGATGGTCACATCTACATATGAGGCAGCAGCACAAGGTCCTGGGTCTCCTTTCATTCACCTCTCTTTACTACTCACACACCACTCCCCACCCCTCTCTACCGCACTCAATCGCTCTCCACCCCTCTCCACTGCTCACCTGCAGCCAGCAGCCTGCAAACGTGTACCAGCCCATGATGCTGACATCCACACAGGAGGGCAGCAGCACGAGGTCCTGGGTGTCCTTGTCTCCTCCCTCTCCCCACGGCTCTCAAACCCTCTCACCTGCAGCCAGCAGCCAGAGGAATGTGTACCAGCCCATAATCGTAACGTCCACGTAGGAGGGCAGCAGCACGAGGTCCTGGGTCTCCTTCTAGCTATCCTTCTTTACCTCTCTCAACCACTCTCCACCACTCTCCACTGCTTTCAAATCCTCTTTACACTGTCTGCCGCTCGATACCCCTCTCACCTGCAGCCAGCAGCCTGCAAACGTGTACCACCCCATGATGGTAACATCAACATAAGAGGGCAGCAGCACCAGATCTTGAGTCTCCTTGTCGCCTCCGAACATGGCCGAGTCGAAGACAGCGTGCAGGAAGAGGCACCAGTCGACCAGCGCTGCGTATGACATGAGGGCTATGTGCGTGCCCACTCCTGCAGGGAGAAGTAGGGGCAGAAAGATCGAGAAGATCGGAACAACATGCTATGTGGGAAAGGTGTGTGCGGCAGCTTCTGAAGAGTGTAAGAGACTGGGAGCAGCGGTGAGTCGCTTTTGAGAATTCGCAAATGTGTGCGGCAGCTTCTGAAGAGTGTAAGAGAGTGGGAGCAGCGGTGAGTTCAAGACAGGTGAGTACTGGGACAGGTGAGTTGAAGGGAGACAGGTACAGGAAGCGGAAGAGAGTGAGCGGGAGGAGAGGAAACAATTGGCACCCACCTGTAGAGGAGTACTGAGTGGGCCTCAACGGAGGTCTGATGCTGGGCCAACGTGCGGGGAGAGGGTGAGAGGGAGGAAGGGAAGCCAACCAGTGGTAGGGGTAGAGCACGCAAGCAGGGGTGAGCTCACCTGCAGAGGAGTACTGAGTGGGCCTCAACGGAGGTCTGATGCTGGGCCAACGTGCGGGGAGCGCAAGGTCAGAGTTAGGGAACAGCCATGCCGCCACCTGAGACAGCGATTAGGAGCACGGAACACAAGGGGTCCAAATAATGGGAGGAAATTAAAGGACAGGGTCGCAAAGGAGGGGGAATGCTGGGCCAGCGGGCTGGCAGCGCGAGGTCGGATTAGGAGAAGCCACGCCGCCACCTGAGAGAGGTCATGGCAGCGAGCGCAGAGGAGCTCATGGTGATTAGAGGGGGAGGAGGTGTACTAGAGGATGGGGATTAGAGAAATTAGGAGTAAAGAAATCCAAAAGAGTGGAGAACACAAGGCAGCAGTGTGGTGCTACGGAGATGACAGACTGCCGAGTGCCAAATGGGACCTGGGAAGCAATTTTTCTTGCAACCATCAGTGACAACAACCTGGGAGGCATTGGCGAAGAGCATGACTTCTGTGGCGAGGTGGAATATTCGGCCGTAGTTGTGCCGCTCCATGAACTTCTTGAGAATGAACCACCGGACCTGGGGGGAAGAGGAGCAGGAGGGAGGCAAGGGGAAACAATGGTAACAATGGTGAGCCGAAAAGGGGAGAGTGTAAGTAAGCATTGAGCGGAGATTAGGAGAAGGGGAATATGCGGCCGTAGTTGTGGCGCTCCATGAAATTTTTTAGTATGAATCAACGGACCTGGGGGGGAGGGAGTGGGGAGTGGATGGAGGAGCGGGAAGAGAGCAACGATCAAGGCAGACTGGGAACGTGAGTGAGGTGGAATATGCGGCTGTAGTTGTGACGCTCCATGAACTTCTTGAGCATGAACCAACGGACCCGGGGGCTTTTGAGACGTCTCAAAAGTCGTCTACTTACACGCAGAATGAACGAGGGGGAGTGGATGGGAGATGGAGAGTTGTGGAAGAGTGGGAGAGTAGGAGTAGTGGGAGTAGTGCCATAGTGCCGCATCGACACTCCATTACACCCATATGCACCCATATGCGCCCATATGCGCCCATATGCGCCCATATGCGCCCATATCCACCCACATGCAACCATATGCGCCCAAATGCAACCATATGCCCCCACATGCAACCATATGCCCCCACATGCAACCATATGCGCCCACATGCAACCATATCCACCCACATGCAACCATATGCACCCATATGCGCACACCCACTAACACATTGTACTCCTCTACACTCCTTCGTACTCACGTGCACGTCCACGGGAGTGCCAAGATTGCGGATGAACCACTCATACACCTCCTCGTACTCCGCATGCTCCTCAAAGGCCACCCCCATGTGGAAGTAGGATGGAGTCCCAAGGTTGCAAATGAACCACTTCATACTCCCTGATACTCACATGCACATCAACCGGAGTCCCGAGGTTACGAATGAACCACTCATACACCTCCTCATACTCCGCATGCTCCTCGAAGGCCACCCCCATGTGGAAGAAAAACTGCCGACACTCCCGAGGGCCGATGAAGTGCACCGCGTTGTTGTGCTTGCGCGCCTGGTGGGAGGGCCGTGCAATACAATACGGGGGAAAGCAGGGGAATGAAGGGCAATACAGGGCAGTGTAGGGCAATGCAGGGCAATGCAGAGTCATTCCCGAGGGCCGATGAAGTGCACCGCGTTGTTGTGCTTGCGCGCCTGGTTGGAAAAGAAAAGGCAATCAATGAGGTGAGGCTAGTTGGGCACGGAGTTGCACGGAGTTGGGGGCACAGCCCCCAATGAGATGAGGCAATCAATGAGGTGAGGAATAACTACAGCGTTCTGTTGCAGGCTAGTGCAACTCCGTGCCCAGCGTTTTTTCATGCTACAGACAACTAAAGACTATGACTGTCGTAGCTTATACCGTAAGAGAAAAATACTATGCCTGGATATGCCAATGCATATTGACGTCTCACCTCGGAGACTATTTTATAGACATAGTGCGACTTATGGCAGGGCGAGGCTCCTGGCCGTCCATGATAGAAGACCACTGGGACCTCCACTTGCACCTGGCGGGATGGGGGTTGGAAGGGATGAATGGCATGCATGGGACGAATTGAAGTTCGGCGTGTGGGTTGGGTCGATCATGGGTGGGGTAGGGACACGACACGTGACATGGCGAGGCGAGGCGAGGCTCCCGACTTTTGAGGCGCCTCAAAACACGTGGCAAGGCAAGGCGAGGCTCCCGGGCGGCCGTGACAGAAGACCACCGGCACCGCCACTTGCACCTGCCAATGCATTGGGGGCGGATGGGTGGCACGGGAGGAATAGTGTTGGCGTGTGTTGGGTGGACCATGAGGGCTTGTGGCTGAGGGCTTGTGGCTGAGCAAGGCTCCCTAGCGGTCATGGTAGACGACAATCAAAATCCGTATATGGGAAGGAATAAGAAGATAAAGGGGAGAAGCGCTGTGCAAGAGGGTGGGAGTGCGTTGCAGGCGTCGAGAACATAGTAGGGCCGCCCTCCCTCCCTCCCGCCCTCCCTCCCTCTCCCTCGCCCCCTCCCCATTCCCCCTCCTCCCTCCCTCCCCTCCCTCCCCTCCCTCCCCTCCCTCCCCTCCCTCCCCTCCCTCCCTCCCTCCCTCCCTCCCTCCCTCCCTCCCTCCCTCCCTCCCTCCCTCCCTCCCCCTCCCTCATCCTCTTCCCCCTCCCCTTTCCCTCCCTCCCCTCCCTCCCTCCCCCACCCCCCCCATCTTCGCACTCACGTCGTTGGGATCCCATTCGGGAAGGTCGGGCGGCGTGAAAGACGCCAGCGTGGGCGGGTCATCCCCGTTATCAACAGCCGCGGAAAACGCGTTATAGAGCGCCGTGTCCGCTCCATACGCGCCGTACTCCTCCTCCCCGCCCTTCCCGCCGCCGCGGGACCAGGCGTTAGGGCGGCCTAATAAAGACAGAGTTAAATGCTCCACTACGTAACTTAAATTGTACGAGACTACTATCAGAATCGCTATATATAGGAACCTAAGGCGCGGGGAGGCTTGCGGGAACGGGCCGTAAGAGGGGGAGTTTGGAGAGTAAGGGGGGGAATACGGCGGGGAATAAGAGGGGGACTGCGGCGGGGATCGCGCGGAGGCGCGGGAAGCGTGGGTGAAGAGGGGGGAGGCGGAAGGGCGGAGAGCGGGGGAGCCAAAGGTGGGGTGATTGTGGCGGCCGCTGGCGGAAAAAGTGCGCTCCATGAGCGCTGCAAGATTGACGGCGTTGCTTGCGGCGTAATGTGCGTTAAGGACGGCGCAGCTGCTGTTGCCGTCCTTCCTGATTCATTCTCGCAAATCGTACGTCAGGCTTCCCTAACTTGGGCGGATTAAGAACGTAACACACTGTTGCGGAGACGCATACAACGGGGACAACGAGCGGGTTGGCGTTTCCCTCCATCCAGGGGAATGCGAAGAATCTGCATTTGGGAAGAGGCAGCGGGGTGATGGGTGACGACGGGTAGGGGGACGGGTTGCACGCAACAAGGAGCTGACTCTATATACGCAGTGTTCAATAACACGCTGTGAAGTAGCGACAATTACTACATAAACTTACACTTCGGAGCATTCTTGAAGGCAAAAGGCTTTTGTACAGAGCTGTACTGGTACAGGCTTGTATGGAATACAGGACGTGGAAGGTGAATGCCTCGCCACGTCGGAACCTCACCTCGGCTCACTTGTTTTGATTCCACGATGCCAGGTCGTCCATGACGTGGACAACAAGATCCGCCTGAAGCTCCAGATTTGCTGGTTCCCATGGATGGCAACTTTGAAGGACTCGAACCGAAATTCTGTTCCCCTCGATAATGCCGGAGCCACTCTCGAAATGTTGTTCCACGCAGAAACGAAACAGGCTCGACCTCCCTCCAATTGGCCTGCGGGCAGCATAAAACAAACTGCCGACCACTCCGAACCGCGTCTCCAGATTTCAATTGGAGCGCGCATATGCATTCATCAGCTACACCTTGTTCTCGATTATTTCACACCCCTTAATTTTACACCTTGACTCGGGATCACCAGCAAAGGCCTTGGGCTGCCTAGCTGGCGAACCATGAGGGATCATTGAAGCGAGATGTGCAGAAATGATCGGCTTTTTATACTGTCAGCAAGCCAGAGAAGTGGGGAAGCTTGGGTCTGTTTGGTTCGTGTTCAAAAGTGGGAAACAAGACGGTTTCAATGTCTGTTGCAACTCTTGAAGTTATAACGACTGGACTGGATTTGCTACAAACACGTGTTACTTTGGGAAAGTCGCGCATGTGTCGAAATTCAACCTGATCATGAATAACTCCTCAATTTTGGGAGCCCAAAATCAGATTCGAATTTGTGGTCAGGGTTACGATAAACGCAATCCTGACGTGACTGTTTTTCATTGGATGCAAAGATTTTTCAAGATCGTCAACACTCTCTGGGTCTATTCAAGTCATGTTTCATTCCCTGCCAGCACAGCTGTACCGCGCCTCGATGGTGAAATTATCAGGGACAATATTTGCACCCTTAATTTGACACCCTCTCGGGCAAAGGAAATCGCGGTTCGGGATTTGGGGCCGTGAAAGTATCGAGAACAGGGTGTATCACCCAAAATCTGAATTTGCACTCCATCGCCTCTCCAGGTAGAAATCACCACTCACTGCCCACGTTTGACCTGTTCACATTCCTCTTTGACACCTGCTACTGCTTATCCGACCTCTTACCCCGTATCCTCTCTATTCCGTAGGTGCATATCAGTGGGAAGCCGTGTTCCAGTCTAGTCCGTCGTTTCCGTCCATCCACTTTCGCCCTCAGTGTTTGAGACTCTTCCAGGCCGACGCAGCGCCCCCACGATCTCGATCCTCCTCAGTCCAATCGCAACGTAATCATGGTGCGACGCGACGCCAGCGAGCAGCAGAAGCTGCTAGTGCCAGTGCAGCCGAAAGTGACGCCGTCGCAGAGCTACGCGAACTGGCTGTGCGACGCCATCGAGCGATTTCTGAATGCGACGATCAAGACGCCTCCCAGCACGACGTACCTCACGGGTGTGTTCGCACCCGTCGACAAGGAAATCGGCCCCATCGCTGGCCTCCCCGTCACCGGCCAACTACCAGTACGTTCGCGCCACGTAGACCTCCGAATCTCGGATCTAGTACCCGTCAACCGTACATCTCAATCCACGTTTTTGTTCCCCCAGCGGCCCCACTTACCCTGCTTAATCCCTGTTACGCGTCGCGCTGGCCCACGCTTAACCGTGCCTACCCTTGCGTCTCCCCCTTCTCCCCGCGCCTCCGCCCACGTCTTCCCCGCTCCCCCTTTCACCCGCGGTCCCCCTGCGTAGGAATGCCTGAACGGCGAGTTCGTGCGCAACGGGCCCAACCCCAAGTTCGCGCCCACCTTCAGCTACCACCTCTTCGACGGCGACGGGTGAGTGCGCGCGCGGTATGGGCGCGAGCCTGCGACGGAAATGTGTCTGTGCAGTGGCGATGGGTGGGTTGTGTGCGATGCGCACAGCTGGAAGCAGTTACGTGCGATGGGATGTGTAACTGCGCGAGTGCGAGGAGGAGTCGCACTCGCGGCGAGGTGTCTCGTCAACGAACGTTTGACTCACTATCAGAGTATCAGGGATACTTAAACAAAGAAGATGAGGGAAAGGAGATTCCACCTCTTACCATCCTCCCTCACCGCCATCCCACCCCCCTGCTCCCCTTTCCCCCCTCAACCTCCCCGCCTTCCGTCCGCCAGCATGCTGCACGGCGTGCGCATAAAGGACGGCAAGGCGAGCTACGTCAACCGCTGGGTGCGCACGAGCCGCCTCGAGCAGGAGACCGCCTACCAGCGCGCCAAGTTCCTGAAATTCGGGGATATGCTCGGATACGCGGGGCTCGCGAAGATATTTCTAGAGCAGCTGCGCAAGTGGCTGGGTGTGCTCGACCTCTCCCAGGGCAACGGCACCGGGAATACCGCGCTCATATTCCACGCGCGCCGCCTGCTCGCGCTGCACGAGGGCGACGCGCCGTACGCGATACAGGTGCTTCAGGACGGCGATTTGGAGACGCAGGGGAGGTTGACGTATGGCGGGCGGCTGAAGCACCCGTTTACGGCGCATCCCAAGGTGGATCCCGAAACGGGCGAAATGTTCACGTTTGGTTACCAGGCCAAGGCGCCGTTCGTGACCTACCGCGTAGTGACTAAAGCGGGGGAGATGGGTCCGCCCGTTAACATTACCATCCCAACGCCTGGCATGATGCATGATTTCGCCATCACACAGAATTACGCGATTTTCTTGGACCTTCCCTTGGAGTTTGTTCCGAAAGAGATTGTCAAGGGCAAGATGCCGTTCCTGTGGAACCCGGACCGGCCAGCCAGGTTCGGGATCCTGCCTCGGTACGCGGAGAGCGAGGCGGAGCTTCGGTGGTTCGAGCTGCCGGCGTTGTTCATCTTCCACACGGGGAACGCGTGGGAGGAGCAGACGGAGAAGGGGGAAAAGGAGGTGGTGCTGATTGCGTGCCGGTTCGATGAGATCAGCTTGCAGCTGGAACAAATGGAGGCTGACAAGGCTGCCAGGCTGTGAGTTGATGTAGCTAGTGTTGGGTGGGTGTGGCTGAGGGGGTGTGGCTGAGGGGGTGTGGCTGAGGGGGTGTGGCTGAGGGGGTGTGGCTGAGGGGGTGTGGCTGAGGGGGTGTGGGCGAGGCGAATAGAAAGAGGTGGTGCTGATTGCGTGCCGGTTTGATGAGATGAGCCTGGAGCTGGAGCAGATGGAGGCTGACAAGGCTGCTAGACTGTGAGTTGTGTGATGGGTGGGTGTTAAGTGGTGGTTGCAAGTGGCTTTCATTGAATATGTGGGAGGTTGTGAGTGCTTCCACTGTTCGGTGTCATGCCTGGGTCACTACAGAGGTATTGACTCCACCAATCCCTATTTTCTCATTCTCCTCCCCTCCGCCCCTACCTCCGCCCCTACCTCCGCCCCTACCTCCGCCCCTACCTCCGCCCCTACCTCCGCCCCTACCTCCTCCCCCTGTCTCAGCTACGAGTTCCGGTTCAACATGGCGACGGGCAAGGCATCGCAGCGCCAGCTCACCACGTTCGGCTGTGACTTCCCGCGTATCCACGACGGCTACATGGGGCGGTGAGTCAAATGGCTGATGTATGTGGTGCGTTGTGGGCTGAGGGTGTGCTGAGAGTGCACGAGGTGTGCCAGCCTAGTGTGTATTAACGAGTGGTGCTGTGTATTAACGAGTGGTGCTGTGTATTAACGAGTGGTGCTGTGTATTAACGAGTGGTGCTGTGTATTAACGAGTGGTGCTGTGTATTAACGAGTGGTGCTGTGTATTAACGAGTGGTGCTGTGTATTAACGAGTGGTGCTGTGTATTAACGAGTGGTGCTGTGTATTAACGAGTGGTGCTGTGTATTAACGAGTGGTGCTGTGTATTAACGAGTGGTGCTGTGTATTAACGAGTGGTGCTGTATATTAACGAGTGGTGCTGTGTATTAACGAGTGGTGCTGTGTATTAACGAGTGGTGCTGTGTATTAACGAGTGGTGCTGTGTATTAACGAGTGGTGCTGTGTATTAACGAGTGGTGCTGTATATTAACGAGTGGTGCTGTGTATTAACGAGTGGTGCTGTGTATTAACGAGTGGTGCTGTGTATTAACGAGTGGTGCTGTGTATTAACGAGTGGTGCTGTATATTAACGAGTGGTGCTGTGTATTAACGAGTGGTGCTGTGTATTAACGAGTGGTGCTGTGTATTAACGAGTGGTGCTGTGTATTAACGAGTGGTGCTGTGTATTAACGAGTGGTGCCGTGTATTAACGAGTGGTGCAATGCCGCTACATGTTTTGTGATGGGGAGGTGAGTTGAGCTGATGGGTGTGTTGTGTGACCTGGGGGCATGCTGTGGGTATGAAGTGAGTTTGTTTAACACCCCCTTCCTCCATCCCTGCTCTCCTTCCCATCTCTCCTCTTAACAGCAAGCAGCGCTACGTGTACTGTGCCTCTTTTGAGGGCATCACCCGCATCTGCGGCATTGCCAAGATAGACCTGCAAAGTGCCCCGGACCTCTCTGCTCCGTACTACACCATTGGCGGCTGCGTCTCAGGGTTCTTCAACCACGGGCCCGGCAGGTTCGGGTCCGAGCCTGTGTTTGTGCCTCGGAGCAACGAGCCTGGTCTGGAGGAGGACGATGGATACGTGCTGACCTTCGTGCATGATACCAACACAGAGTGAGTGCCGCTTGTGATTCTCACAGCGTTTGTAACTCTTCTCGGGCCCACGACGTGCTACCTGCCTCTTATTCTCTGCTTCTAACCACCCTTCATGATTTCCCCTGTCCCACGTGCTCCGCTCTCCCACCTCTCCTCCACCCTCTTCCACCTCCTCCTATCCCCCAAAAACAGCATCTCCGAAGTGTTGGTGTTGGATGCAAAGACAATGGCCTCGCCCCCAATTGCCACCATCCGCCTGCACCCTTCCCCCCGAGTCATGTGCACTCTCCTCCCCACCCTCTCTATCCCCATTCCCCCCATAACAGCATCTCCGAAGTGGTGGTGTTGGACGCAAAGACCATGGCTTCAGACCCCGTTGCTACCATTCGCCTGCCTCAGCGCGTGCCATACGGCTTCCATGGCATCTTTGTGTCAGAGGTATGCTTCTTTGAGTGTGCGTGGTGCATGGAGCATGATGCATGGGGTAGGTGCATGGGGCATGGTGCATGGGGCTGGGGCATGGTTGCATGTGGCATGGCCGCATGGTGCATGGTGCATGGTACATGGTGCATGGTACATGGTGCATGGTGCATGACGCATGGCACACGGTGCGAGTAAGCTGTGGTTGTTATGCACCTGTACCTTCATGCATAACACACCTGCTGCATGGTGCATGGTACCTTGCAATGAACCCATGCCATTGAAAGTCTTTAATACACTTTCATTCAGGTCCAGCAACAAGTGCACATGGACTCTTCTTACGCACATTCATCCCCTTGAATCTTGCGACCTTGCATTTTCCTCCTTGCCTGTTGCCATGCTACATGATGCCACACTGCAGGATCAAATCTCCGCCCAGCTGCCAGAGTAATTCATGCGAAGTCAGCTGTCCACTCTGTAGTCCAGTGAATGATTTTGCCATCAGCAGTAGCAGCTGTTACCTGTAGCTGACCTCGTTCGTCCTGTGTATATTGTGGGGCAGGTGTGCAGAATGTTGGCAACCATAACTGCTGTATGTTGGCATGTATAGAATACCGCAAGCCCAGTGAAAGTGTGCAGAACTCACACCAAGTGCCACCCAGCCAGCCACAATCCGCACTTTCCAATGTGTACCAGATCTAACATCCATTGGCACATGTATCGCATGTCAATGAACCAACACTTCCCATGAAAGCAAAAATCAGACACATACATTGCACATAGCTGTATCACATTGACCAATTTACCCTGCACAGCATTGCGGTATCTGCTAAGGAGCATTACTTCTCCATAGACAATCACATCCCAACACTCATGCTTTTCCAATTCCCAACTTCCAGCACTCCGCACCATTTCTGCCATCTGATTTATTCTACTCATCATCACTCTCCCCCATGCCTCTGCCGAAGCCCATTTCATGGTCACTGTCCAAGGCATACTCATGATCAATATCATCATCCTCAGCCCCACTCTCCTCTTCCTCCGATGCCTCCCCGCCCGCCTCTTCCCTTTCCCCACCCACATCGCCTCCCTCCTCCCCCTCTTCCTCTTCCCCATCCCCTCCCTCCCCATCCTCCTCCCCATCCCCCTCCTCTCCCTCCTCTCTTGCAGGAACCCCTCTTGTGTCTCGCCTTGACAGCAAAGGGCATTCACTGATGTGGCACTCACGCAATGTTGGCATTTTTCGGAGAGAGGCAGGCAGCCGAGTCAGCTTCTTGCATATGATCACCTCCAGCTGCTCAAGCTTAGGCAGCCGAGTGAACGAATCTGGCAAGCTTCGTAAGTGCTTCAGTCCCAGAATCAGCAACTTCTGGAGCAAAGAAAGTTTCCAGATGTCATCCGGAATGCTTGGGATTCCAATCATGATGAGAGAGCAGGATCATAGATTGGATAACTTTACGAAGGACTCTGGAAGCTGCATCAGCTTGTAGCAGTCAATAATCTCCAGGGTCTCGAGCATATTCAGCTGCCCAAGAGACTCTGGCAGCTGCCGCATTGAGAGGAGGTTAACCAGCTGCAAGACACGCAGCCCTGCCAGCCCCCCAAGGGTCTCGGGCAGTGCTTTCAGATGGTAGGCCGTATCAATCTTGAGCCTTTGCAGCTGCGAGAGTTGGGAGATGGAGTCAGGGAGAAGGTCAAGTTTGTACATCTCCAGGAGCTTCAACTGCGTCAGAGAGGACAGCCGACCAAGGGATGGACCAAATGACTCCACATTAAGCGATTTAAACTTGAGGCTCTGAATGGAAGGAAGCAGAGGGTGACTGCTGCTCCTGCTGCCGGTGCTGGTCACAAAGCCCCTGGCAGTGCGTCTAAGCACCGTCTCATCGCCTAGCACCCCGCTTAGTGAATCAGATGCCCGCACGTCCAACGCTCGCAGACAGGGCAGCTCAAGAAGCGACGGCGGGAGACATACCAGGCCGTCCATTCCAAAGATCCTGACCTCCTCGAGCGCCTCCAGCCGTCCGATCCCCTCAGGCAGGACCGTCACTTTCGGGCAATTTCCCACTTCCAGGCTGGTGAGGGAAGAAACGCCAAAGAAGGAGGCAGGAAGGGCGGATAGGCGCGGCATAGTATCGAGCGACAGCTCCTTGAGGCTTTTCAAGCTGCCAAAGCCGTCTATCAGCGCACCCCTGAAGCGTTTCGCGCGTTCAATCTTTAGGGTTTCGAGAGACGTCAGGCCGGAGAAAGTTGGGGGGAGGTGGGTGAGAGCCGTGCACTCCAGTAGAAGCAGATGGCGCAAGGACTGCAGACCGTTCCCCATGTCGTCTGGCAGCACCGTGAGGCGTGGACAACTCTTAATCTCCATATGCTCGAGAGAAGATAGCTGGGATAGGGAGCCCGACAGTTCCTCCAGGTGCAAACACTCCAGTACTTTCAGCTCCCGGAGAGCTGTCAACTCCCCAAAAGATTCAGGCAGACATTTGAGCTGGTGAATTCTCTTCAGAAACAGCTTCTCCAAACAAACCAGCTCCCGAAGATATCTCAGATGTTGAAAGTTATCAAGGGAAAGCTCTTGCAGTGTAGTGATCAAGGCGAAGGAATCAGGTAAGGCTGTGAGAGTCCTTAGCTCCAGAACGAGTGTCCGAAGCACTGACAACTGCCCGAAATCTTCGGGCAGCAAAGAGAGTTCGTCGATATCAAGGGTGAGCTTGGTGAGTGCAGGCAGGCGGGGAAGAAACGCGGGCAGAGACGTGACGTCGAAGCAGTCTTTGATGATCAGGGTCTTCACTCGCTGAAAATGCTCCAGTTCCGCAACCAGCTCGCGCATCCCCCTCACTTCAACCAAGATGATGATTTCGAGTGCCTTCAGTTGACTGAAATCGACCGGCGACGGAGGAAGAATCCTGCATCGTCGAACCTCCAGAACGGCGAGAGAAGAGAGCTCGGTGAAAGAGGCCGGCAGCTGCAACGTCCTGAAATGATTCAAGGAAAGACGGTTCAGAGCGGTAAGCTGTCCGAAGCAGTCCGGAATTGACGTCAAGCTGCACGTGTTCAGCTCCAGAGACGTCAATGAAACCAAATTGCCGAAATCTTCAGGCAAAGCTTCGATCATATAAGTGTTCAGCACGAGGGTCCTGAGAAATTGTAACGAGGTAAGAGAGCCAGGAAGGCTCGTAACGCTTCCCCCGATTGTTAAGCTTCTGAGCCGTGTAAGCCGGTCGATCGACGTGGGAATGGCAGAATGCTCCGAACAATGAAATTTAAGATCTTCCAGCCGCGTACACCCCTCGAACAGCACAACGAGGCTCTTCTCAGATACACCTCCGGGTCTAGATCCACGTGACATCGATTCGACATGAAGCTGGGTCAAATGGTGATACGTGCTAGCGAGGTGGGAGAATAAAAAATAAGGGGTGGAGGCGAGGCTGTCATAGGAAAGGATGAGCTCTTCGAGGTTAGGGAACGACGACAAAAGCTGAACGAGGCGACGCGGATCCATACGGAGGTTATTGGGCAAGCGGAGCTGGTATTGCACGCGGTACGCGATCCGATGCCATTGCTTGCTAACAAATGCGTGCTCCAACAGGCCCTCAGGTCGAACCAGAAAACGCAGGATCCGAGAAAGAACATCCTCAGGTAACCGCTCGATCGGCGAACCGACTGGCATCGTGAAAGGAGGAAAAAGTAATTAAGGATTAACGGATCAGCTTGTTGATTCTGTTAAAAGCAGGTAACGTGACTCCTAATCGTCGAGCAGCAACATGGTTGTTAGGCTGGAGGGAGGAGAAAGCAACTCTGGAAGGGAATGTGTTCCTGTGGGGATCTTGGAGTGCATCTCTCTCAGCTCAACGAGAAAGCCTTGGGCCTGTCAGTGACACCGCACTCAACCGCTCTTTCTTCTCGAACCCATTCCCGCCAGATTCTCCCACGTAACACGTACTTGCGAAAAGGACGGCGACACAGGGCGCACAATCACAAACCTCCATCTCAATTTGCGAGGAGCAAGCCTTCGCGAGCGAGCCCCAATTGGGTGTCCCATAGTGAGGTGACTCGACGTGGCCTTGTGCGCTTCCCGCAAAAAAGGTGATGGTACTCGCGTACCCGTTTGTGGATGCGAATCCACCAGATTGTTTTCAGCAGCGAGTTGTTGTTTGCAAAGGCGTGTAAAGCAGTATGAAGGAGCCAAAAACATATGTTGCCTTACCGGTTAGGAAACGACATGTTCTTTCTAAAATGGGATGATAGTGTGTACTTTTTGTTTACCGCATTGAACCAGTATGAAATACTGCGTCTACGCACGTAAAATACTCAATGCAGCACCATAATTGCTAAACTACGCTGTCAGAATTCCATCACGCTGCTGCCAACAGCAGATACCTAAAAAAAAACATACCATATCTCCTCTCCGACTGCCATCAATTCTCACGTCCACCATATGTAATGCGAGCGACAAGGAACGACTCGCTGAGAATGCTGCTGACTCTTCTGCTTTTGGGCAGCAGACCTAAAAAACCCGTATCGGCATGCCAACCGTTCATCCAAGCGAGGATGAGAACCCCCTCACAATGCTGCCGATCATCTTCTGCTTCTGTGCAAACGACCACGATGGGTTGTTCTGCCACACAGCAAGTAAGACAGCGAGGGACGCGGAGAGAACAGAGGCCCACATGAATGAGGATGTGGAGAGCAGCAGGCGGAAATGCATGTTATGGGAGAAAGGTTGTTCAGGAGGGACACAGCACATCCACCTGCAGTCACACCCAATTACAGTCACACCCACCCACCTGCATTGTGAGCAATTACCCACAGCACACCTGTCTGTGGTCAAAACCTAAAGCTTCAACCCAAAATGCTAAACTTGAAACTCTGACGAGCCCCACCTGCAGGGTGAGCAGGGCGCGCTTGGTGAACGCCACGGCCTGTGGGGACACGCCGGCAGGAAGCTTCTCCGCGGCTTCCTGCAGCGCCTTGTTCTCCTGCAGCGCTGTCATTCGCTGCGGCCCCGCGTACAGCTCCACCAGGGCTTCGAGCTCATCGCCACGGGAGAGGCAGCTTTGCAGGGCGGACTGGGGGAGGTGAGAGCGGGGGGAGGGAAGGGGAGAAAGAGACAAGGGAGGAGGGAGGAGGGCATTTGTTGTGGCCCCGCGTACAGCTCCACCAGCGCCTTTAGCTGATTGGCTCGGGAGAGGCAGCTTTACAGGGAGGTCTGGGAGAAGGGGGAGGCGAAGAAGAGAGCGGCAGGGAGGGGAAGGAAGTCACAAAGCTCTACCAGCGCCTTGAGTTCATCCGCACGGGACAGGCAGCTCTGCAGGGCGGACTGGGCGAGGTGAGAAGAAAGAGAAGGAGCAAGAAGGAAGTAAGGGCAGAGAGAGGAAAGAAGGTGGGAGGAGAGGGAAGGGATGTCTCTGCAGGAGGGTCTGCATTCGTGAACACGCCAGCAGCTTCCCCAGCCATGGCACTGCAGGGAAAGGCACATGCAGACATACACACACACACACACACACACACACGCACGCACGCACGCACGCACGCACGCACGCACGCACGCACGCACGCACGCACGCACACACACACACACACACACACACACGCACGCACGCACGCACGCACGCACGCACGCACGCACACACACACACACACACACACACACACACACACACACACAGCCACACAGCCACACAGCCACACAGCCACACAGCAACCCACCTGGAATTCTTCCTCGCTCTCCATGCCCGTCAGCGCCATCAGCTCTGCCTTGGCCGCCACCATCACCTCCTCCAGCGACGGCCCCTCACCCGCCTGCTGCTTCTCCTCCTCCTCCGCCAGCAGCGGGTTGATCGGGGAGAAGTCGTTCGGTGTGATGTACTCAGGCTCAAAGTCCACCTGGTGGGAGTGGCGTGAGGGGGATGGGCAGGGAGAGCACGGCTTGAAGCGCAGCCTTTTGAGGCGCCTCAAAAGGCGTGGGGGGGATGGGCAGGGAGAGCACGGCTTGAAGCGCAGCCTTTTGAGGCGCCTCAAAAGGCGTGGGGGGGATGGGCAGGGAGAGCACGGCTTGAAGCGCAGCCTTTTGAGGCGCCTCAAAAGGCGTGGGGGGATGGGCAGGGAGAGCACGGCTTGAAGCGCAGCCTTTTGAGGCGCCTCAAAAGGCGTGGGGGGGATGGGCAGGGAGAGCACGGCTTGAAGCGCAGCCTTTTGAGGCGCCTCAAAAGGCGTGGGGGGGATGGGCAGGGAGAGCACGGCTTGAAGCGCAGCCTTTTGAGGCGCCTCAAAAGGCGTGGGGGGGATGGGCAGGGAGAGCACGGCTTGAAGCGCAGCCTTTTGAGGCGCCTCAAAAGGCGTGGGGGGGATGGGCAGGGAGAGCACGGCTTGAAGCGCAGCCTTTTGAGGCGCCTCAAAAGGCGTGGGGGGGATGGGCAGGGAGAGCACGGCTTGAAGCGCAGCCTTTTGAGGCGCCTCAAAAGGCGTGGGGGGGATGGGCAGGGAGAGCACGGCTTGAAGCGCAGCCTTTTGAGGCGCCTCAAAAGGCGTGGGGGGGATGGGCAGGGAGAGCACGGCTTGAAGCGCAGCCTTTTGAGGCGCCTCAAAAGGCGTGGGGGGGATGGGCAGGGAGAGCACGGCTTGAAGCGCAGCCTTTTGAGGCGCCTCAAAAGGCGTGGGGGGGATGGGCAGGGAGAGCACGGCTTGAAGCGCAGCCTTTTGAGGCGCCTCAAAAGGCGTGGGGGGGATGGGCAGGGAGAGCACGGCTTGAAGCGCAGCCTTTTGAGGCGCCTCAAAAGGCGTGGGGGGGATGGGCAGGGAGAGCACGGCTTGAAGCGCAGCCTTTTGAGGCGCCTCAAAAGGCGTGGGGGGGATGGGCAGGGAGAGCACGGCTTGAAGCGCAGCCTTTTGAGGCGCCTCAAAAGGCGTGGGGGGGATGGGCAGGGAGAGCACGGCTTGAAGCGCAGCCTTTTGAGGCGCCTCAAAAGGCGTGGGGGGGATGGGCAGGGAGAGCACGGCTTGAAGCGCAGCCTTTTGAGGCGCCTCAAAAGGCGTGGGGGGGATGGGCAGGGAGAGCACGGCTTGAAGCGCAGCCTTTTGAGGCGCCTCAAAAGGCGTGGGGGGGATGGGCAGGGAGAGCACGGCTTGAAGCGCAGCCTTTTGAGGCGCCTCAAAAGGCGTGGGGGGGATGGGCAGGGAGAGCACGGCTTGAAGCGCAGCCTTTTGAGGCGCCTCAAAAGGCGTGGGGGGGATGGGCAGGGAGAGCACGGCTTGAAGCGCAGCCTTTTGAGGCGCCTCAAAAGGCGTGGGGGGGATGGGCAGGGAGAGCACGGCTTGAAGCGCAGCCTTTTGAGGCGCCTCAAAAGGCGTGGGGGGGATGGGCAGGGAGAGCACGGCTTGAAGCGCAGCCTTTTGAGGCGCCTCAAAAGGCGTGGGGGGGATGGGCAGGGAGAGCACGGCTTGAATCGCAGCCCGCAGCCCCTCCTCTTCCAGAACGGGGTTCATGGGCGACAAGTCATCCGGCGTCATGTGCTCTGGCTCGAACTCCACCTACCTGTCGGGAGGGAGACGAGGGAGATGGGGAGTGTGTGAGCACAATGTGAGGCGCGCCAACGCAATGCTGTGGCCTGCTGACCTCTTCCTGCACGCGTCTGCTGCTGCTGCTCCTCCAGTGCGGGGTTGATGGGCGAAAAGTCGACCGGTGTTATTTAGTCTTTTCGCTCCAAGTCCACCTGTTGGGGTACGCGTGGGAGTGTGGGATTGGAGCCAAGGCATTGGTGCGGCAGTCCCGCAACCACCATGCAATGCAAGCAGCAAAACCCCACGCCTACCCACCATGAACCGTTGGTGCAGCGCTGCATTAGCGACGTCAGCAGCCTCTAGGAAGTCCAGAAACTCCCCCACCTGCCGCTCGTCCTCCTCACTCCACGTCGACTCCTCTATAAACCTCTGCACCACACTCTCCCCCGTCACCAACTCCCCCCTCCCGCGCCTGCCCCCTCCGCCCACCCGCGGCCTCTGCTGCCCCCCCTGCCCCTCCGCCTGCCTGTCCATTACCAAACCCATCCCCATCCCCATCCCCCCTCCCCTCTGCCCCCCCTCTCTCATCCCCCTCCTCTGCTCCCCCTCCCTCATCCCCCCTCTCCTCTGCCCCCCGGCTACCCCTCCCCCCGCTCGCCTCTCCTCCTCGCGCCCTCCCCTTTCCCCTCCTCCCAGACCTCCTCCCCCTGGGCCTGCGCCGAGCCTGCGCCGGGACATGACCGAGCCAAGAGCCTCGGCGGCGAACTGGCTGACGGAGTCGCGGCGGGAGGAGGCTCGGGAGGAGTCCCGAGCCTTGGCCATAGCTGCGGTGAGGATGCCCAGGGCGCGTTCGGTGGCGTCTTCTCGAGAGAGGTTCAAGGGGGGAGGGTGCTGTGGTTCCTCTAGGTGCTGTGGGGTGGAATCAGCAGCTGCAGCCTTCCCTGCCTCCACCCCTCCCACCGGCCCATGCCTCTGCTGCTGCTCCTCTCTCTCCCCATCCCTCCCCCTCTCCATAACTCTCTCCCTTTCCCCCTCCCTGCTCCCCTCCCTACCCAATTCCCTCCCCCCCTCCCTCCCCCTCTCACTCTCCCCCTCAGCGCCCCTCCAGCCTTCCATCTGCCGTTTGAAACTCAGCCTTCCCCTCCCCGCGCCTGCTGCCGGACCTCCCAGGCTCGGCCGTACCAAGCCTGCTCCGCGCCCTGCCGGCATCAGACCGCCACGGCCCAAACCTGCAGTCGGACCCGCAGCACCCGGGACGCCCACGTCAGCAGCTGCCACGTCAGCTGCAGGCGGAGCTGACGTGTATGACGGCGCGGCCACAGGAGCAGCTGGGGAGACGCCAGGGCGCATGCGAGGTGCGGGGGCGGATGGGGAAGGCAGGGGGGACGGCGCGGGGAAGGGGGGGCGGTGCGAGAAGAGGGGCGGGGAGGGGGGAGGGTGGGGGGCGTGCGGGGCGGTGGGCGCTGCGGTTTGGGGAACGCCAGGTGGGGGTGGCGGAGCAAAGCGCGGCGGCGGAGGAGTCGGGGGGAATGGGGGAGAAGGGGGCGGCGGGGGGGATGGGGTAGTGGCAGCAGCAGCAGAGGAGGGAGGAGGAGCAGTATCAACAGAAGCAGCAGCGACCGGAGCAGCAACAGAAGGAGCAGCAGAGACCGGAGCAGAAAGATGAAGGTGCGAGTCAGCATCTGCCGCCCGGCGTCGGAGCTTCATCCTCAGGCGCATCTCCTCCCTCTCCCTCTCACTCAGCTGCTCGCTGCTGCCGCCACCCATACCACCGCCACCCAAGGCACCACCACCCACGCCACTGTCGCTGCTCTCAACGCTGCTGCTGGCAGCGACGGGTGCAGCAGCAGCGGGCGCGGGAGGCGCCGGAGGAGCAGCAGCTGCAAGGGGAGGAGGAGGAGGAAGAGGAGGAGACCAAGTGGGGGCAGGGCCGCCAGCGGCAGGGGCAGGAGCAGCATGGGCGGCATGGGCGGCAGGAGTAGCAGGCTGGGCGGCATGGGCGGCAGCATTAGCACTCTGGGCGGCAGCCCGGGCGGCCTGGGCGGCAGCATCTTCCATCCGCTCGATCTCGCCCATCTCAGCGTACATCTCCACCAGCCCGTTCCACGTCGGCGCGGATAAGACAAAACCAGCCGCCCGCGCCTCCGCCACCATCCGATCCGCCTCCCCCAGGTCCCGCCTCCGCGCCACGCTCCGGATCGCCGCCTCCTGCGCGGCGCTGTCCAATGCAACGCCACCGGCTCGCGCGTCGGCCAGCACGCGCGCCACGTCAGCATCCCTCCCCGCGCGCTCGTACGCGACGAGCATGCGGGAGAGGGCAGCGGGGGACAGTCCCGTGAGGGCACCGGCGGAGGGAGCGGAAGCGGGAGCGGGGGGAGGCGGAGGATACGGCGGATTCACAGGAGAAGCGCTATCTACGCGGTGCGCCTCCTGTTCCGCGGGTGGGGGGGACTGGCTTGCGGAAGCCGCCACGGGCTGCTGGATCGGCGCACTCGGCGGAAACCTCCCGGGGGCGGGAAATCCGGGCGCTCTTGGCGCTCCCCATGGCCGCCCGTAACCGTAAGCAGGGGGACCTGCGCCAGGTCCCCACCCCCCCCTGCCTCTCCCCCTCCCCCACATGGCGCCGCCTCCCCCGCGGTCTGGGAAACCGCGGCCGCCACGACCTCTGCCCCAACCGCCATCGCCTCCACTGCCGCCGGCATTACCGCCGGCATTACCGCCAGCATTACCGCCGCCATTAGTGCCGCCACTGGCGGCTCCACTGGTGGCGTCATTGGGGGGTAAGGCGGCGGTAGCGAAGGCTGCAGAGGGCGGCTCGGAGAGGGATAGGCCAGAAAGGGGAAGCGGAGGGGCGAAAGGACCAGCAGGGCTGCTGACGAACGGCGGAGATGGCGCCGTCGAGATCGGCTGGCCGATCTGACGGCGAAGATGCGGCTCGAGCCGCACAATGCAGCGCCTCATCGGGACGACGAACGGTGCAGATCAGAGATCGCGGATCAGATGAGATCGCGTGCGACGAGAGAAAGCACCGCGCAGCGGCGGAAAGAAATGGGCGAACGGGGTGCGACGCGCGGAGGGGGATAGTGGAAGGGCGTGCGGTGCGCGAGCGGATAAAAGAGCGAACGTCGAAGTTAGAGATCGGCACAGATGGGTCCAGCGCGTCGCGCGGAGAGAGAGTGAGTGGACGGAGCGTGAGGATGGAGGAATATGGAAACGAAGGGGGGGAAAGGAGGGGAAGCAGGTGGATGCGGAGAGCTCTGCATCCACGGACGGACTTGGGCTCGGGTGGACTTGGCTATGAGGGAAGAAGCTGCGAGAAGCGAGATCGCGGTTGTACGCGTTACACCGAAGGCAGAACAGCTTTGGAAGAAGTCGACATACCTTAACAGCCGGGTGGAAAACAAACACGACATTAGAAAAAAATCAGAGCAGAAACTAATCTACATTCCATGATTACATGCCTTGGACAATCAACACATTTCAGGATGGAAATATATATATGGTAGCAACCTCCATCATTCCCCCGCAGTAGCAGCTCGCATGCGCTTCTTCTGTTGTTGCCCCATCATCCTTTGCTTCCTCTTCAGAGCAGCCGCCGCCTTGGTCGCGGATTTCCCAATCGCCGACGGAGTTTCCGACAACCCAAAGGTCCGCGCAACATGCCCCAAATGCAGCCTTTTGGGGTGGAAAATCTTTTTCAAGCTGCCCTTGTGCGCACCATACGCCCGCACAAACGACCGAAAAGCCCCAGTGGCAAGCTCCCTCAACGCCGATTGCCTCCCCACAGTTGATTCCAACTCCTCCTGCCACGTCTCAACCGCGCTGTGATTGGCCAAAGCCTCCTCCGGACTCACCTCCTTCCAAGCCGGCCGCCTGCGATTGGTCCGGGCAGGTTCGAAGGAGTTTCCGGGCAGGAGGGAGTCGAGGAGAGGGAGGAGGGGCATGGGGAGGAGGTGCACGTTGCAGGAGCGCAGCTGGTCCAGATACTCTGTCTCGTTGGGGAGGAGGAACAGCACTGCCTCTCCCTTTCGCCCGATGCGAGCCGTGCGCCCCACTCTACAGGAAGAATGGGGGCAAGGGACAAAGAAGAAGAGGGATGGTTAGTGGGAGGGGCATGGAGCGCAGCTGGCCCAGGAAATCTCTGTCTCGTTGGGCAGCAGAAACAGCACTGCCTCTCCCTTGCGGCCGATGAGAGCCATGCATCCCACTCTGGGAGTTGGGAGAGGAAGGGAGAGAAAAGGTTAAAGGAGACGAGAGGGGTAGGTTAGAGCAGAGGTTGATACTGGTGCACTTAGTCAGCAAAGCACATAAATAGCAGCAGGATGGGTGCAATGGAATGGGGTGAGTAGAAATGGGTGCAATGCGGTTTGTACCGGTGGACATAATCAGCAGCGTCGCCCGGGGAGTCAAACTGCACGATGGTCTCCACAGCAGGGAAGTCAAGGCCGCGCGCCGCCACGTCAGTGCACAGCAGCACGCCACGTGGCGCGCTGCGATAGGCCAGGAAGGCCTTGGATCGGTCCTTCTGCTCCATGTTGCCGTGCAGCTTGAACACCGGCGCTGGTAGCAAGCCTTGCCCCTGCTGCGGTTGCTGCTGCTGGTGGTGGTCGTGCTGGTTCTGCTGCTGATGCTGTTGCTCTTGTTGTTGGTGGTGTGGAGAATCGGAGGCGAGTGAAGAGGCGGCGGCGGAGGAGAGGAGGGTGGCGTGGAACTCGACAGAGTCACACGTGGATAGGAACACCACCACCTGATGGAAACAGGCAAGCGTGGGTGCGGTGAGGAGGGGGGTGGTATAGGGCAGGAACAAGGGTGCTGGTTGGAAAACGGAACAGGAAACAGGGAGGGAGGGAGCAAAGGGATTGAGCGAAGGCGAAGAAGAGCAGTCTACAAGGATCAAGACGAGAGACTATAGCCTTTGAGAAGCGCTGACTTGGCTCCAGTACCTTGGATGATGCTGACGTGGCAAGCTTGGAGCGCAGCAGAGCGATGAGCGTGATGAGTCGACAGCGGCACGGGACTGGTGGTAGGGGCCGGGGAAGGAAGATGTGGGGAGGAAGCGAGGAAGATATAGAGGTTTGGGGTTCCAGCAGTGGACAGCAGGGCTAAGACAAACGAAGTGCATAAACAGCAAACTGCTGTAAAAGTACCCTGTGCGTCTAAAAAAACATACCCTGTGCGCTGTCACCGGGCCTAACAGGTAAAATATACTAATTTGCAGTGCTTGCATTCAGGACACCCACCTGTGCGCCCACACCCACCTGTGCGCCCACACCCACCTGTGCGCCCACACCCACCTGTGCGCCCACACCCACCTGTGCGCCCACACCCACCTGTGCGCCCACACCCACACCCACCTGTGAGCACGAACTGCTTGAGCTGCTCCGGGAAGACAAACGACCCTCCACCACTCGGCCCCTCCTGCAACACCCCGCCCTCCCGCCTCTCCTCCACCCTTGTCTGCTCTCCCCCCGTCTCCTTCCCTCTTCCCCTCTCCACCTCCCTGCGTGCACCTTCTCCTGCACCCTCTCTTGACTCCCCAATCCCCTGCTTGGCTGCTTCTGCCACAGCCATGCCTGCTGCTCCCCCTTTCTTGCTCTCCGCCTTGCCCACCCCGCCTTTACTACCACCACTCTCCAATACCCCATCTTCACCTTCCGACCCCTTGCCCTTGTCCTCCTTATGCTCCTTCTGCTCTCTTCTCTCCTCCTTCCTCTCCTCTTTCTTCTCCTTCCTCTCCGCCCGCCCTGCCTTCTTGACCGCTCTAAGCGCCTGCATGAAGAGAGGCAGGTTGTCCTCGTCCTCGTCGTCCTTCTCCTCCCCTACCTCCTCCTCCTCCTCCTCCTCCTCCTCATCCTCCTCCACCTCTCCCTCCTCCGCTTCCTGCTCCTCCTCCTCTTCCTCTGCTTCCTCCTCATCTTCCTCGACTTCTTCCTCGTCTTCCTCCTCCTGTTCCTCCTGTTCCTCCTGTTCCTCCTCCATTTCCTCTTCTGCATCTTCCTCCTCCTCTTCCCCTCTCTCCACCCCTCCCAACTCCTCCAATTCCCTCTCACCCGTCCCACCGCCCTTCCCCTCTCTCTCCCCCACCCCATCTCCTCCCCTCCCCACCGGCCGCCCAGAAACCCTCTCCTCCACTCGCACGCTGCCACCTGTCACGCTAACAGCCACCGGCGTCACCAGGCTGACGTCAGCAAGCTGCTCCACCCTCGGCCCGAGCGTGGCGGACAGCAGCATGGTCTGAAGCTTCCTGGAAGCACCCTGAGCACCCCCTCCCTGCATGAGACCATCTTGACTGAGCCTCTCCCGCAGCAGAGAGATGATTTCCTTGATGTCCCGCTCGAATCCTAAGTCCAGCAACCTGGTGGGTGGGAAGAGCGGTGGAGAGGGGTGGTAAGTGGTTAGAATATCTTCAATGTCGCGGCCATACCCCAAGCCGTCTTGGCTGAGCCTCTCCCGCAGCAGAGAGATGATTTCCTTGATGTCCCTCTCGAATCCCAAATGCAGCAGCCTGCGGGATAGGAAGAGTGGTGGAGAGGGGTGGTGAATGATGAGGATCTCTTTTGAAACCAGCAGCCTTGGGGGGTAGGAGTGCAGGCGGCAGAGTGAGCGAGTGGAAGCGGCAGAGTGAGCGAGTGGAAGCGGGAGAGTGTGAGAGTGGAAGCGGGAGAGTGAGCGAGTGGAAGCGGGAGAATCGCCTAATTAACGTGCACAAGGTGATCCCATTCTGAAGGTAATCCCACCTGTCATGTCAGTCAGTCAGTCAGTCAGTCAATCACTCGTCCATTACCCTCACCTGTCTGCTTCATCCAGCACCAGCCATCGCAACCGAGCAAGCCCGAAGGAGCACATGTTGCGAAGGTGGTCCAGCAGCCCGCCACTCGTACACACTGAGGGGCAATCACAAGCTGCACCCACCCACCACCACCACCTGCATCACAACCGCACCACCAAACCCACCTGTCAGCCTCGTCCAGAACAAGCCACCGCAGGCGAGCGAGTCCAAAAGAGCACGTGTTGCGAAGGTGGTCCAGGAGCCTGCCAGGTGTCGCAATCACAATGGCCAGCCCTTTCCGCAGGCGCGCCTTCTCCTTGCCGCGGCTCTCCCCTCCGATGCACCGCCCCGGCACGATCCACACGAAGCGCCGGCACAGCTGCTGCGCCACCTCCTCAATTTGCACACAGAGTTCCCTGGTTGGGGCTAAGATGACGGCTGTAGGGAGAGGGGAGGGGAGAGGGTAGAGGAGGAGAGAGCTATCAGGGACGTGGTAGGCTCTCTTGTTGGGATCCGCACAGCTGCTGCGCCACCTCCTCTATCTGTACACAGAGCTCCCTCGTTGGGGCCATGATGACAGCTGTAGTGAAAGGGCGGTTGAGGGAAGGTAGAGGAACGGAGGGTAATAAGACGTCTCAGAGCTTGATCTACATGAAGCGCCGGCACAGCTACTGTGCCATGCCACCTCTCCTATCTGCACACAGATGTGTTTTGAGTCGACTCAAAACACACCTGGCTACTGTGCCACCTCCCCTATCTGCACACAGATCTCTCTCGTGGGGGCCAATATGATGGCTGCAATGATTGGAGGGGGAGGCGGGAAGGGGAAAGAGGGGGAGAAGGGGCGCCAATAATGCTTGACGTTAACGCTTACCATATATGGTAAGCCTTTCCCAATGTGGCAGCACTCACCATATGTGCCGTGCTTGCGGTCCACGTGCTGCCTGCAGGCCTGCAGGGCGCGCAGAATGGGCACCGATAATGCCTGAGGATAAGACTTACCATATGTGGCAAGACATACCCAAAATAGCAGCACTCACCATACGTGCCGTGCTTGCGGTCCACGCGCTGCCTGCACGCCTGCAGGGCATGCAGAATGGGCGCGAGATACAGCAGCGTCTTGCCCGACCCCGTGTCCGCTCGAATGAGCCTGCGGTGTGGGAGGGAAAGATGGAGGGAGGGAAGGATGGAGGGAGTGAGCGAGAAGCGTGTGAGGCAGCAGCAGCAGTAGCAGCCGGCACAGCAGCGCCTTGCCCGACCCCGTGTCCGCTCGAATGAGCCTGCAGTGTGGCGGGGAGGGAGGGCGCAACGCAAGAGGCGTGTGAGAGGGCAAGAACGTAGCTTCTCTCACACGCCTCTTGCGCAAGAGGGCAAGAACCTAGCTTGGATTTGAATGAAAAGCCATCGCAGGGAGAGAGGGAGACAGGTACAAGGAGGGCGGGAAGGCGATGAGGGAGACAGGTACAAGGAGGGCGGGAAGGCGATGAGGGAGACAGGTACAAGGAGGGCGGGAAGGCGATGAGGGAGACAGGTACAAGGAGGGCGAGAAGGCGATGAGGGAGACAGGTACAAGGAGGGCGAGAAGGCGATGAGGGAGACAGGTACAAGGAGGGCGAGAAGGCGATGAGGGAGACAGGTACAAGGAGGGCGAGAAGGCGATGAGGGAGACAGGTACAAGGAGGGCGAGAAGGCGATGAGGGAGAGGGCAGGGAGGGCGGGAAGGCAGAGAAGGACAGGGGGGGCTCACAGGTCTCTGCCAGCGAGGACGTGCGGGATGGCTGCTTGCTGCACGTGCGTTGGTGCTGCGAAGCCCAGCTTCTCTGCAACGGGCGTATAGGGCGGAGGGAAGGGCGGAGTGGGGTGGGAAGGTTTAGGGAGGGCGGAGAGGTTTTATCTGGCGCAAGGTTTGAGTGGCGCAGGGATTATCTGGCATTGACGGGATTCACGCACCTTCAATGTGCGTTGCGAGCGTCTCGCAAAGCCCAAGGTCCGCGAATCTCCCCGATGAAAACACAACCCCCGAACCCCCCTCCGCCTCCGCGACCTTCCGCTCCGCCGTCCCCCCCTCCGCCTCGCTGCGGCCCCCGTCCCCCGCGTATCCCGGAACTTTAACCTCTCTCCAGCTCTCCTCGTTTCCCCCATTTTCCCGCCCCTCTTGCCCCGAGCCTGGAACCTTCTGCCCCTTCTGTCCGCCCCATGCTGTTCCGCCCGCTCTTCCCCCACTCTGGCGGAACGCTGCGAACCCTCTCCCCGCGCCCCTCCCCCGCTGCCTCCCCGCAAATCCCCCGACAGCTGCCCTTCCCCCACGCCCCCCCCGAAAAGCCCCGTTGGAATCTCCGCCAGGAGCACTTTTATCCGCCGCTCTCTGGAAGGCCCCGGCCCAACCTCCGCCTTGCGCGCGCTCACCTTCCCCGCCCCAACCCCCCCTTTTCCCGCTCCGTCCACCACCCCTGCCACCCGGCCCCCCTCTCCTGCCGGCCATCGGCGCGCTGTGCTCAAACCCGCGCTCCTTGGAACGATCCGCCTAATCTAATCCGTGCCAAGTGCTCTTCCTCGTGAAAAAAAGTTTTGATACAGTCCGTCTCAAGTGAGTGTGGATGCCACCCGCGCCGACTAAGAAGTCGGTGCTTATCTTTCTCGAGGGTCGCGGAAGTTCAGGGGATGGTGTGAGAATTGGAGGGGTTTATGCAAGGTTCGAGGAGAATTCGGGTTTAGGGTCTGGTTCGGTGTGGTGCGGAATCCGCTTTGAGTGGCTCCGTTACGCGCAACTGTCCATCCATGCAAGGTGGTTCTCTTTCGTAATTGAACTCCTTGAACTCAATTAGATGGTGAATTTAAGATGAACCATTTGGAAAAACCGCAACCAGAAAATTATCCTCTATTAGTGGCAGCATGGGCTGCCATCCCAGAAAACACAACTGCTCCCCCTCCCCCTTCTTCCCACCCTCCCCCGTTCCCTTGCGTTTCTATTTGTCGGTTGCTGTGCACTGACTCGTGCATACAAGTTAGAACCTATATCCAATGCAATCACCTACCACCAGCCACTGCTCACTCCCCACCACCATCTTCCTCCTCGTTACCCTCCGCGTCACTCGACAACAGGAACACATCTCCCTCTCCACCACCACCCCCCTCACCCCCTCCCACCTCCACCACATCCCCCTCCCCTCCCTCCTCATCCCCACCCCCATCCGTTCCCTCACCCTCCTCCCCGTCTCGCCCCTCCCCACCATCCCCCTCCTCCTCCCCTCCCTCGCCGCGCTGCCACGCGCGGCGCTGCAGGCTAACCTTGTGCATCCTCCGCTCCAGCCGTGACTGGAACCTGGTCATCTTGCGCCGCTCAGTCCCGCGGAACCAGAACAGAATATCCCGCTCCCGCCCCCGCGGCCGCAGCCCCACCGACCCAAACACCGGGTCAACCTGCCCCTCCCGTCTTCGCTTCCGTAACCCAGCCAGGGGCCGGCCTGACCCCAGGGAAGGGCGAGTGAGTGTGCCCTCCCGCTCCCGCCCGCCTGCCTCCTGCCGCTGCTGCGGCCTGTCTCTCCCATCCCTCCCGTCTCTCTGCTGTGCCCCCAGCTCCTCCGGGTCCCCTGTCAGCCCCTCCCTCGCTCTCTTCCTCCTCTGCTGAATCCTGTCCCACACGCCCAGGGACGGCCGCCCAGAGCCCTCACGGGGAGGAGCAGCAGCGGCAGAGGCAGGGGCGCGAGCAGGGTTGCCAGGGGAAGGAGCGGGAGGCGCGGCAGCGGTGGGGATCTGCCCTGACGCTGCTGCCAGCAGGAAGGAGTTGGAGGCATGGCGGGGCACGGTGGGGAGGATGGGAGCGCGGTTGAGAGCGGTGGGAGGTGCAGGTGTGGCGGAGGAGCGCTGGGGTTTGGTGGTTCTGGTGGATATGGGGCGGGAGGAGCGCTGCAGCAGCTGCTGCAGGAGAGGCGAGATGGTCCTGCCTGCTGCTGGGGATGCAGCAGCACCGGCACCAGCAGGAGAACCGGCCGCAGCAGCGGCAGCAGCAGCAAGAGCAGAAGCATTAGGAGTTTGAGGGATCTGAAAGGGGGACGCGTTAGCAGGCGAGAACGTGGCAGGGGACGGCGCTGGGACATCAACAGGGGGTAGTTGCGGTGACTCCCCAAGTACATTGGGCACATTGGGTGTACCGGTCCCATTGGGGACAGACACATTGGGCATGACTTCAATGTCCTCCAGCAATTCATTCACCAACTCATCGTCTGGCTCATCCAACTCTGGAATCCACAGCTCCACTCCGATCGCCGCATCTGCTGCCTCCTCCCGCATCCCTTCTCCTGCTGCTCCGTCCGCCCCTGCTGCCGCCCCGTCACCCTCCTCGTCCTCGTCATCGTCATCTTCGTCTGACATCAGATCCAGCATCGCCACGTCATCAGCGGTGATTGGGCGGTTACCAGCCTGGGCTTTAAGCTTCTTGAGGCGCCGCTGCAGCTTCTTCTGCTCCTCCTCTGCTGACCGTTCCCCTCGCCCCCGCCCCCATGCTTTCTCCTTCTCTTTTGCAGCCTTCAGCTGGGTTTGGAGATCCCGAACCTGGTCCTTGAGCGACCGAACCTGCAAGCGAGCTTCGGAGAGCCTGCCTTTCAAGGTTTGGATGTCGGCGACTCGGTTTCGGGCGAACTGCTGCAGGCGGCGCTTCTTGGTGAGGAGAGACCTGATGACGTGCGGATGGAAGGGGAGGGAAACGGGTAGAAAGAGGGGGTCAATAGGACGGAACGTGGAGGCAGGAAGAGCGAAATGAGTCGAAATTAAGAGCAGAATGGAAGGGCCCATGAGAAGACCCTACCTCCCCACTCCCTTCACCACCTGCGCATGCACCTGATGGTATCCGTGCCTTCGATATGAATGCCCACGTCCACTACCCGCTCCTTCCCACCCCATTCATCACCTTACGATATCACAACCCATGCACTGCCCTTAACCCCCTCCTCCCCACTCCCTTCCTCGCCTGCCCACGCACCTGATGGTATCCGTGTCTTCAATGTGAATGCCCACGTCCACTGCCCCCCGCTCTGTCTGCGCAAACGCCTGCCAGCCCACAAATACCAGCCGCCGCTTCTTTGGCCCTTGCTGCTCGCAGGGATGGTGGCGGTGGTGGGCGGAGGAATAGAGGAGGGAGATGGGAAAGGTGAGCCATGTTGCGAGCGACAGTAGTTGAAGGGGAAAGAGCAGCTAAGCTGATCTCTGAAAACATTTGGAATGGATCGGCACAGCGGGCACTTCAAGAAAAACACAGCCACGCCTAGAGACACCCACCTAGGCATCTGGTTCGGACCTACTGCCCATGACGCAAACCCAACACTCCTCTAGCTGCTAAGTTTGAGACGAATTTTGAGAGGGTGGGTGCTAAGGGCAAATTCTGAGTCGCTTTTGAGAATTCTCAAAAGGGGCAAAGAAACCAGTGAGTCAGCTCACCGGGCACCTCAACTGACACACCCTCTCCGCCCACCTGGCTGATCTCTTTGACCCACAACACAACACACCCTCCACATTCCGTCACAACACACCCTCCACATCCCCACACCACGCACCTGGTTGAGCTCCGTGGCCCAGGAGGAGTCCCCCACATTGCGCCAGTTGCTGGGCGCGCGCACCAGCACCCCGCGCTCCTTCCCCTTGGCCACATCCCCCACCTCGTACCCCCCAAACCGCCCCTGCGCGCCCTGCCCCTCCACAAACGGCCCGTGCTGCACCACCGCCTTGCATATCCCGCACAGGTGGGGGTAGAGCCAGTGGAGAAACGACAGCAGCGTGGCGTGCTCGCGCTCCTGCTTCTGCCTGCCTGCCTCTCCGCTGCGCTCTATGCTTGGAAGGTAATACTTGTGCACGCATACGTCCTTGCCTAGCCCGGGCGCTGGGAGATTCTCTACTGGCCTCTGCACCTCTGGCTGCAGCTTCTCCTGCTGCTTCTGCTGCTGCTGCTGCTTCTGCTGCTGCTTCTGCTGCTGCTGCTTCTGCAGTTCCTCTTGCCGCCGCTGCTGCTCCTTCTGCTGCTGCTGCTGCTGCTGATGCTGTTGCTGCAGTTGCTGCTGCAGGGCGCTAGCGGGTTGCCGTTCTCCTCGCCTCGCTCCCCTCCCTGACCCCGGAATCGCTCCCGGGGAAGCCCCCCCTACAGGCACATCCACCATCCCTGCTCCCGGCCTCAGCGTGCTTCTATCAGGCGCCTTCAGCCCCAACACGTACTCCCTCACTGGTGGTGCGTTCGCCGCTCCCTGCCCTCGCGTCTGGGTTACCCCCTGTGCTCGCGGCTGCGCTACCCCTTGTTCTCGCGCTTGGGTTACCCCCTGTGCTCCCTGCTCTCGCCCCTGTGTCACTCGCTGTGCTTCAACCGCCGGCATCACAAGCCTCCGTCCAGCCTCTTCACTTTGCTGTGTGGGCACTGAATTCAGCCCCCCAAACCCCTCCCACGCCTGCCTCCCCTGTCGCTGCCGCGACCCCAGCCCTCCCAGCCGCGTTCTGCCCTGCCACAGACCCACCCCGCCCGTCTGATTCCCCGCAGGCGACGCCGCAACTGTGGGAGCAGCTACGGGGCTCGCAAACACGGTGGGAGGTGCGGCGCCGGCAGGTACGGTGCGAGGTATGGTGCCGGCAGGTGCGGAGCCGGCAGGTACGGTGCGAGGTACGGTGCCGGCGAGAATGGTGCCGGGACGTAAGGTGAACGTGAGGCCTGGGGGAACACGGCTGGGGTAGTAGCCTGGCAGTTCCACTGAGCGATCTAGCCGTGGGTTCAGGGATGGCATGGTCAATAGACTCGCCTGCTGCTGCTGCGGCTGCAGCTGCGGCTGCTGCCCATGCCCCTGTTGCTGCGCCAGCTGCGCTGCTGGCGGAAGTCCGCCAGCTGCAGCAACAGGAGGCCGTAACCAGCTCGCTTGCTGCTGCTGCGGCACCTGCTGATACTGCTGTGCCAGCAGCTGCATTGCCGGTCCAGGGAAACCCGCACCCGCTGCAGCTCCTGCAGTAGCTGCTGCTGCAGCCTTCGCCGCAACTGCTGCCTCGCCTGGTTTGGCCCCTCCTCCCGCTCCCCCTCCCCCTGCCCCTCCCCCTGCCTCCTGCTGCCTCCGCCTCTCCAGCCACGCGCTGACAGCGGCGAGCGCCACGTTCACCTCCGCCTCCGCGAAGTACTTGCGCGGGCGCCCGCGCTTCCCGTGCTGCGAGTCCAGCAGCAGCGCCTTCGCCAGCCGCACGCACTGCTCCGCGGGCACCGACGAGCTCTGCCGCTTCAGCACCCACTTCACGCCCGTCTCGAGCGCCGCCATCGTGTGCGGCGCGATCTGATCGTCGTCGTCCGCGCCCGGGAGGCGCGGCCTCATGTGGATGTATAGGAGTTTCTCGACCGCTGTCTCGAGCTCTTTTGGTGGCACGGAGAGGATCGCGTTCAGCGCGCTCTTGTCCGCTTCGTCGTCCTCGTCGTCGTCGTCCAGCTCGATTGTTTCTATTACTGGCGCTGCCTGTCCTCCTGCGGTGGGTGCTGCCGCTGCTGCCGCTGCGCCTGCCGCTGCTGCGTTCGCCGCTGCTGGCGGCGCGGCAGGTGCTTTCGCAGCGTCTGTTGCGGGCGTTGGGGCGGATGCGCTTCCGGAAGGTCCCGAGCCCAGAGGGTTCGGCATGTCGCGCACCGCTTTAATCTCCGCGTCTATCGTTGCGAAAGACGCGGCAGCGGCGGGAGCGGATGATGGTGCCTGCTGAGGCGCACCGGGAGATGGCGGAGCAACGGGGGTGGCGGAGGGGGCAGCCCCCGCTTCCGCAGGAGGGGCAGGGGTTGCTGGCGGAACAGCTTCCGCCGGGGAAGCAAGTGGTGCCTCAGGATTAGCAGCGGGAGCGGCAGCGGGAGCAGCAGCCGGAGCAGAACCGGAAGTGACAGCGGGAACGACTTCGGGGGAAGCGGGGTCCGCATTTGCCGTCTTCTTTTCCACCTCACCGGGCTGCATCGTTTCCGTCGCATCCGCCTCTGCTTGCTCTTTATCTGCCGCCGCAGCTTGCGCCTTCTCAGCCTCTGCTCCGCTTTCCGGGTCTGCTCCTCCCTTATTTGTTCCTTTCGACAACTCAGTTGCTGGTTCTGTGTCCTCCTTCGTCGCACTGCCATCTGCTGCCGATGCCTTGATATCCGCCTCCATTCCCTCTGCTTCTCCATCGACCGTTACTTCTGCGCTCGTCATCGCTTTTTCTGCGTCCTCCTTCGTCGCACCGTCATCTGCAGCCGGTGCCTTGGTACTCACATCGGCTCCCTCTGCTCCTCCATCCGTCGGTACCTCTGGGTTCGCCGCCGCTGTCCCTGCATCCTCCTTCGTCGCATCGTCACCTGCTGCCTCTGCCTTCGAGTCCGCCTCAGCTCCTTCTGCGTCTACGCCATCCGCTCCCTCTCGGCTCGCCGTCGCTGTTTCTGCGTCCTCCTTCGTCGCACCGTCTCCCGCTGACTCTGATTTAAAATCCTTCGGAACCTCACCAGCTTGCGCCTTCTCCGCCTCGGCTCCGCCTTCCGGGTTCGCTGCTCCGCCATCTGTCCCTTCTCGGGCCGCAGTCGCTCCTTCTGTGTCCTCAATCGTTGCAGCTTCTGTTGCTTCCTCTGCTGTAGAATCCTTCTGAGCCTCACCACCCGGTTCCGCATCAGGCGACTCGCGCGCGGCGGAAGCATTTTCCGCGTGATCGCTGGGCTCCGCGACATCCGGCGTGCCCAGCGGTGTCACTTCTGCATTCCCTGCTTGTGGCACTTCCACAACATCGTCATCCTCGGACGACCCTTCTTTTCCTGCCCCTTCGACAGGTTCCTTTTCTGACATCGTCCAGGCAGTTGAAGAGCTGGCACAGACTAGGGTGCACTCGTCACCAAGACTAAGCGGAGTTCAAGATAGGATAGCAAGGGTTGCGGACTGACTGTTACGAAAAACAGACTTCTTGGGAGCTGGAGGTTTGCGGGTTACCAGAAAGGGTTGGAACAAGCTGGCCGATCTCACTCTGTGAAAGCGGGAGAGTATGAAACCCCAACACAGTGGCAGGGACGCTGGAGTTTCCAGAAACTGAACGGGAAGGGGGATTGTCTATCTCGGCTTCACCTATTGGCCGAAATCTGGTGAAAGTCGACCGTGTGAACCTAGATGCCGTACGCTAAATGCGGACAGACTTCCGATTAGCTCTTCATCGGACGGCTTAGGCCTCTCGAAGTAATGACCAGCAAGTTTGCTTTCCATCTCGCTTCGTTGACATCGTGGGCTATTGAATTATGACCGCCGAAACACTCTGCGAACACGCCCCTCTTCTGTGCGAAGGATGTTGGTGTGGTGGGCTCAAATTTGGCTGTTTGGCGAAATTCGCACAAGCTTCAGAGATATGATAGTTGACCCCGCACACAGCTATCCGTTATACATAAATTTTAAGGCAATGAGAACATGGCACAGATGTTCCACACCACATACATTCCAAAGAAACGTTGCAAAGTTCAGTCATGTTGCAATTGGAATTTTTTTAAATTCATAGTTTAAAAATAGTTATAATAATTATTCCAATTTATTTATTGCTGATAGATCATGCATTTCAGCAACTAAGTTATTTACTTGTTAAACCATGATAGAATGAACTGAGTATATTAAGATGCTTATACTGAATTTGTTGTGCTCGAGGCGCCTCCCTCGGCCTTCACGTTTTTTGCCAGAGCTGACTCCACATGCCACGTGGATTGTTGCTCAGGCAAGGGCATGTTGGCGGGAAACCCACTGTCACGTCTTAGCTTCGGCATGCATGCCGACAGGTTCTCCCCTAAGCTCAACGCCGATTGGCCAGATCATTCCGCGTTCACTCGTCCATTTTCACATCATGCCATTCATGACTCATCCGTTTGACCTCAAGGCCGAAGCCTGAAACCTCGACACCTGACACAAGCGAGTGATCTCAAAAGGGGTGCTTGTGTTGTATTTCAGCCATCTTTACTCGTAGGACCTAGGGTGAATATGGCATCATCACGCGTTTCGTGGAAACTATGACGTTGTTTCGTCAAATTTTGCAGTCAGCCGCTTGTTCACGCCTTCCCACATTCATTAGTGACTGCTAAACTAGCAGCGTCTGACGAACGAGCCGGCCACCATGTTTAAGGGACTTAGGACGAAAAAAGAGAGGTTCGATTTTAGGTTCCGGTTTCACGCGACGCGGGTAAGTGAAACACCAGCGTCCGCAATTTAAACCCTTATTGGTGCATGGCATTTGCATCCTCCGGCAACAATTTCCGTCCACCCCTCGCGTGTATTCAGGTACCGGCGTCTGGTTTCGACAACCTCGTGGTGTTCGTCGTTCCCAGCGATTCCGGCAAGCCCGAGGGCCAAACCCCCAAGGCAACGGTCAAGAATGGCTCGTGCGCGTGGAGCGGGTCGGTCACCATCACCACAAAGCTCACGCGCCACGCCAAAGCCAAGGCGTACGAGCCCCGGCCGTACCGCTTCGTCGTGTCTTCTGTAAGTGCTAGTTTCTATCATACATCAACTTTTCCTTTCTTTCTGATATCACCATGCGGTTGACCTGGGCTTTCCTCTTCGTTTCACTCAGACGGTTATGTCTGCGACTGGAGTGTTCTGGCGTTCTCGGTTGTCATCTCCTTCGACACATGAACCCCCAATCCCTCCATTTTTGCAGAACTCGTTGCGATCGGGCGTGCTGGGCGAGGCGACGCTGAACCTAGCGGAATTCGCGGGTTTCGGAGGGCTGGATCAGCGAACGCTTCCCCTGAAGAACTGCAGCGCTGGCACCATCCTTCATGTAAGCCGGTTTCTCGCAGTTGGCAGAGGAATAGAAAAGTACGAAAAGCAGGAGAACGAAAGAAATCAAAGAAGAAGTAAAAGGGATTAATAAAATTGGAAATAACGATAAGGTCTTTATTAATTTCATGGATAGCACGTGGTTGTGCGCACAGTCACTCCCACTTCAACAGGTCATTCAATAATCGGTCGTAGGCTTGCGAGGAGGTGAGGATGAGAGGAGTGGTTGTTCGTGACAGGCTGCTCCGATAACTCACTCGGCAATGTGTCCCACGGCTTGTGTCTTGCAGGCCACGGTGCAATGCACGGCGCTCGACCCAAGGTACGCCCCCGCAACGGCACCCCATCAACCCCGCCCGTGCAACCCCGCCCATGCAACCCCGCCCATGCGACCCCGCCCATGCAACCCTGCTCATGCAACCCTGCGCATGCAACCCCGCCCATGCAACCCTGCCCCCGCAACCCCGCCCCCGCAACCCTATAACCCCGCAACGCTAGCGGCAGAAGCTTGCCCACTCTTTATCCCCGCCACGTGAATGAAGTGAAGTCTTATATTCTGCATTTCCTTCGTGGACTTTTGATAAGTCCGTAGCTGAGCTAATTGCCTTGTGCGGGGAATGTGGTGCGCGCGTGCAGGGACGACGACGAGAGCGAGCACGAGGAGGTGCCGGCGAGGAGGGCGGCACCGGGAGGCGCTAGTGGCCGCCACGGCGCCGCTGCGGGCAAGGCGGAAGCCGCCACTGCTGCCGCTGCCGCTGCCGCCGCCGCTGCCGCCGCTGCTGCGGGTGGCGGCAAGGGACGAGCGGGAGATGCGCAGGTATGCGGGGGGAGGTGTATGCATGTTGCGGCGCAGGAAGGTGGCGCAGGAAGGTTGGTGCAGGTGTGTGCGTGTTATGGTGCAGGTAGGCGGACGCGTGTGTGCGTCGTCTCGTAGCCTTGTGGCTCCAGGCGATACACTGCGTTCTCTCCAGTCATCGCTACTCCTTGGTCGCTTAACCCCCTCCGGCCATGTGCGTGCGCAGAAGCATCATGTTCAGACCGCGAAGCAGAAGGGCGAGGGGTTGAAACAGCCGCAGAAGCAGGAGAGGCAGGAGGTGCAGAGGCAGGAGGTGCAGAGGCAGGAGGTGCAAGAAGACACTCAGCCCGTTGCTCGCCCCTCCCCAGACGTCCCTCCTGCGCCCTCTCAGGTCTGTGTGCCGTCTGTGTGTTGTTTGGTGCCGTTTGGATGCGTGTGCTTCAAATGCGCTTTGCTTCTCTCACTCACACTCAGCGTGGGCGCTGGGTCTTTCACACAGGGTGAACGCATAGAAAGTGCTGAAGAACAGAGGCTCTTTCCAGTTGAAAGGCACGGGGAAACGGAAATGCGCTTGTTTTTGTGTGTGCGTCTCATGCAGTGGGGGCGTGTATGGTTGATGCTCTGGTGGGTGGAACCAGAAGGCGGGAATAAAGTGCTGGGCACTGCAGGTAGTCTGCGTCTCCGCCCTTGTCTCCTCTTGTTGCTCATATCCCACTACCCCCCCTTCTTACCCTCCTACTTCTCCTTCCCCTCCAACCCTCTCCACCCCTTTCCTCCCATCGCTCCCTCCACTCACCATTGCTGCCACTGCTGCCAATGCCCCTGCGGCACCTCTCTGTATTTGGACGGCAGGACGAGGACTCGTCGTCAGAAGAGTCGTCCTCGTGCGACACCACGCCGCGCACCACCGCCAGCACCACCAGTGCCACTCCCAGCTCTGCCGCTCCCTCCGCCGCACCCTCCGCCGCCGCCACCGCTGCCCCTGCTGTTGCCACTGCCGCTGCTAGCACTTCCCAAACTGCAGCTGCTGGCGCTGGCTCAGGCGCGACTGCGGGAGCAGGAGCAGGAGCAAGTGCAGGGGCAGGGGCAGGGGCAGGGGCAGGGGCAGGGGCAGGGACAGGTGTAGGTGCAGGGGCGGGGGCAAGTGCGAGCAGCACTGCGGGCGGTCGCGGGGGGCGCGGTGACAGTAAACCGTCCGCTGCCTCCCCGCGGTTAACGGGAAAGGAAGGCGGTGGCGGCGGCGGCGGCGGCGGCGGTGGTGGTGGTGGGATGTTCTTTTGGCGTTCCAGCAGCAGCAAGGACAAGGATAAGGACAGGGAGAGGGGCAAAGAGAAGGATAAGGGGAGTCTTATTCCCGCGTCGCCGCGATTCCGGTCAAAGAAAGAGCCGTCGTCTCCCGTGGTGCGCTCGCGTGACGCGTCGCCCAGTAGGGACGCGACACGTGGCGGGGGGAAAGGGAAGGAGAAGGAAAAAGCGGCGGAGAAGGGCGAGAGGGGAGCGCAGGATAGAGGGGGGGGGAGGCAGGAGAAGGAGGATGAAGGGTGGGGTGGGGAGAAGGAGCGGGAGGAAGAGGACTGGATGGCTGGCGAAGGGGAGAGGCGGCCGGGGAGGAGGAAGGAGTCGGGAATCGACCAGGACTTGGAGTGGCTTCGGCAGCAGGAGCTGCAGAAGCAGCAGGAGGAGATGCGGAAGCAGCAAGAGGAAATGCAGAGACAGGAGCAAGAGAAGCAGAAGCAGGAGCAGTTGGCAGTAAAACAGCGAGAGGAGGAGGAGGAGAGGGGGAGGGAGGCGGGTGCGGAGTGGGGTGGGCAGCAGAGCGAGGAGGAGGAGTTGCGGCGGCAGGAGGAGGAATTGGAGGAGGAAGCGAGGAGGGTGAGGATGGAGCGGGAGAAGCAGCGCCAGCGGAAGGAGGAGATGCGGCGGCAGCAGCAGCAGCAGGGGGGCGGCATGGGGGGAACATCCGCGGACGTCACGCCCGCGCAGAGCCCCACGCTGCAAGGCAGGGCGGGTGGCTGGGATACGTGGGGTAGTGGCGCAGGGGACGGGCGCGCGGAGGGTAGGGCGGGCGGGGGAGAGAGGGAGGTAGCGCGGTCGCCAGGAATTCCCCCGCCTGCGGGGGCGGTGTCCCCGGGGAAGCTGTTGGGCGGGTGGAGCAAGCGCGCCAGCAGCAAAGACGCGCAGGAGCAGGCCGCGGGGGGTGCTGATGCTTCCGCCGCTGGGGGCGCGGGTGCGGGGAGTGGCGCGCATCGCCTTCCCCCAGCAGCTGCGCCTGCGGTGCTTCCCCCCGTTCCCGGCGCAGCTGCCGCCTCCCCCAGGGGTGCCCGGACCCCCTCGCCAGCTGGCACGCCCACTCACCGGCCAGCGAGGCAGTACGATGACGTGGCAGGCGCGGAGGGCGGCGGGATGGGCGGGGGCGGGGAGAGCTCCCCGTACAGGTATGGTTCCCCCAGTGCGCGGATGGGCGGAGCGGGGAGAGACAGCCCTGACAATTACCGCAGCCCTGACCCTTCCCCAGGGATGATGGGCGCGGGGTACCCGTTCGGGGAGGGCGGAGAGGGAGGCGGGGAGGAGCGCAACAGCTTTGGCGGCGGCGGCAGCAGCGGCACTTACCCCTTCCAACCGGGAGCCGCCCCTGAATCGTTCGCGCTGCCCGACGCTGCCAGTCCGGACGAGTCTCCCCGCTCTGGCGGGTATTCCGGCAGCAGAGGCGCGCGGGGGGGATACTTCGGCGCGGCGGAACCTGTTGGGCGCGGGGGAGGCGGCGGAGCGGGCCGGGGGCAGGGCGCGGAGATGCACGTGCGGAGGGACACGTCGGCGGAGCTGGCGGCGGCGGAGGCGGCGATAGAGGAGCTGCAGCGCGACTGCGTCAAGTACCAGACGACCTCCCGCAACCTCTCCCGCGAGGTCGAGAGCCTGCGCGGGCAGCTCGCGGAGGCCTTCGTGCAGGACCAGCGCGCGGACATGGCGATCGGGCAGCTGAAAGACGAGCGCGATCGCCTGCAGGAGGAGGTGAATATGCTGCGCGCGGGGTTGGGGGGACGCGGGGGTGGTGGCGGGGGGTTGTCCGGGGGTGCGGGGGAGGAGGAGGGGATGGATACGAACTCGTATGTGGCGGACGGGACGGAGAGTGAGTGGAGTGTGGGGGGAGGCGGGGGCGGGGGCGCGGAGGGGATGAGGCGCGTGGCGGGGCTGCTGGAGGAGGCGGAGTTCCTGCGCGGGACGGTGGGCGCGCTGTCCGCGCAGGTGGAGATGCTTCAGCGGGAGAACGAGGCGCTGATTGCGCAGGCGGAGCAGGCGGAGGCGGAGGCGGGGAAGTACCGGCGCGACGCGGAGGAGCTGTTCGAGGCGCGCCAGGAGACGGAGGCGGCGCTCAAGCGCGCGCAGAAGCAGGCGGACGAGCGCGAGGCGGAGTGGCAGGAGCGCGTGCGGGACATGGCGGAGGCGCAGGCGGCGCTGGAGGAGCAGCTGGCGGAGCTGCAGGGCGCGGGGGGATGGGACGGGGGAGGGTCCGCGCGGCCGAGCCCCCTGGGACCGAGGGGGAAGGGAGAAGGGCAGGAAGGGGTGGAGGACGGTCTAATGCTGTCAGAAACGGTGGGGATGAGCGGGAGCAGCAGGAAGAGCCGGGGAGGATCATTCGCGGAGGGCGAGGCGGGCGGAGAGGCCGAGCGGGGGGGAGGGGGAGCGGGGGACGTGAGCGTGGTGGCGCAGCTGAGGCGGAAGGTGGAGGAGCTGGAGCGGGAGGCGCAGGAGTTGACTGCGGAGAGCCTGGAGCTGGCAGCGGGGCTGAACGTGGCGAATAAGGAGGGCGAGGTGAAGGATGCGCTGATAGAACAGCTGCAGCACGAGCTGATCGCTGCTGGGAAGAAGGATTCGATTGCCTCGGCTGCTGCTGCGTCTGGGTTTGCTGCGTTTTTCAGCAAGGGGAAGGCGGAGGGGAAGAGCGTGGCGAGTCTGATTAATTCCGGGCCGGCGGCGAATGAGAGGGATGTTGGGAAGCTGCATGGAAGGATCGTGGAGCTGCTGCAGGCGCTGAAGGAGCAGAGCAGGGAGGCGGAGGAGGCGAGAGAGGAGGCAGTTCAGCTGCGGAGTAAGATGCGCGTGAGTGAGATGGCCACTGCGCGCGCCATGGATAGGCTGAGCATTCTCGAGGAGTATGAGCGCCGGGCGAAGCAGATGGAGGGGGAGTTGGAGGAGACGCGGAAGACGCTGGCGGCGCAGAGAAGGTTGAGGGAGGAGCAGGAGCGGCGGCATGTGGGGGAGGTGGAGCAGCTGCGGGAGCAGAAGCGGGACGCGGAGAACCGGGTGACGAGGTACGGGGAGGAGGTTCGGCGGCTGGAGCGGCAGGGGGAGGCGGCGGTGAAGCAGGTGGAGCAGGTGGGGGAGACGCTTCGGGAGTTTTTTACTGCGTGGGGGGGGGAGAAGGGGACGGGGGAGGAGGGGGAGACGCTGGGGGAGCAGGCGGAGGGGAAGGATGTGGCGGGGAAGGTGGGGGTGGTGGTGGGGGCGGCGGCGCTGTGGCAGCAGCGCGTGGGGGAGCTGGAGCGGGAGAGAGAGGCGCTAGAGGAGCAGGTGAGGGAGAGTGAGGCCCGCGTGCACGAGGTTGAGTCAACGTCTGGGGCGTGGCGGTCGGATAGAGGGGCGCTGGAGAAGCAGGTGAGGCGGTTGGATGAGCAAAGGCGGCTGGCTGAGTCGAGGGTTCAGGAGCTGGAGTTGCAGCTGTCGGCCATGCAGGAGATGCTGGAGGAGGCTAAGGCGGAGGCGGGGGCGGCTGCTGCTGGGGGGGGCTTGGCTGGGGTGACGCTTGCTGACGTGGAGGCGCTGCAGGCGGCGAATCAGAAGGCGAGGAGGCGGATTCATGAGCTGGAGGGGCAGGTGAGGGAGAAGGAGGAGCAGGTGAGGGGGAAGGAGGCGGAGTTAGAGGTCGCGCTGGCGGCGGTTGCTGCTGCCGCGGATTCAGCTGCAGCGGCGGCGGCGGCGGAAGCAGTGGGGAGGGCAGGGGCGGGCGGGGGAGCAGGAGCGGGGGCAGCGGGGGCTGGCGGGGGGAGGGCGGAGAGGGAGTTGGAAGACGCGCGGAGGAGGGTAGAGGGATTGGAAGAGGAGATTAAACGCATGTCTGGGGAGTTAGCGCTGGCTGGTGTGAGCCGGCGGGAGCTGGAAATGAAGGTGCTGCGGCTGGAAGGGGCGTGCGGCAAGCTGGAGAGTGAGCTGCAGGAGGCGAATGTGGGGCGGCGGCGTGCGGAGGAGAGGCAGGCGGACGCGGAGGCGCAGCTGGCGGTGGCGGTGGACAGGGCGGAGACGCAGAGGGGGCTGGTGGGGGAGTTAGAGGAGAAGGTGAGTAAGGGGGCCGCGAGGGAGGAGGCGTTGGAGCAGTATGTGGCTGTGGTTGAGGGGAAGGTGAAGGAGGGGGAGCGGGAGAGGGAGAGGTTGGAGGGGCGCGTGAGGGAGGAGGAGGAGAAGAGGAAGGAGGTTGAGAGGAGGGTTGGGGAGAGTGAGGCGGCGGTGGGGAGAGCGAGGGAGGAGGCGGAGAGGGAAGTGGGGGAGGCGAGAAGATTGGTAGAGGAGATGGAGGCGCGGTTGGAGGTGGGGGAGGCGGAGAGGGAGTGTGCAGTGGCGAGGGCTGTAAGGGCGGAGGAGGGGCAGCGGAGGGAGAAGGCCGAGAGGGAAGCGGCTGTGGAGCGGTTGACCAATGAGGTGGCGCTGCTGACTCAGCAGCTGTCGGCTTTATCTGAGGGGGGGAGTGGAGGGGAGGGCGGCGACAGGCTGTCTGCGGTTGAAGCCGCGGAGCTCCGGGCTGCGAAGGGCGAGCTAGAGGACAAGCTGCGCCGTGCGGAAGGGGATTTGAGAGAGGCGGTGAGGGAAAAGGTTAAGCTGGAGGGGGAAGTGCGGGCGGCGAAAGAATCGGCAGCAGAATTAAAGGTCAAGGAGGGGACGCTTTTGGGAGAGGTAGAGGAGTTCAAGAGACAAGTGGCGGCGGCAGCAGAGGCAGCAGCTGAGTTGACTCGCATGAAGGAGCAGCACGAGCAGGTGGTAACACAGCTAGCCAAGGCGGAAGCTTCTTTGAAGGAGCTCCAGGTGGCACGGGAGGAGCTGGAGCAGGAGCGCAAGGGGCTGGTGCAGCAGAGCGTGGTGTTGCAGAGCAAAGTGAAGGAGCTGGAGCGAGTCAAGGGGGAGCTGGCCCAGGCCAGGACTGAGCGACAGGTGCTGGAGGAGAGGAGGCTAGCACTGGCGATGAAGCTGGCAAGGATAGAGGAGAGCATGGAGGAGTTGGAGGATTTACGGGCGCGGAGCGCGTCGGTGGAGGGGGAGATGGGGCACCTGGCGAAGCAGGCGGAGCAGGTGCCGGGGTTGTTGGAGGAACGGGAGAAGCTGCAGGGGAGGGTTAGGGAGCTGGAGGGTCGGGCGGCGGAGCTGGAGGCTCGGGTGGGCGAGATGCAGGCTGCTGCTGCTGCGGCGGTGGCAGCGGGTGGGGGTGAGAGTGAGGGGGATGGTGGTGCAGGTGCTGCTGCAGCCGCGGCGACAGCAGCTGCAGCAGAAGCGACAGTTGCGGCCGAGGCAGCGGCGGCGGCAGCTTCAGCGAAAGCAGAGGCGTTAGTGGAGGAGGTGCGGCAGCTGAAGCAGCAAAACGCGGAGCTCAAGCGTGCTCTCACTGACGGTAGCAGCAGTGGTGGTGGTGCTGGTGGTGGGATGGAACCTTCCCCCCAGGGGAAGGGAAGCAGGTCTCTGGGCGCAGGGGCGGGGGGCATGGGGGGGATGGGCGGAGGGGGAGCAGGGGGGGCGTTCGCCCGCGGGCGGATGGGGGGGATCATGGCGTTGCGGGGGGGAGGGGGGGAGGCGGCGTTGGAGAGGCAGGTGGAGGAGCTGAGGCGGCGGACGGTGGCATTGGAGGGCGAGGTGGGGCGCAAGGCAGAGGCGCTCGCTGCTGCTGAGAGGCGGCTGCTGGAGCTGGAGGGGAGTGGGGGGAGTGGGGGTGCAGGGGCGCGGGTGGGGGACATGGATGCTGCTGCAGAGGAGCGCATCAAGACGCTTGAGGTGAGGCTTGCCCTTCCTGATGCTCTTTTCCAGCTGAGTGTTGCTTCTGCGCTCACCATTAGCTCGCTCGTTTTGCCCAAACCGTGGCAGCAACAAATGATGGTCACTCCCCGTATATTGCGAGTCGTCGCGAAGCAATGCTCCCAGGCAGTTCCTAACACACCCCGTTGATAACTCCAATGCGACTCGTACTCGTTGCTTCCCCTCTCTCCTGCCCCTGCTGCCATCCCTACAGGCGCAGGTGGAGGTGTTACAGCAGCAGGTGGAGCAGCAGAGGGCGGTGGCGGAGGCGAGGGAGGGCAGCATGGGGGAGTACGTGGCTCTGCTCACTGCCACCAATGATTCTCTTGCTGCTGGCACTGACGCTGCCACCATGCAGCTTAATCAAGCGGTGAGTGCGCACTTGCCATCACATTGTTGCCATGCGCGTGCTCTCATAAACTGACCACGTTGACTCATCAATGCTTGCAATGCCCCCTCGCTGGCCCCGCACCACATCCCACGTAGGTCCTTCCTGTTTTCTGAGGCGACTCATTTGCCACCCCACGTGTGTCTCCCCTGGCTCTCCATTGCCCTTAATTCGCCTGCAATGCAGCTGCTGAAGGCGCAGCAGCAGGTGGGAGAGGTGAGGGAGAGGGAGGCGGAGCTGCGGGCAGCAGCAGCGGTGCATGACGCCACCATTCTGGAGCTCAAGGAGGTGCGTGGAAGTGCTTAGTGCTTGGTGTGGTCAGTGTGTAGTGCTTAGTGCTTGGTGTGGTCAGTGATCAGTGCTTGAGGCGCCTCAAAAGAAGGCTCTCTTGTTGTTTCTGCCCTTTCAGCCATGGGGTGATGTTGTGAAGTGGCATGGCAGAGCCTATGGTTTCATATGCTATATGTCATACACCACCATTCCACAACCCACTGTTCCACGTCCCTGTCTACCCATTCTTCCTACTGCCCCTCCTCACCTACCCCAACGGTCACAGGAGGTGGGGCGGCTGCAGAAGAAGCTGTCGCAGCGCATGAGGGGGGGAGGCAGCACAGCAGGCGGCAGCGGCATGGTGGAGCGCATGGCACTGCTGGAGGCAGAGCTGGCAGAGGCCATGGAGAGCAACCACAAGTACAAGGAGCAGCTCAAGAGGTACGTACGTGGCGAGAATTCTAATGATTTGTTGAATCTACTTTTTTTTTTCCAAGAAGGCGGCTTGAGTGCATCGTTGGAGCCCCTTGTAGGTCGAGTTTGGGTGTGTGAAATTTCTCTCTGTTTGAGGGGTGGAAAGAGCAGGCTTTGATAAATTTCTTAAAAACTGTTTTTTTTTTTCGCTTGCCCCGTTATGAACCCGACTGCTTGCCACCCAGGGCCTTGGGTGGGACGGGGAATGGAGTCGACACTCAGCCCCCTGAAGCTGCTGCTGCTGCACCGATTCCAGCCAGCCCCACCAAGCCAGCCGCACCTGCTAGCCTGGGGAATGATGTAGAGAGGTCGCCTCAGATGAAAGGGAGAGCAGTCAGCAGCAGCCCCATGAGCAATGCCAGTGCTGGCAGTCCCATGATGGGAGGCAGTAGAAGACTCGGCACTGCATCCCCTGCTGCAAAGCCAAGCCCCTTCGGAAGAAGGTAATGCACCTTTTAGGGATTAGCGTGTATATCGTAGAGGCGTTGTAACTTTTCTGGACAGACAAAAGCTGATCCAATTCTACTAATGTACGCTGTGCTATGCCAGTGTGGTGCGTTAGATATTTTGGGCGACGCATTAGATGTTGCACTGCGATACTGTACCATTGTTACAATTTAGAACAACCTGGAAGGAACATATTTGCCTTGTTTGGGGTTCACGTATAATCTTTTAGTTTTGCAAAATAAGCTGAAACACTGTATGGGGTTCACAATTCGCGTCACAGGGCAACATCGGCGCGCTGGGTTGGGGAAAGTTTGGGTTGGATGTGTTGCATGCCGTGCTGGTTTTGCGAGCCAACGAATAGAGCATCAAGCTGCGCGAAACAACGGCTTGGTGGTGAACCCAATAACGTTTAACTTCTTCGCTCACACCCGACAATTTTGCTGCTTGTTACCCCATGCCCTTCATGCTTCCTGTTTCGCCAGCACGTTTTCCACCCCCGGCAGCATCTGCGACGGCATCACACACATAAGCCAGAGGGAATTTCCGTGCTTCGATTTTGGCGGGGAAAAAAACATCACTTGCAGTTCACTTCAAAATCACCAGTTTCTCCCACACGCCCCTCCCCCCATCACATACATCCAGGCGCTTACTGGAAACTTGACCCGTATTGAATCGATAGTCAGTTGGCGGCACAGTTCGCTGTTGTGACGCGGCTGGTGACTAGGATACGGCTTTGTGGGATAAAAAAGATGAAGGTGAAGGAAAGAGCTACCGCCATATGCGAGCAGTTGGAGGAGGAAGTACAAGAGGAGGAAGAGGAGGCTGCGCGATGGGAGGTGGAGGAATGAGTAGAGCAGGAACTGTCCATGCCAGTGCCTCCCCGCGCAAAGCGATCGAAACGTGGAGCGCGCCCAGCAGTGGCGCGCCGAGGCGTCGACAGCCAGCCCGTGGCACAGCTTCAATACGGAGACCTTAATGCGCTGCCTACAGACGTGTGGCTGCGCATCGCAAATGCGGTCGCGAAGAGAAAAGGCTGCTGCTGCTCGTGGCCGCTCGTGTCGTCTACCATCGCCATGCCGTGCATTCGACGCGCTCTATCAGGCGACATGGCTCTCGTGTTCTACGAGCAATGCCAGTGCTTGAAACCCCCCATCTCCCTCGCTCAACGAGTTCGTAGCTTCGCATGGCTGACCAAACAGCACCCTCGCCCCTCCGAGCTCTATATTTCTCTCGATACTTCACCTCCTCGCCTCTTTTGCTCCCTTTTACGCTCCTGCCTTTTTCCTTACCTCTCCTCCCTCACTTCCGTCAGTCTCGACTTCTCTCGACGCCTCCCCTCCCCGCCGCGCCTTCTCTTCTTGCTCTCGCAAGCGCCACGACTGAAGTCGCTTTATCTCACTCATGGCACCCCGCGGACAGACAGCGAGCATGAGATGGCGCGGCCTTGCTTTACTGACGCAGTGCTGGCGGCTGAGATGTGGGACCTGATTTCAATCATGGAAGACGAGAAGCGGGAAGACGACGACAAGCCGTTTCCCGTGCTGTCTCGCCTCGATCTTTGTCTCCCCTCCTGCTCGCCTCTCGTCCTGCACTTCGTCTCCTGCCTCTGTGCCCAGCTTCACTATCTCTACCTCGTCTCTTCTGCCAATCAATTTGCACCTCAGGAGGGAAAAGAGGGCTCTGAAAGCAGTGCGGAAAACGCGGACGGGTGGACGAGGCGTGAGGGGGACATGGACGGCCAAATGTCATTCTCCCTAAACCTCCCGCTAGCCACTAACGTCATATTAAACGGGATCAACTGCTTTATTTCGCTCTCCGCCCCTCGTCTATCCAACCTCGGCTATTACTGGAAGTTCCGCCACTCCCGCCTGCTCCTGCTCCCCACCTGCCCCGTGCACCTGACATCTCTCTTTATTCATACCGACGACCTGCCCTGCCCCTGCCCCTGGGCGTTTCACGCGCCTCACCTCACCTCGCTTGAATCCCTCTGCACCAACATGCAGCCAGAGCAGGCTGCTTGTTTCCCTCCTGGTGTTATAGCAACAGTCAAGGCGCTTGAGTGGAGATATAATTTAAGGTTTTGCGGCCACTGGACCTGAGTGCTTGGCACGGCCTGCGTTGCTTCCATGCCATGGGATGGGGCCCTGTGTCTCTGTCGGCGCTTCGCTCGGGTGTGCTCTGGCCTTGTGGCGTGGAGGGGATGTTTTTCGATAGCATTTGGAGTGATGTCGTGGAACTTTTTAAGAATGAGCTGAGAGGACCTGATGGGGAAGAAAGCTTGGAAATGAGGCCTGGAGGGGAGGGCACCTTGAGAAGCCAAAACGAGATAGCCTTGGAAACAGGAAGAGGTTCGAAGTCGGCAGTGGAAGGCAGGCCTGTGGAGGACGGAAGCAGAGATACGGTTGGTAGGAATCTACTGGCTCGACTGCTACCTGAATGCAAGGGCTTGCAGCGGTTTGAGGGGTGGGACAATGGCGAACGGTTGATGTATCGGCTGGATGCTGCTGAAGGGCTGAGTAGGGAAGTGGGCGGAAAGGCAGGAGAGTGTTGGACAAACAAAAGAAGGTTCTTAAAGCGACGGTGCACATTTGCCACCCAAAACCCAGAACCCTGGCGAACTGTTACTGCAGATGAAAAGTGTCTGCACGAAATCCTGGTTTTCGCCAGCCAACACTTTCGCGCTGGCAAGCCTGGTTCAAAAAAAAAACTTCTGAACCCAACACTGCCAAAAGTTGCCCGTCGCTTTAAAAGAGAGAGGAATCGTGGATTAAGTGTGCTGGCTGGAGTACTGAATGCAAAATCTTATCTGGTTTGTAGGCTGCGAGGGCACCTACACATCATTTACCATGCCACCACACCTCACTGGCGAACAACTCGAACACATCTGGACTTCTGCCTGCCACTCAGGACCTTGAGTGGGACAGGGAGTAGAGTTGATACTCGGCCCCTGTGGTGCTTCTGCTGCTTCACCGATACCAGCTAGTCCTAACAAGCCAGCCGCAGCTGCTGTACTGGTGAACGAGGCAGAGAGGTCGCCTCAGAAAAGTCAGCAGGATGGTGCTGGTGCTGCCAGTCCCCATGATGGGAGGAGGTAGAAGGCTCGGCACCGCCTCCCCTGCCACCAAGCCAAGCTTATTTCGAGGTAATGTGACCTTTTTTAGAGTATTGTGATGTTAAACTTACTTTATATTTATGCAAACCCTGAAGGCGTTCTACCGTAACTTCCCTGACAGACAAAAGTAGGTCTCTGATTTGTGTCGTGTTATGCAGTGTTTTGTCATCTGATGTGTGTAGAAGCAGATAATCGACTGCAATATTGTACCATCAATTTTGTTGACTAGCACAACACATGACGAACAAATGTGCCTGGGCACAATGCGCACATTACAAGCTGATAAAATGGAGCTACCGATTTGAGCGAGATTCTATTTCGCCAGTCGTTTTGGAGAATCAAGTGTTGAGCAAGTCGCCCGCATCCAAGATCTTCCCGCTAACGAATTTGAGCGTGTTACCCTATTGCACAAGTTCGAGAGCGTCCGTGACAGCAGCGCAGGACCAGAATCGTGCACGCTTCGGTTTTGGCGCGAAAAATATAGCGTCGTTGAAGTTCAATTCAAAAGCAAGCATCCGTGCTTGCACTTCACACTCTGTCCGTCGCATTGATCAGCAGCAGTTTTTTCCAGCACAGACCAGAAAACTCGAGCCATATTGAACCTATTTTGCGACGTACATTGCGAGTGCAACGCTGCTCGTGACCAGGATACGGCTCGCAAGAGAAAAACGCGGAACGAGATGAAGGTGAGGGAAGAAGTTACCACTGCAGGCGAGCAGTTGGAGGAGGAAGTACTAGAGGAGGAAGAGGAGGCTGCGCGAGGGGAGGAGGAGGAAGGAGCAGGGAAGGGACTGTCCATGGCCGTTCCTCCGAGAGCGAAGCGATCGAAACGTGGAGTGTGCCCAGCAGTGGCGCGCCGAGCCGTCGACATCTTGATGGAGATTCGATACGGAGACCTAGACGCGCTGCCCGCAGACGTGTGGCTGCGCATCGCAAACGTGGTAGTGGAAAGAGACGACTGCAGCTGCTCATGGCCGCTCGTTTCGTGCGCCATCGCCATGCCGTGCATGCGACGCGCACTATCGGGGGACGTGCCTCTCGTGTTCTACGAAAAGTGCGAGTGCGTCCCCTCCGCCGTCTCCCTCGCTCAACAAATCCGCAGCTTCGCATGGCTGACGAAGCAGCTCCAAAGCCCTTCGGACTTCATATTCTCAATACATGAATCGCCTCCCCACCTCCTTTCCTCCCTCATGCGCTCCTGCCTGTTCCCCTCCCTCTCCTCCATCACCACCCTCGATCTCTACTTTTCCCAGAGCCTCCCCTCCCATCCGCGGCCTTCTCTTCTCCCTCTCACAAGCGCCGCGCCTCAAGTTGCTTTCTATTACGCATGACGTTGCGTCAGACAGCGAGAGTGACATGCCTCTGCACCTCGGCAATGATCCCGTGATGGTGGCGGAAATGTGGGAAATAGTTTCAATCATGGAAGAGAAGAAGGCGAGCGACAAGGACAGGTCGTTTCCCGTGCTGCGAAGCCTCCAACTCGACCTTCCCGCCTGCTCGCCTCTCGTCCTGCGCTTCGTCTCCTGCATCTCTTCACAGCTGGACTATCTCTCTCTTGGCGGTAGAAATCAATTCGCGGCTCACGAGGGCGAAGAGGAGGCTAAGAGGGGTGAGAACGCGGAAGGGCCAAGGGAGCGTGAGAGGGACGTTGACGGGCGAGACTCCTTAACTCTTCACCTCCCGCAAGCCACGAATGCCCGATTCCAAGGGATCAGCTGCTCCATTTCCCTTTCCGCCCCTCGTCTTTCCGCCCTCTGCGTGCTCTGGAAGTCTCCCCATTTCCGCCTGCTCCTGCTCCCCACATGTCCCGCGCACCTACCGTCTCTCTTCCTTAGTTCGGACGGACCCTGCGAGTGGCCGTTGCAAGCGCCTCACCTCACCTCACTTG